CCCCCCCCCCCCCCCTCCACCCCTCCCCTCCTCACCACCGGTACGCCTGTTCTCCTGTGTCTGTGGCCATCGTAAAGCCGGCCGGAACCATCTTGCGCGACGTCTGATTTTCCCGCGTGCTGACGAAGCGCTCGCAGGAAATCGTCCCGCGAAGATAGCAACGAATGCAAATGGCTGTCACGGTGATGTGTGCATGCTCGTCTGCCGTTCCCGCGTGTCCGACGCTCGAGCGTGCCGCAAAATCGTCGCGCGCGATCGATATGTGATGACCGGCGTCGGTTGTCGGACATCGAATTGGTGTTGCTTGCGCGCGGCGGTGTGAACGTGTCTTATTACGTTGGGCATTAACGTGTGTTACGTACGCGTGCACGCGGGAAATCCGCTCGTGACGGGTGAGAGAGCGAAGGAGAGAGAGAGCGAAAGAAATACGCGCGCGCGCGCGCTCTTCGCGTGTATATGTGTGTGTGCGTCCTACCTCCGCAGCGGCGAGCGATTCCTGTCCGGTAGCCGCGTCTGGACCGAATCGAACCTGCAACTCCGAACGGAGTTGCTCCACCGCGATATCGCGCACAGCAAGCCGATAGCTGCGCGATTCCGCTGTGCCAGGAACCGAGGGAGCTCCACGCCAGATGGTCTCGTTGCACTCGTTCTGGCAATAAATCGCCCAGGGATCGCTCTACATCTGCAAGCAGGTAAACAATTGTCAGAAATGTTATTTCCCGCAGACACGCGTGTCTTGCCCGTAAACTTTAATCAACCGGTCACGCGAGTGAGCTGTAGTATCTTGGAAGTCTACTTTCTTACTTTGTAAGTGAGGTATACAAATTATTACCCCGGTATTGACTCTTTCACTCGATTCTTTCATGAAATTTTTTAATTTTTATCCATACGGCGTAATTGTATGTTGCTTAGTTCACATCTACACACATACACGACACACGTGCGCGCGCGCGCATGCACATAATATTATTGTGTGTGTGTGGGTGCATAATACACACACAACATTCTTTTTATTTCTACCTTGTCAACTTTTTGTTAATGAAAATATGATACCCGAGTACTAATTTCTAATTAAAATACAAGAAATTGTTTGATATAAATTTTAGTATAATGCCTTAAATCTTTATCCTTTAAACAACAAGGAATCATTTTGCAAATTTTAATTTTCATTTGATGAAAGATTGTTTATTGACAAAAGAATTAAGGAGCAATCACTATGGTCTGCAGGAAGATAAAAATATTATCCAAAAATTATACTCATGTTCCATGTTTTATTATAGGTATACTGCTTCACAAAAACTAATAGAAGGAATTTTAAACGGCGAGAAAGATGCCTGCGGTCAGTGTCTGTGATCCAATCACAGCCAGGCTTCATTGTGCTCTGAATAACAGTCCATCTAAGACTGCAGATGATCTGTCGATTGAACTAGTAAGCAATGCTTCGCGGATCATGCAAACGGAAATCCGTTACGAAGAATTAAAGGATTTCCAATTGACAAATCAGATGCAAGCTAATTGTAACATCTTCCTCAACTTATCCTCTTCTGAGAATTTAGAGGGAAGCAAAGGGAAAGATGGCACAATCTATAAAAAGAATGTTACCAACAAAGGGCCAATTCTACCAGAACCAACTGTCACTCTATATTCTCCCAAAAAAGTTCATCTTGGATGGAAAGGCACGTGTCCAGTCGGAGCTGGCATGTACAACGTTGGAAATACTTGTTACCTAAATAGCACTCTTCAGGCATTATTTCATGTTCCAGCTCTTGTCAATTGGTTGCTGTCTGATCCACATCATAATTCCAAGTGCGAACAAAACAGTAAGTTCCTGTGTTATTCTATCATATGTATCACACACACATTTCTGAGTATAATATAAAGTATAATATAAAGTTATAATAGCATGGTTTTGTATGGTGTTTTGATAATAGGATAGTTTTAGATGGCGGTGGAGAATGCCTTACATGTGCAGTAGCCAAGACTCTGCAGTTCAGCCATCAAAAGTCTGGTGGTGCAATCAAACCATTTTACGTTTATAATAAACTAAAGCGTACGTACTCTAATAATAAATATATCATATACGCATAGATAAATGCTATAGTAAGCGATATTTCTGCAGTAATTTGCCGAACTATGGTGCCTGGACAACAAGAAGATGCTCACGAATTTTTACGCTATTTATTGGAAGGAATGGAACGCGCGTATTTGACTAGACATAAAGCGACTAAGTTGGATAGTTATTCTAAGGAAACGACACCTATTAATCAAATATTTGGTGGCTATATACGTACTGAAGTAAAGTGCCTGCAATGTCAACATGTTTCTACCACGTTTCAACACTTTCAAGTAAATAATAAAGTTACCGCGTATAACTAAAATATCGTGTCTCCAAATATAAAGTAATTGATTTTTGTTTCTACTTATAAACATGTGTAAATTTTTAACAGGATTTACTTGTGGATATACGCAAGGCGAATACACTGGACGAAGCGTTAAATAGTTACTTCAGTAGAGAACAATTGGATAACAATGACTATAAATGTGAAGCCTGCAAGAGAAGAGTTCCTGCTACCAAACAATTTACTCTGGAGCGTCCGCCAAAAGTGTTGTGTGTACAGTTAAAACGATTTAGCTTTTTAGGAGGAAAAATATCTAGACACATTGGTTTCAAACAGACTATAGATATGGGCCAATATTTGTGGAGAGAACCGGGCGAATCTCCCAAACCGCTAACTTATAAACTTATGTCAATGGTAACACACATGGGTCCTTCTGTAAACTGTGGTCACTATACGGCGATTGCACAAGTATCAAGCGGTCAATATTATTCCTACGATGATTCTTGTGTTCGTCCAATAAGCCTTAATAATGTATTAAGTACAAACGCATACATTATGATTTTCGAAATGGAAAATGATAGTCAAAATCAACAAGTTGCAAAAATGAATGGCACGACATCAGCAAAGAGTGTACCGACCTCGCTTTCCAATTCTACAAATAAGTCTCCTATATCCAAAGCCTTGATGTCCGCTGGATGTTTCACAAACGGGTCATCAAGCGGAAATGACTTCGGTAATACGAGTAAACTAACGTTAATCGGTCCGCAGCTCCCGCCGCAAAGAAGTATAGAATTAAATCTTCCTGTAAAAAAATCTAGTGATACTGTTATTACACCATTGCCACAGAAAACGCAAGATAAACCACACCCAAGATTAGTTATGCACATTAAAAACGGAAAGGTTCTAAATGGAAACAGTTTAGTGCCCTATGATGGTTCCAGTGAGGAAGAAGATTGTTCCTCTGGGATGGGGACGTCAAAAAATCAAATGTCAAATACTGCGTCCCGAATTAATATCACGAATGGTGTGTCAAAATGCCTTGCAAAAGATGTAGTGAAAACAGCCTCTAATTTTAAAGAATTACAAAAGGTTAATTCCAAGAGCAATACCAACGGTGTGTCAACGACAACACAAGTTACAATTGCAGATTGTACAAAAGCGCAAAATGGACCCAACAGTAACGGCCGAATAAATGTGCTAAAACATCAAAATGGAAAAATTGAAACGAATGGTCAGTCTGAGCAGCGCGATAAAGATAAGTATCGCCAGATCATTAGAAAAAATGGACAAGAGATCATATCTACGAAGGCTGCAACTAGCAATGCTAAAAGCTGGCAAGTCAAGGATACAACTCGTATTCTCAGTGGGTCAACTAATGGATGGTCATATATTGACAACAGGTAAATTCTTTTACGAAATATAATTCTGTATAGTAATGATAAAGCGATAGAAAAAAAAATTTATATTCTAGGGAGGATACTAAATTACATCAAAGTGGTACGACACCGAGTGCCGCGGCTGTGCGAAATTTTAATGGTACCAATGACTCGGACGTTGTTCCAAGCTTATCAAAAATGTCGTATCGCGGATACGGCAGTTCTTCGGGTTAGTATGTCTGATCTAACTATACAAATTTAATTATAAATTATGTATCAGGAGACGCGGTAGTGTCTCCGGCCATGTTCATAGAATTATGTAGAAAAATCAGGAAATTTATATTTTCTTTAATTTTCAGTAATGAGTTGGAATGGCAACAGAACGCACCTCGATCGCGATATCGATAATGAGAGACGAGAGGAACGTAAACGTCATTTTAACGCAGACGACGAAGAAATAGATAAAGGCCGGACAAAGAAGGTCAAGGATCACACAAATCGTCGGTCATACGAGGAGAGGTCCAGTACAAGGAACAAGTCATTCCAAAACAAAATGCGGAATCGACCAGTTAATGGTTATCATAATCATTACCCTCATCATTACCATCATCCTTATAATAATCGAAGACATTATAATACTTCTCACCCACGATCACGGCACGGAAACAATTATAGACCACACTATAGAAATAACTCTTATAGATATCTATATCACTAAGGCTCACTCTTGCTGCCATTGGGCTGTGAGTGATCGGCAACAATGTGTAAACGGAGAAAGATTTTTAGGAGTTATATCGACGATTCAGAGATAGACCCGTTTTAACAAAGTGTGTGATAATACACTGATTGATTTTCATTTGTAAAATAGTTATCGTTTCTCAATACAAGTGAATTTGGAAGTGAACTGTTAGAGTCTGACAGTTGACGCATCCATCTAAATTTCATTCATGATGACTCATTTATAGTGATTCATTCAAAAACAGAATGCATGTTCATGATAAACTCGTGGCATTTTTTGCCTCTTGCATAAGTTTGATACACATGTATATCGAACGAATCGATTCATGGGGGATGAGTATCATCAGCTGTACCATTTTGTGTTCAATATGAATTATTATAGAAAATTATAATTTTCTTTTTAATCATGATATACAAACAGCTAACAATAATTTTAAGATGCATATTCACCATTAAATTTTCCTGAGATTTTCATAAAATTAGCATGCGCATGTGCTTATATATAATAAATATAAATTAAATTGAATACAATTATCATTTAATATGACTCGTTAGGATCCTAAGATTTTTAGGAAAAAATTTAATATAAAACTATATATAAATATCTAAATTATAATTAATCTCTAAATTAATTAGAAATTCTAAATTTAGTAAATACAAAAATTAATTTGTTATTAAATTATTCCTTATCTAAAATATTATATCAATTTCTCTCTCACTCATATTTAATTTCTCTTGTAAGTAATGATAAAATAATAAGAGTTTATTGGCAATATGTGGTGATAAATAATCTTAGTTGCAATATGAAGAAAATTAAATTAATGCTTTTGTATTAAACGTTTACATGAAATTTGAGTGTAATACAGAAGCAATTTATTCTATATCTTCTTAAAAGAATAAAGTTTTTATAATAAATTAATTGCATATATATGTATATAATATACAATATATGTGATAATCCGTCCTCTTTTTGTTTTATTTTGTAGAGGTACTCTTCCCCCCTGTGAGAAATAATGTTAAGGGAGACAACCATTCGACGAAAATAGCTAGAATTATAATAATTGAGTTTGTTGGAGGCTTCGTTTCGAAGCAAAAGACGCAGATTAGCAATTAGCATGTTTGATGGCAGTATCGTGCTACTTTCTGTTACTATAAATTACAATAACACACCTGTCAGTAAGCGCGAATTTAAATATGTTTTTAAGTGTTTCTACTGCGATTATTAAAATAATTGTGTATAACTAAATAACATATAGTTATATATAATAATAATATTAATAATATGGAATAAAACCGAATATGTAATGATATGTAAATTACTTATGATATAGCCCAGGAGCGCTTATAACGTTAAGAAATCGCTATTAGCGATTAAAATTACAAAGTTATAAGTTAATTTTTTAAGCGATTCATGAAAAAGTCAATTCTCAATTATCTCATCCCATACGATATCTCATTGCATCATTATCGAATGAAAAAAACAGGAATGTTAACTGAACATAAAGGAGATGTCATATCGATGAAATTAATACGCAATCATGCAGTGTTATAAAGTTCTATGCTATGCAAGCAAATCAATGCCAGATTTATGTATGTACGTACTACATGTACATACGAGAATACAAAAGCTTTCTTATTCGAAGTTGTGTTCCCGTGTGTACGAAAGGAAAACAACAATGTCGTTTATATAAGTCATAACAATCAATAAAAAAAAAAAAAAAATTGAATACCTACTATCTTCTGAAGAAAAAACACTATCGCGTTTCGGATAATATCGAGTTGGCCATGGAAATAAGTTTGTTTAACAGTTTGACAAGATATACCTAAGATAATTTCTATAAATTGCTATCATGACCGATGACAAATCGGCTCACGATATTGTACAAAATCTCGAAAAAAATGTAAGTTAATGTATAAACGTCGGAACATAAATACGTTTCATTTTTAACCGTTTTGAAATTATATACAGTCAAACGAATCGTACACACATATACGAATGATACATTTTTTTATATAGGTGAGCATTCTCAAGTCAGAGGGTTACGGTCCAGACATAGTTCTTGAATTCCGTGACAAGTTCGAATTGTTTCGTAAACTATTGTGCAATCTGACAGATAAGCTCCAGTCGTTGTTATATTTATCCGAGAATTACACCTCCACGAACGACTTTAAGCAGTTTATAAGCAGGATTGTCAGTTCATGGAACTCTATTAATAAGCAGGTAAAACTTCTATATTTTACATTTATAAATTTCTTGTATAAGTATTTACAGAATTGGCACATGAATTATACAGGTCTGTGAAAAATGTTCCAAGATTCAAGTGGGTAGTCGTACGCTATCGGGAATACCGTTATCATTGCTCCTTAAAAAGATAAAAAAAGAGACATCTTTAACAAGGAAATTGTTGCACACCTGTGTTACTAAATACAGTCATGAATATCTCTCGAAGTGTTACGTTTTGTTAAATGAAACCGAAGATTTATTATGTAAACTCGAAAAATCGGATGATAAGGCACGTATCTTCTGCTTTTGACATTTAATACATCGTTATATATTATAAGAAAAATCTGCAAAATATATACACGCTTATAGAACCTTCTATAAGCAAAATTATATAAGCGACTTTTTTTTTATTTGCAGTTACGACAATATATAGCTATACTGAAGTTGAATCCATTCCTTGTTAAGCTAGAATCTGACATAGACACATATGTCTCAAATACTAACATATCACCAATCGACAAATCTAAATATCCAAAACTGGACGTTTTTCCAATTGTCGCAAAACTTCTCACCGGTGAGTTACTTGATGACGAACCCATAGACCCGTATTGCGTTTTACTGGATAATGTGCCTAGGAAACCAGTTTTCATTATTAAAATAAAACAAAATGGATCCATCAATGACAGTCGAGGAAACAATATAAATGTGCAAAGTTACACGTTATAATGGAAGAGAATAATATAATATTATATAAAAACAATATATATAATAAATTGTATTTCAGTAATAACTTATATTTGGCAACGTGTCATAAGCATTAATACGCATCGAACAAATAAAATCTCAAGGAATGGAGCTTAATCTCTTGCTCTGGTACTAGACAATATGTAAATAATCCATAATATATGTATAGTACATTGTACATATTCATTTTGGTATCTTAAAAATACTACATACCACCCACAAATGCGATCATCATTCTGATAGTCGAGAGAAGACTAGATTTAAAAGATACCCTCAAGATCAGGAATAGAACAGGACGGAGCCAGTCTTAACACAAGGTCTTTGTGGTGTAGAAATTCTGGTGGAAGAAGTTGTTTCTTTCTCTATAAAACAGAAGCAAGCAAAATAGTGATACATAAAATAAAAAGAAATGAGGAGGCACATTGCTATTACAACTAACCAGCGGAGGCTGTGAGACAGTGTTCGCGACGTTGGTAGCGATGGGCGCCCATCCTTTCGTGTTTAAGCATTTGTAACATGATTTAGGCACACCCAGACATGTCAAATGGTATCCATGGCCACAGCCAAATACCACCACATGATCAGAACACTGCGACAATGGCTGTCTACATACAGGACAAATTATAGAAACGTTGCCGCATGCTCTACCAGCATCCCTGAATGATAAAAAAAATCACTATATACATATATATATATATATATATATAATTGATACATGTCATAATATTCAGCAAGTCTTTCACGATAAACTTCTTTGAGTTTACATTTTATCACTTAAGCTAGATTAAATCTTCCCTTCTGCTTTGTTATTATCGAAAATTTTGCATTTTGAATTATTCGAAAAAGTTCATCGTGGATTTGCAGACATCCGCATTCTATCAAGCTTCCCATCACTTCTACTCACATTAAGTATGTTAGAAGCAATAAAATACACAATAAAAATTTGTATACAATGTATATGAAAATGTTTCGACACAAATCATAAATCAATAGAATCGACTTATAAAATTCCGAAAACTTTCTTTTTATTTCATTAATTAATAAATAAATAACCATATATCTACAATTAATTATGCGCGTGTACATACGCACATGCACAATTAATTGTAGATATACATATATATAACTAAAAACTAAATGTGTTCTGCAGTTATGATAAACTGTCTCAAATTAATAATATGTAAAAATAAGTATGATTTAATTTCCCGAATCAAGATGATGGTTTTCAATATATTTTGATAAATCTATTCTATTGATTACAAGTGTTTTATCGAAAAATATTTTTATTTGAATATAATTTGTAAGAATTTTTATCGTGTGTTTTCTCGCTTCTGACAATCTGAGATAGTAGTGATGAGTAAACACAAGCTTTAAGAATGAATATATCTCGTATATCATCAGAACTTCCAGGATACCTCAAGGATTTTTTTAGAGTCTTATGAAGCTCCAAACTCACTAATCGAGCGGTAGTTTCGACAAGGGTTTGCTCATATCGTGATTGAGTGAGAACTCCGGACAACAGTTGTCGTATGTCACCCATCGTTCCGCTCGTTGCTGATGGATTTCTCAGGATCTGCTCCAATATATTCGATAATATCGATGTACCGCTCAGAGATTCTAGAATTAATCTCAACAATTTGCCGTTCAATATGTCCATCTTTTGTCTGTTATTCTCTGAATGTGATCGGAATATAACTTCCACTAGGGGCATCCAGTCGAGACTCCCTGCCGATCTCCGACATATCCCCGCGAGTTGAATGGCGGCGTACACCGTTTCGCTTTCCGAAGCTTTAGCTTGACGATACATCTCCAACCGGTCCTCCAACTCTTTCAACAAAAGATCAAATGCTTCTTGATAATTACCAAGCTTCTCTAGCATAATCGCCTCTGCATCTTTACAATTCCATTTTTGAACAATCTTTAATGCCTCGTCCAGCCTGCATCCGTGTGGTCCGTGCAAATGAGTAACTACGCGTGCCGGCTCCAATTCGCACATTAACGCTAAATATCTCTCCAGATGTTTAGTTGTTAATTCCAAAGAAACATCCTCCTCCTTGTATTGTGCGATTTGATAAAACGCTCCTAACAGCTTATATTCCAAGTTTAAATTATCGGTAAGACTCTGTAATATTTCATCGATTTTGTTCTGCAATCGTGTTGCAATAATCGTAGCAAACTGATTGGCATTGATCGCCACAAGAGTTGAAGTGTGAACTGATATAACTTGGTCTAACGAAGCAGTCGGCAGATTCTCGAGCCAAGGCCACACATCATGATGCCTCAATGGTTCCAAGATCATACACTCACATACCGCCACCCAATCTTCTCGCGCACTGTACAGTAATTCCACGACTCTTATGCTACAACTGTTGGTTATATGTATATATATATATATATACATATAACCAACAAAAAAAACATAGATTGAGACTAATTAAAAATACTTACAAACTTGCTCTATTTGCTAAATTTAATAAAGTATTATCAGAAATATTGCACAGTTTTTTAGAATGCAACAATCCCAACACAGCGTTTTCTCTCTCAGTCTTAAAGTCCTTTGACAATTTCACGTGTACGTCAATGCACAATATATCTATCATTTTATTCAACATATTATACTCTAACGTAACAGTGTTTTCACACACTTCATTTGCCACGAATATAAGAACCATAAATTGTTGCTCCAGCGTAATGTAATCGATATTTTTCGGAGTAAGCGGCGTATTCGACATAACAATGCCTAACAAGATGTCTATGAGTCTCTGTCGGTGCCGGAGGCCCATTTCGGAGGTAAATTCTGGTTCCTGAAAGGCGATGGCAATAACATCAAGGAAGCCCTTCGCATCGAATTGCAATAACGTTCTCAAATATGGATATTGCCTCTCCATATCATTTGCCAAACTAGAATGCTGGGATAATAGGGCTCTCAATATGTCTGCTTTTGCTTTTTGCGGTATGCCTTCGGGAAGCTCATCCTTGGGAAATCCGCGACCAGCGAGACAGCAGCTAGTATAAACTAGAATGGCGTTGCCGAGTTTTATACAATCTCGGGAAAGGGCGGCTAATGGGTCCTGTAATAAATTTTGAAGTGTTGGTACTAATTGATGAATGGGTGCTGTAAAATCACCCAAGGCTGTTGTCTGGAGATAAATTAGCGCTTCCCAAAGTCCTCGTTGACGACAAATTGTCGTTACCTAGGAGAAAAACATACATTCTAAAATCGTAAAATATGACTTTGCAAATGCCATTTTTAAAACGTAAATGACTATTTTTCATCGCTTGCTAATATTAAGACTTACTTGATGAATATCTAGACAATCGACATTGAGCAAAACTACGATTGCTTCCAGCGAATCTACTTTGCCTTCTTGATCATAAAGAGTGACCAATTGCTGGGCAATCAATGGCGGCAGTCTCGGTTGAAGACTTCCGTCTAGCAGAGGAGCTTCGAGAGCGTGCAAATAACTAGTTTTTAGCTCTTCCGATTCAAAGACTATATCCCACAACTTTCCGAACAGCAAATCCAGATTTTCCAGTTGAATGCAGTAATCGACGCAAGTGAGCACTATCGTTTCGTAGCCTGTATTTTCGTCTATCAAACATTGATTTAATTCGTCCATATACTGCACTAACACTTCGCAAACTTTATCGCGCGTTATTTGCTTACGACGTTGCTTAGAACCTCGTAGGCCGATAACCGCCTTGCCTTTGTCTTGATAAAATGAAAGACCTAATGCTAACGCTTCGGGAAAACGTTTCTGAAATACAAAGCATTTTTAAATGTAATATCTAATCAAGACTCAGTGAAATAAAATTTAAACTTGTGTCAATAAAGGACAATGAGCTATACACTAAATTATACTGCTTAATAAAATACAATGTATTTTTAAAGAGAATTAAAGTAAATCTAGACGACATGGCCTATGTACATCAATTTTACGAACATTCATTAAATATTTATAATTATATGAATAATTATGCATACAGTGTATATGAGTGTGTGCGTGTGTAATATTTGTTAATAATGGTGTACATTAACCATGTCATCTGGAGCCGTCTTTACATTAATACAATATCCAAATGTTTTGGATCTGCGATCAAATTAATCAAGCATGACATTCTATTAATATAAAAAAAATAATGATAATTCCAAATAGCATTATTCATAATTCTACAATTCTATGTAGACATTTTTCCTCTACAAGAAAGTGATAAATATCACTTTTGGCAACAGCTCCCGTTAGAGTTCTACTAAAGATCTATTAATATATGCACTTTGAAAACAAAAGTAATTAAAAATAAAAAAACTTATAATTGTCGGAATTTTGTTTTCAAAGTGCATATATTAGTAGATCTCTAGTACAATTAGTAACAAAAACTGTTGCCAAAAGTAGTAATATTTATCATCTGCTTGTATATTTTAGTAGTATCATGCTAGTTTAATGCATTAAATCGTGTCTGACCATTTTTTAACACAAGTTTACAATATTTTACTCTCATAATTAGATTCTTTCCATCACTTTAAACTGACCTGCACGATAAGATGTTGCAATCTTTCAGTCCATGTTCTCATACATATCACATGTAAACTCTTTGTACCTAATAACAACAGCTGTGTACCATAAACTATAACGGTGTTGTAACACGCCCGTTCACCGGCTAATGCCATCGCCTACGTAAAATATATTACGAATGTAACATTAGATACATTTCTTTGTGTCCTCACATACCAGTCTTTGTACCTTAGAAACATTTCCGCCAGTAGATAGTCCCTTAAAATGACTAGATGCATAAGAAATACCAACGCGACTCATGTCTAATGTCTCCAAATTATCCTGCGCTCTTACGTCTAACAAATGTAACTTCTCTTGAGTATCCAATATCACGAGAGATCTCGGATTTAACCACCTCAAATTGCTTATCATATACGGTAGTGTCATTCTTCGAAGAGGAGACAGTTTTACCCGTGTACCAATTTCAGTATACACCTTGTCAACAGATAATAGTCTTTAGTATTCTCAAAAGAAAACAAATAAAATATACAATTGAATATATGAAGCAAAAGTTCTTTGTAATCCTACAGGGAACAAATAAAGATTATATATGTATGTATAATGTAATTAAATAAAAGTACTTGATAAAAATACACCACATTGTCCCTCGCGAGTGCCAATACTGGGTCGATCACGCGGGAGCCATCAGCCGTTTGTATGACAACCAGTTGCCAAGACAGTTGTGGTGGTGCTATTGCGGCACCGGTCAACGGATGACTCAATACAACACGCATTCGTGGTCTTATGCAGACTATAATTACCTACGCGGAATAAAATAAATATTGATAAATTATATACATGTGTATTCAATGTTTTTAAGTATTATAATAACCTTCGATAATGTTGCCATTGCTACTAATGTATAATGTTTAAGTGGATGCGATGGCAAATGATTCAACAGCAAGGGCTCTAGAGTGCACACTTCTCCCTTGGAACCACTAAACAAACATCTGCTGTCGCATCCTCGTATACCTATCACTCTAGTGAAATTCAATTCAAATACAGAGCCTCCGCTGTCACTGCATAAGGCTATTTTTGGTGAATCTGTAAACTAAAGTGACTACTTTAAAACAATCGATTAAACAGACATATTCAAGGTACAATAATAGCGATAAATTGGATAAAACCTTTCTTTTTCAATCATCTTGATATATGCTATCAAGATCATGATATGATCTTGAATAATATCAAAAGATTTTATAATGTCCAACAAACTCTGGTTAGTCAATTCAAGGATAATTCTAAAAGATTCCAGGAAAATTTTTGTAGGATTTATGCATCCATTAATTTTCAATATTTAATTAATTTTCATCGATTCAGTATTATTGTATTCAATAGCAATATTGTATTCGAATTAGGATTCTACACGAATGAGTTAAAACACTAACAAATTTGGAACAATATTATTTATTGCTTTATAAATAACATCAAACAAACATTCCGTCAAAACAAACGATTTTTCTACTATGTTCTATTTTAGATATAAAATTTAAATTTTTTATTGTTATATATATATATATATATAAATTATTACATCTTTAAAGGTGAATTTATACCCAAATACAATTTTCCTTTTTATTATTTCTTTCTCTTTGTTCACGCTGATTATTTAAGGGTAAAAGAATAATAAATTCCAAGTCAGCCATGAAATTTTAGAGGTTTTCCAGGAAGTTTCGAGAAAAATTGGAAATTCATATAGAGCTTTACTTTGCATGGAAAACATAGTGTTGTAAATGCAATGAATTCTGTCATCCCTACAAGCTTCGTTATTAAAAAAAAATATATATATAGATTTAGGCTGAATTTCGCTTCACCTGGAAAGTTGTAAACCCATGTAGAAACTTCCCAGATAACAAGGTATTTACTTCTTTTATAGTGAAGCCCATTGGGGCGAAACTTACTGCATGCATACACTTTCTATGCAAATCGAGGTGTTCAGAATGGATTTAGAACTTTTCATGCAAAACGTGGAAAGCGAGTTAGATACATTTTTATGTTTTGTCGAATTCTTTCATTAGTAATATATATCAAGAGTATATATATTAGCAATATATGTCAAGAAAATCGAGATTGTACCTTAACATGCAATACAGCAGTGTCTTGCGGGTGTACATCAGCGAGAATTCTTAAAACTTTTCCATTACTGCTATCCAACATCAAAATATGTCCTCTAACGAAACCAGCCAACACTCTGCTACCATCATGGTTAAAACAAAGAGCAGAAACGGAACCTTGATGTTTCGTTTCCTGATCGCACCATCGCAACGTTTGCGAAGAATCAAAGCCTAGTATTAAACCATGACTGGTACCAATCACCAGCATATTCCCTCCGACCGCGACTGCACTAGCCAGACCGGCGTTGACTCTCTCCTGCATAAACCATATTTAATAACTATTTCGGACTCAGTTACTGTGTGTACAACATGTAACAAATGTTAAAAAATTTATAACTTGAAGGAACATAATCCCTTATATCTCTTATATATAATGTATGGAATAATTGCTCACATTGGCTGATACAATTTGTGATGTTATTCCTTTGAGTATGACATGCCTTAAGATAACACCCGAATATGGGTTATGAGTGGTCTTAGAGGACTTATTTAATGAATTCAGCGACAAGTGACTGCCAATGCTAGTTGTCTCGCTGCTGCCGAGTTTTTCTCCTAATGGTAAACCAATGGTGTCGTCCTCTGTTTCCGACAGTGATTCATAATCAGGCTCCATCAAAATACTTTCTAAGGTGGGTAGTTCTTCCACGATGGGTATGGCATATTCCGTATTATCTAACTAAAAGGAATACGGCATAAAAATACCGTTATTAAAACAATTATATTTAAATTAAACAATATATATATACAAAAGCACAACAGGCGAAAAAGATGAATTAGAAAAGCAAGCAGCATAGTGTGATTTGCTCGATAATGATAGTATTGCACACACACACACACACATTACATGTTTTACGATATCATTGCACGGATGCAATTGAAAATATAAATAGGTACCTCTTCGATATCTAAATTAATAGCTTCCGCAACAAGACATTCGTCACTGTCCGATACAAATTCATTTTCAGCCATCTTATTTTATCCAATTTTATCTAATGTTATGTTATCGCGGTCCCGGTAAGAACAGCTGATCTACATACATGTACATTTGACAACTGTTTGACACATTTGTTTTTATTATACGTGTCGTAATGTCGCAAATGTTTGCGTTTATAAGCACATAACAGGAATTCGACACTGTTTCGATGTTCCGAAATATTAAAATATTTCATGTATCCATACCGATATTTGTGCTAAATTATTAATTCAACCAAAGCACATATTGATATCTTCACACAACTTGATACACATCACACCATGGTGTTCCAAAATTCACTACCCGCTGCTCGCATGAAAATCTTAGCATTTTCGGCCCGACGTTTGCTCCAACCTGGATTAGAAAGTACTTTACTATTGGTGGACTTTACGCGCTCAACCAATAGGAGAGCACGAAACGTCATTAATTCAATCCATGTTAGTGCAAACCCGGGTTGAAAAGGTTATATGTGTTGACCGAGTTAAATATGGCATTCCGACCTCAGCTGATCCCAGTACTGACTTGTAATAAACTGTAGTATGTTAACGATTTAGGTATTATAGAAATTTGTGAATAGATTTCGTAATCTATTCTCATCTAATATCGGTTCACGGGACAACGACGCTTTTTTCTGCTACATTTGTTTATTTTGTACAAAAATGTATTGAATGAGTCTAATTTCGGAGCTAGTTGTACTATTGAACAATTACTTATGTGCGTGAAAAGTTAAACTTTCTCACAAGTTACATCAAAATGCCACTAATAATAGTAACTGGTATACCATGCAGCGGCAAAACCATGAGAAGCCTCGAACTTAAGAATTACTTCGAGGAGAAGTTGAAGGATAGTACGCAAAACGTGGAGATAATCAGCGAGAGCAACACAATAATCCAAACGGGCTACAATAAAAATACATATTTTGCAGGTAATTTGAAAAGCGAAGTGAAGGATATTTCCATGAAGGTCAATGTTTCCATTGATGTAATTTTGATCATGTTTCAATATACATTGCTAATACTAATGCCTAAATTCTAAACAGAATCATAAAGGCTTGTAACATATTTTCATAAAACTAAGCACTTTCATGCAATATCTTTACAGACAGCTTTTTACTAGCCGTAAGATTTACAAGAAATCTTAGTAGATATTTACTAACATTCATATATCTTATGACATATATGCATAAATAGAATACTTGAAAGTTCTTACAAGTTGTAAGAGCATCTTATGAATCTCTTATGATCCTATTTACTATTGATCCATAAAAATCTATCTAACATAAGTATATATAATGTAAACTATAGATTTTCAATACTAGCAATGTATATTAACTTTAATTGTATAACATAGAAAAAACCATGAAATATAGACATTATTTAGACCTATAATGTTTGATATATAAAAAGGTCGAGATATCCAATCTCAAGTCTTTCTTTGATATTGGCATACAACTTCTATGTATATAAATACAATATTTTAGTAAATGTTTTTAGTATAGTGCCCCTTTTCCAATTTTCTTCTAATGTTGTAAATTTGTGTATTTTTATGTCTAAAATATATTCCAAAAAGGAAAATTGTCACTCAAGTTTTGTTTTCTTATTATTTAATTTAAAAGTGTTTTGATGTCAATAAGTTTGAAAATAATAATTTAATTATATTTTACAACTGCTCATTAATGTCATTTATAAATTGAAATATAGTTGAAATATCTTTTTAACCTAATGTCATTTATAAATTAATAGTATTAGTTTAATTATAAAGTAGGATATTCAGACCAATAATTTTAATAGTAAAACAACTTAATTATATGTAAGAAAACTTAAAATTATATAATTTAGATTTAAATAAATTTAAATAGATTATATTGTATAATTTAATGAAATCTATTTAAATCTAAGTTGTAAGTTTATTACATAACATAATTCTCTGCTATAATTTAAATTTTAAAAAATTCGTGTTTTTAATTGATTAAAGCAGAATGAATATAGATATACATTTTAAATCACAAACTATTCTGTGCTATAAAATTTAAATTATATACTTTTATTATATAATTTAAATTATATCTATGCATATTCCTGCTTTAATCAATTAAAAATATAAATTTTTTTATACATATAGTTGTAATTTTCTCATATATTTAAGCTGTAATTTTCTTATATATTAATTAAATATGTTATTTACTTATTATTAAGTTGTTCAACTGAAACTTTATACTTAATTTGATAATGTACTAACTATACATATATATAATTCATAAATTGAGAATCTTAATAAGCATGTACAGTTGTCAAATATCATTTAAATTATCATTTTCCAATTCCCTCCTCTTTCTCTCTCTCTCTCTCTCTCTCTCTCTCTTTCTCTCTCTTACTACGCATAAAAAAAATTTAATTAAATAATAAGTAAGCTTAAGCGACGATTTTTCTTCTTGAAATATATTCTATGCACAATATATAAATTTACAAAATTACAAGAAAATCAAAAGGAAAGGAGTGCTATACTTAACATTTACTAATATTATGCAATTTCAAATGTTTTGACAAATATTCAAACATTACATTGTATTAATCCATCTTGCGTTTTCAGATTCGAAAAAGGAGAAAGCTATTAGAAGTTCAATCAAATCAGACATTCAACGTAAACTAGACTCAAACAACTTATTGATATTTGATGGCAGCAATTATATCAAAGGATATCGATACGAAATATATTGCACGACCAAATTGTACAAAACTCCTCAGTGCACATTGCATTGTAATTTGCCAATTGACCAAGCTTGGCTTTGGAACAGTAAACGAGTTGAGTCGGATCGATACAACAGGGAAATTTTTGATTCACTTGTATCTAGGTGATAATAATAATCCAATAGTGATAATGATAATCGCTAGAAATTAGTTAAAATTTCTAATATTTAAACATTGAATACAACAGATATGAAGTACCAGAGACTACAAACCGATGGGATTGTCCACTTTTCACAATTATGCCTGAAGACACTTTAATGTGTGACGAGATTTATTGCTATCTCTACAAAGGCAAATTACCAAAACCAAATCTGAGTACTCAAAATGTTGGAATCTTTTTCTCATCTTCCTTTTTTATATTTCAATATTTAATACCATCAATATTCAATACTCACCAATACTAATAGATATTTATCTTTTCAGCCACCATTAGCTTCCACGAATTATCTACACGAATTGGATAATATAACGAAAGATGTGATAAACGTAAGTTATGTATTTGCGTACGCGTGCGCGCATTTGTAATAATTCATAAGCGTACTATACATTGATGGAGCAAGTAATTGGGTGTTAAATATTACAAGTCAAACTTAATAATCACATTTTTGTTCTCTCTTCACTTAAACGGTTTTTTTACTGTACAAAAAATATATCGCTTCCTTATTTCAAAAGTGATACAATTTTGAAAAAAAAAAACAAGATTTTTGAGTTATTATTATTGAATGAATTAAGTAAAAATTACCTTAGCAATTATTAAAAGTAAATTAACTTTTATAAAAAAAAAACCACTACATCTAAAGAAAAAATGAGTGGTTTGTTTTAAGAATTATAAAATGAAAACAGAAATATTATTTTTAGTTATATTAAAGATCTATTCATTTAACTGATAGTATTTGATTAATCAATAATTTTCTATTATGTACAAAAATAGTTTCCCTCTTTTCTGAAAAACTCAATTTTTTCATTGCCACTTTTAAAATAAAAAAGCTGTATAATCTATGCAATTTGTACATAATGCTTTCTTAAACGCCATGATTTACATATGAACGTCAACAAGAAATGCTTTTTCTTTTTAAGGTGATACTATCAATGCAACAACTGGGAATAAACAATGATATAAAAATACCAGATTCTAGTGTAAATTTAGAACGCGCAACCGCACCGTCAAAACTTGCAATGTTAAGAAGACAGTTTATAACTTTTAGTAAAATGCAACAAAATGAAGTGAATAATATTGCAACGTTATTTGTACAATATCTCAATAACAATATACGGTAAAACTGAATTTGTATATCTGTATGCGCGCGAATGCACATAATATGATTTTATATACACACATATGTACAGGATGTTTTAATTCTATTGATAACGCTTATTTGCAGATAACACGAATTAAACTGACAAGAAAACACGCAGGAAGTATCACTCTGATTTTGATGAGCTTTTAATATATTATTTTATAAATAAAAAAATAAGAGATACATGTTTTTTCTTATATCTGAGTTTGCATGTTAAGGGGGTGAAAACCTTCTTTGAAAAAAATCGGTTTTTTTTTTTTTAGAGTGAATATTGTTGAAACCATAAAAGATAGAAAAAATTTCCAGAATAAAAATTAGATGATTTCAAGAGTATTTTATAACTATTATAAAACAAAATTTTTTATGAATAAATAATTTTTGTGAAATTATAAATAATTTTTAAAATTATAAATAATTTAAAAAATTTCCTTATAATAGTTCTAAAGTACTTTTGAAACAATTCAATTTTCATTGTAAAAAATTTTTTTCTATCTTACAGTTTTGCTTATAATAAAAAAAAACTGATTTTTTTTCAAGGAAGATTTTCATCCCTTTAATATGAGACTCAGCCGATATAAAAAAAAATAAATATCTTTTATTTTTCAACTGATATAAAGAGATAAGGGCAATGAGCCAATAATTTCGTTAAAATCTTTAAATTAATCTAATACATATTGCGAAGAATATCACGTAATTATGATGTTTCGTCCCAGCTTCCATTACTGGATTCATCAGTAAGGCATTGTAATGGAAGCCTACCTTATACGCCTGAGAGAGTTATTTAGTTGAGATTCTATATAAAGAGATATACGCGTATCAAAACACTTGCGAGAATTTTGCGAATATCTATAGATATTAATTACTAAAAATTACTGAATATTTCAATAACTTTTTATTTTAGAATAAATTGCCATTGAGAGCCAACACAGAATGAAGATGTGTAGTAAAATTTATTTAATTACACTAATAATTTGCAATTATATGTTGGCTCTCAATGGCAATTTATTTTAATTTTTGATTTATTCATAGGAGCCTCTTGTATATAGTTATTAATTTTTAATTTTTACTTTAGAACTCTAAACATTTTTTTCAGAATTTATCAATTTTTTTTCAGAATTTTTAACACTATATTTTCTTATTGCCAACTATTTTTACGGACACAAGAAAATGCGATATTAAAAAATTTTAAGAAAATTCTCAGAACTCTATGAGAAGAAATAAACAAATTTTGTCATTTGCTGTTTTTTTTATAAAGTTGATAGTATTATACTTGAGTAAAAAATTATTGATGATCAATATATTCGGCAATTTTTAATAATTAATATTTTTTATTAACTATTGCTAATATTATAAATAGTAGAGGACTTTTCGTCTCAATTTAGTCCGTTCTACTAGCACACGAACGTTGTCAGCAGAATTATCAAACACCTTGTATATAAAATCATATTGGTCGCGTTCAGCAGACTCAACTGTTGCGGAGCGGATCCGTGAACGCTCACTGCTATTGGATGATCTAAAAGAATATACCAATAGCAGTAAGCGCTCACGGATCTGCTCCGCAACAGTTGAGTCTGCTGAACGTGACGACCATTATTATGCAATAACGTTGCATTATACAATAACGAAAATTATTGGTTTGTAAATATTTATAAACCTTTGTCAAACACGTTTCAACCAAATGACTCATGATGCAATAGACAAGAAATATAACTAGATTAGATATTGTCTGCAGTTCTAATACACTGATCAATTTAAAAAAATAGTTTGTCTATTATTTTCAAGGCATTACTGAAGTTATAAAGACAATCTCGTAGCACCATTGAAAACACTCTTGTATGAAACGAATCTTTACATTCAAACAGATTGTGACAGATAAAGATGTAAAAAAAAAAAAAGAAAAGATATAAGATGCATCTTAAAGATATTCTATGATGCAGTCATAGAACTAGTTCTCTCACACATGAAACACGGATGCACTTAAACAATAACATCTCAGCGTTCTACACTTCTTTAGGAAGAAAACGCGCCATGCTGTAATCAATTTTCTTGTTCTTGCACACTATTAGTTTCATCTCCATTCTGATTGTGATTTATACCATCCACATGTCCATTAGGTTTTCGACAAACAAAGTACACGCTATTATATTCGCACTGTAACATACTGTTAATATTCTGGGCATAACGTGTTTTCACTTTTGTCTCTTCCTTCTAGAAAAAGAAAAAAATAGTACCTCCATGGATGTTTCGAAAATATCATATGTAAAACTAAAGATTTTTTACCTCCAATTGAAAGCCAAAGCCTAGAATAACATCACGGATAGCATCGTAACTTGGCTCGATCGAGTCTTCGTTCGGTAAATCGCTGAAATGATAGAGTAACGGTCCGAGATTTATCCAGACGCCACCTGGCTTCAGAATCTTATAAATTGTCTCGATAAATTGTACAACGTTATTGGCACAGTCTATGAAAAAACATGTCGCGATGCAATCCCAATGGTTGCTCTCTGTATAAACCTAAAATAAATCATATTAACTAAACAAATACTATAATCATGATTACTTACAGTTAATGCAAAAAATATTCCTAGAATAGACTTTAAAATCTTATCTTAAGAAAGTAAATATTAATTAGATGATTGTGATTTATTAACAAAAAATCAAATAAATTGTATATTTTAATAATAAGCGAAAATAAAAATTTATAGTATTGGACGTACACAAAAAGTACTCATACTCTTTTATTTATACTATAACAGGACATTATAAATAAGTGATTAGTTTTTACTTTTTAGAAGAATATTTAAAGTATTTTTTATTTACTTTTTTTTAAAGTATATTTACTTTCTAAAAGATATCTTCTCTGTACAAATACTTCTGTACTCATGCATGTTATATATTCTTGTTTTACCTCTAAAAAATCACCCGCCGTCATAGAAAATTGCGCATTCCCTGGAAGATCGCTCGGGCTTACATCAGGAAAAGAAACCGCTTGCGTCTGGTGTTCGGGTTTCAAGTTATTCATATATTGATGCACCCACGGATGTACTTGATACAAGTTTATATCTCTACATCTGTTACAAAAGAAAAAATAGTGACAAGATGTGAAGGTGATTATTCGCATTACTTGTTACTTTACTATTGTTACTTACTTATTTAATACAAAGTTCGACGCAAACAGCATGAATAGAGAAAATTCATTTCCTTGGCAGGTATATCCGCGTTTCGCAATTTCGAAGGCAAGACGACCTAATCCTGCACCAGGTACTAAAATATGCACGTCCGACGGTTTACTGGAAATTCAACTATCATTTGATATTTCAATCATGTTTCAGTGTGACTTATAAGAAAAATTTTCAAAATATTTTAAAGATTTTCAGCTATAATTTCATCAAAAGTTCACCCAATGTGTCAATTTAGTGTGTCCTTTAATGAAAGAGCAGCTCAAGTTCTAAGCTTTAAGAGATTTTGAAAGTTTCTCTCGATTTTGCTTTTATTTCCTTGATACATTACAATAATTGCTTGTATAATAATTATAAATCATCATACCAATTCTCTGATGAAAATTGATATAATATTTCATCTACAATTAGCTGATAACACGCTTTTCGTTCCTCAGCACCTTCAACGCTCCAGTCCCGTACCAATTGTTTAATGGTAGCTTGCACCTTCTCTTGATCCGACATTACAGGTCTTAGATTTAGAGTCTGTATGAAATTCATCTATTTTATGTAATAGAACAAGATCACAAATATAGATTTATTATTACACAGGTTAAATAAGTTAACATTTTTTAAAATTAAATTAAAAATACCAGCCTCGAAAATTTAACTTATTTAAGGTACAAACTAGTCGATAATGAAATTAATTAAATTAGAAGTTAAATTAATAAAGTAATTGAAAAAAGTTAGAAGTTAAATTTGGTCTAAACTAAATTTGGAATAAAGAAAAAAACATTTATTAATTAACTTTACATAATTTTTAATATTTTTCACAGCCTATTTATTAAAGAATCACTGGTTGTTTTTGTTTGCAATTAACAATTATACAATATATAAAAACTATAAAATATAGAATTGTAGGGTATGTAAAAGAAATATTATAATATAAAAGACATGAAATTATTAAATTATATATTCATTATCTATTCGTATTCTGTTTGAAATAAAAAACAAAATTTTTTAAAAGTTAATAATTACCGATACAATGTCACCGAATTAAGAGTCTAAAATGTAACTAACAATAAGTTGAAATCAATTAACTTTTTAACTCAAACACTCAACTCTTTAAGAAATTAAAACTAAATTTAAACTAATAAATTTAAAGATGAGAATATGTTATAACAGTCAAGCTGGATCTAGGATGTTAATTTTGTATGAATTTATATACTGCGCATGTAGATTTTTATTTAAAACTAAATTTAGCCAAAAAATCCCATATAGCACAGATCTTCAAGGGACATCTAGAGAATATTCTATAAGGATATCCCTCAGATAAAGTGTGCTAGATGAGTAGGATAAAAATATCAAAATATATTTTAACATATTGTTTACACTGTATAAAAAACTTTATTAAATTAAACTTTATCTATGTGCAATAAATAAAACTGTAGGTAAATGTCTCTTACATTGTCAACTTCAGCAGTAGTTGGACACACATTTTCAAATATATGGGCTACATCTTTTATTATGAGTTTTATGATCTGGTCATTGTTGTCGATACACCGTTTGACCTCTTGCAAATTTTCCTTATACTTTGATAGAAGCTTCTGATGATGTTTTGGTAAACTAAGAAAATAAGATTCTGTTTTTCTCACTCTTAGTAAGGAGTGTGTCCTGCGTACAAACAGAGGAAAAATTAAACAAACGGAAGAATTCCTGTGTGCTTTGAGCGTCAAGTCATCAACATTATTTACATATAGTAAAAAAAAAAAATATCACGGTAGTGACTTCTAAATAGTAAACATTTACAATTTGAGTCCTCGAAATGAACAATAGTTAACGCAACATGTCTCTATAGCGACTTTTGAGCAATAATAAAAAGAAAAGCAATGGAATTTAAGATCAGAATTGTCGCTGTCCAGTGTACCGGTTCTCATCATTGACATCGGCACCGAGGAATAAAAGGTACGAAATTTGAGAGAAAAAAAGGTAGAGGAATGAGCGTAGAGACCAGATCAGCGGTATTTTCACTCACTTGTAATATCTAAACGCGGAGACGATTCTCTGGAAGTGCTTTCGCTCCTCTTCATCCTCGTAACTGTTGTGCATTCTTTTCGCACTCGTGTCCATCGCTTCCATCTTTAATGTATGACTTCAGCGGAGATCTTATTTTATAATGAATCCTACCTCTCGCTCCGCGCGCCGAAGAGCGTTTTGGTTGGAATTGGAACGTTTACAGTCCTTTCGCACGGTGCCGGCGGCAACCGCTCCCCGTCCGCACCTTCCGCACCCGGAACAACGAGAGAGGTGTACACGCGCGCTAGTGAGCAAGAGAGACGTGACGCGGAAGGTGCAGTTGACGAAGGTAGTATCATCGGTATTTCCATTCATGTACTTTTCGTCCTTATAATGAAATAAACGTTAATCGAAGGAGAGAAAGGACACCGAGGATACGGGACACTCGTCCAAAATGAACGGATCTCGCGAGAACACGACTGAATTCTCGCCGTTTTATTAACTTTAATCTCTCCCCAATCCTCATCAAAAGTTTCCCCCACTCCGAGCCAACTCAGCTGTCGAAAGCAAAGGGATTGTTCCCAGAGAGAAACCTGAAAAAGTGGATGTAAACCATATAGCAATATTCACTTTTTGCGATGTCCCTGATGAAAATAAATCGCTGAAATCATTAAAATCTCTTATTAAATCGTCTACAATGCCAATAAGCAATGGTGGTCTGCTTTCACACACAAGCGTAACTCGCGTAAGGGCGGGTTCACACCTTGACGGAAAAGCGGAAAGCGGAAGAGCAGTTAACCGATCAGAACTCGCGTTGGTAGTAAATAGTACAAAACTAACAGAAAGTCGACTACCTGATTGGCTACTACTTTTCCGCTTTCCGTTTTTCCGTTAAGGTGTGAACCCGCCCGCACATTCGACTGTGATTAGTCCACGGAGTGTTTATGCCTGGTTTATGCTTCGGTCTTAAGGACTTAATCCTAAAATTCAGCCAATAGAGTTCAAATTTCGGTTAGAACTGGCAGCTTTATTGGTTGAATTTTAGGATCTTGGCATTAAGACCTGAAGCATAAACCAGGCATTAAATATTATTACATTACAAGTATGCATCCTTATTAATGGGATAATTATATAATAAAAAATTATAAATTTAATAATATATATTAGCCAAATATTTGTTAATTATCGCTTTATATCAACTGTCGATAATGTCAACATTTCTTAATTACTTCCGAGCCTTTTTATATGTATATGAACGAAAATTTGTCCAGGGTCGACGTTCTTTAATAGCATCTCGTCAATGCCTATAGGCGGGTATACCTGAATGCGCCATTGTGGAGACACCCGTTGGCGGCAGGGGCGCGCGCGGTTACGCGCGGTGCAAGAACCGAGTCGGTTGTGGGGGGTCGACGGGTAGGTGGGTGCGAGAGGGGAGCAAAGTGCGCGGGCGAGGTAACGTTGAGAGAGGTGGTGGGTTCGCGCTGCGTGCCGTGTATGCGACGTTAGTTCGTTCATCCGTCCGTTGTGATTTTAGTGATTTGCCGTCGTGCAAGGTCGACGAAGTGGTGTCGCGCGGATCCGCGGGTTTTCCCTCCTCCTCCTCCCCCCCCCCCTGTGTATAGAACGGTGTGTTTCACGCGTTCGTCCCGTTTGCGGATGTGGGTAAATTTTACGATGTAAACGAGGCAGCGAAGAGGCAAGAGAGAGTCTCTCACGTCTTATCCCATCCCTCTCCGGCCCCCTGAGTCGTGAAGGGTGGATCGCTCAGGTGTCGAGGGTGAGAGGCGCGCGAGGGGATCCCCCATTCGGGAGTCTCTCCCTGACGGTGACGTCGACGTTTCGTGTTTGAGCGCCGGTTGACGGTCACGGACGACATGTCGGGCGCGCCGCAAATGTCCAGCGGGCTCAGCAAGCTGAAGAAGAAGCACTTCCGGGTGAAGCACCAGAAGGTTAAGCTGTTCCGCGCGAACGAGCCGTTGCTCAGCGTGTTTATGTGGGGCGTCAATCACACGGTAAGACAGCGTGCGATCCGAGTCCCCTTCCTCCCCCTCTCCCTCCGCACTGCGTACTTCAATGTCCGCGTGTTGATGTTTCTCGCCGTTCGAGACAAACGTCACCGTCGTCATCGCCATTTTTTCTATTTTCATTGCGCGCCCGCGTATCCTCCCGCCCATCGCAAATCGTTGCGACATCGTCCGTTAAATGGAACAACGTAATACGCGACGTAATATGCGGTACGATAACGCCGTATAATTGTGTCAATTGCTTTTTTTAATTCCACATCACAAGTATGTAGATACTTGGCAAGGTGCACGGCCGAGTGTCGAGGTTCATTTCCTTTTCGAACTTACTCCAGTATTTTTCGTTGCCTGACAACGAATTGGTCGAACCTTTGACCATAGTGAATCTTAATTAATTAAGCTTGACGTTTCACAAGATAAATCTGTAATTGTTACGTTTGTGTGCTGCATTGCAGATAAACGAACTTAGTCACGTTAACATTCCAGTAATGCTCTTGCCAGATGATTTTAGAGCTTACAGTAAGTTAAAAGTGGATAATCATCTCTTCAACAAGTAAGTTTCTCTCTTCTTCCTTTTCATATTGTGATATATTTGTGTGTGTCATACAATTTTGCATGTAATATTGATTCAGTAATAAAAAAAATAACAGACTAATGAGAATCTCTTTGCTGTTTGTCGGTATGGTACAAAATTTTTAATTAATTTATGAAGTATGTTTTTAATTAAAAAATATGATTTTAATTAATTTGTAATCCCATGGCTTTGTGGAATTTTATGTTGGATGTCAGTTGTAACTTGATTTACCACATGTCAATGAGACAGAAAAGAATTGAAACTCCACTCTTTTCTTTCATCATGAGAAGGTAGAAATTATTTGTTAAATTTACTGAGGATTTAAGCAAAGCCAAAACGTCTAATTATTCAAGAGTTTGTACATTTAATTAATTAATAACACAATTTTATATCACACTGACTACAGTAAAAAAAAACTTATTAGCTCATTATTATTCTTTTATTATTGATCCTTTCGAGTGTTTGTTCTTTACTTTTTAAAATTTAATATTGATTCTTTCTCTCTGTTTATTTTTTGTGTTACTTCCTTTCTTCAAAAGTAACACGACTCAAAAAATTAAATTTTCCAGAAAAGGGACAAAAACTATTTTTTAACTTGAGAAAATTACTGAACTAGTCAAATAATATCGATCAAAAGAATATATTCTTAATATAATTAAAGTCATTTTTGTTATTTTCGTTTTACAATTTTAAAAAATATTTCTTGAATGGTGACGTTTTTGATGATACTTTGTGAAATTAGTTCTACTTTTGATAATTGGTAGAGTTTACTTAAGGAGGTTCTTGCACTACCTTTTACCCAATAAACAGTTTATTAATAAAAAATGTAAATATAAAACGATTAAAATAAAATAAAAAGATTACCAACAATATCTAGTACCATTATACATAATTAATGTTAATTTTATGTATTATAATACTAAATATTTTTTTAATGATAAAATAAAAGTTACAATATGCCTATTTAATGTACATACATTGTCCATTTGATATAATATATTCTCGTTTTTATCATTGAAGAATATAAATTTTTTTCAAATTGGTCAGTTTAAATGAAACTTTATGAGAACAAACTTAAGTGTTTACTTAATTATAACGATGTTTTAGTTCATAGGCGGTATTCATAGTCCGTTTTTATTTTAAAAACGTCTTAAGTAATGTGTTAAGTAATGTCAAGATGCTAATGCAGTTGTCTGATTAGTTCATGACATCTCAAAATTGATCTTAAGACGGTCTTGAAAATAAGAACTGACTATGAATACCGGTCTTAAATTGCTGTCTTATACGCAAGTGTCTCAATTTAAAAAAGAATAATTACAGAATAAGGTTATACCTTCAACTTGTAATGTAAGATTCTATAAATTTAGTATTAAATATCTTTAAAATGATACGGTAAAAGGCAATAAATTTGTTGTAGATATTATCGATATTATTAACTTTTGTATTATATGCATATATTGACTTGTCTTATAATTTATCGAACACGAGAATCTTCTTAACTCATTCATGGTAATAACTCGAAAAGTTGAGTTATTATTTTTTAAGTAAGAGAGCGATCTATACCTTGGTCTATATTTTACTAATTGTGAACATACGTTCATGCTTTTAAATATTGTATATCCGAGCAACTCTATACGAGATAATTTTAGAAATGTATTTATGTAATGTATTGCCTATTCTCTTTATATATATATATATATATATATATATACACACACATATGTAGATGTATGTTAATATCTCTCGATGTGTGTGTATGTAACACTTGATACTGAACTGATATACTGACAACTGTTTTTAATTTTAGATTTGTTTATGCTAAGAGATAAAGCCATACAATATTACTTTTAATATTGCAGATACTTGATTATTCACAATCTGTTCTTTTTTTTTGTGCAGAGAGAACATGCCCTCCCACTTCAAAATCAAAGAATATTGTCCGTTAGTCTTTAGGAATTTACGAGAAAGATTTGGAATAGATGATTTGGATTACAAGGAGTCGATGACAAGGTAATATCTTTGCGTTGATTATTTCTGCTAAATTTTGATGTATCCAATATAACATTATGTATGCTATATGTACAATATACACAACAAACTGCACTGTTACTGTATAAAGTTGAAAATAAACTTGCTTTCGCGGTTGCACGATGATATTGTTCGTCGCAAGTGAATTAGGGATGGACAGGCTACTGCAATGGCTTTGTAATACAAAGATTTTGATGTGGTAGATGTCGGGTGTTTAATCCTTCGCGAGCAAAACAACGTACGGATTTGGTTGATGGAATAGGCAGAAGGACTCGTCAAATGGTTCAACGCGCCGATACCGTCCCGTCGATTACCTTTTCCTCTCCTTCTTCTGCCTCCTCGCACAATTCTATTCTAAACAAACCGTTGCGTACCTGCAGTCTTAAACCAAAACGCCTGAGGTTAGCGAAACTTGATTTTGCTATGCTGTGCGTTTTCGTTGTTTCTAACAAAGTTAAAGACCTATCAAGAAACGAGAACCGGCATGACTAAGCATATAATAATTTATTAATATACACATCTCGATGACTGTTTTATTTAAACTTGGTAATTTAGAACTTGGAATTAGCTACCATTTAAAGCATGGTGAGAAGATGTTTTAGTCGAATCGTTATCGTAAAAAAATCGCTTGCTGAGATAATCAATATAATTAACAAGTCAAGTGCTTTATAACAATGACGATGATGAAAGTAATGATAACTATCATCATCCTATTGACCTTAATAATAGAATGAAGAGAACATTAAAAACAATGAGAAACAAATATTCTAATTTTAATTTATAATTGTCAGTTAATATTTTCGAATTAATATAATAACTCCAATTAATTGTGATAACTCCAATATAGACCGAGTTGCTTCACACGCCAAATATTCGACATAAAAAATCGATTATCTAATATACTGCTTTTGACAATGATTCATCATTTATACATATTTGCCAAGATTGTGTCCCATGCCAACGGTCATTCGAATTGAACTATTGTTTGATCTTTTACAAATGCACATCCACACGCATACCCAAGACGCGGTTTGCGCATTTCTTCTGCTTCCAGATCTCAACCAGTGCTTGACGATTCATCTGGGAAGAGTGGTGCAAAATTTTATCAATCATATGACAAATTATTTATAATTAAAACCCTAACGAGCGAGGAAGTGGAAAGGATGCATTCGTTCTTAAAACATTATCATCCCGTAAGTATAATCGGAAATATACAAGCGTTATGACGATTCAAGACTACACGGACATTGCATTGCAGTACATTGTCGAGCGACATGGAAAAACACTGTTACCACAGTACCTGGGAATGTACCGATTGACCGTTGACGGTGTCGAGTACTACGTAGTTGCCATAAGGAATGTATTCTCGAATCATCTGACAACGCACAAGAAATTCGATCTAAAAGGTTCGACGGTAGATCGAGAAGCATCAGATAAAGAGAAAGAGAAGGATCTCCCTACCTACAAGGATAACGATTTTGTTAAAGAGGGTACGAAGATTTACATCGGAGAAGAAGCCAAAACTAAGCTAATAGAAACATTAACTGCTGACGTAGATGTAAGTATTTATAAAAGAATATAAACTTTGATCATGCAAGATTTTGTATATAATGAGAAATATTTTAAGAATTACCTTGAATTATTTATCGAGATAAAAATCGGCTTCAAATTTGTGAAGGACTTCGAGATATCTAAAATGATAATCTGTCTCCGTAGTTCTTAACGAAATTACACTTGATGGATTACTCCTTGCTACTTGGCTTACATGATTGTGCGCGCGCCGAGCAAGAGAGCAGAGAACGGGCGGAAAGAGAGGATGATGAGGACAATCATGAAGAAGAGGATGACAGCGAGTCAGGTAGCGGATTGGAGTCTCGAGGTCCATTGGCAGAGTAAGTGGATATTTTTTTCTATCCTTTTTGGAACGAAAACTAGTTTCCATTTGATTTATTCATCGGTATCACTCGTTTGTTTGCAGTCGCTTATGGGGTTGGAGTGGTGTCGGTCACACGGTTACCAATATGGCAACACCTCCCGAGTCACCGCATGCAGCGTTAATGCGTGATACCAGTTTACAATACGAAGATGCGATAATACCTGAACTAGATATTTACGCTATTCCTAGTAAAGAAGGTACTTTTTCTCTGAATAAACTGATAATCGTGCATTAACGTGAATATACATATATACGTATATTAAAAAATTTTTACTACATATATTTTCGTAGGTGCTCCCACGAAGGAAATTTATTTTTTAGCCATAATAGACGTGCTGACGCATTATGGCGTACGTAAACAAGCGGCGAAAGCGGCGAAGACTGTCAAATACGGTGCTAACGTTGACGGTATATCCACCTGTGATCCAGAACAATACGGCAAACGATTCATAGAGTTTATGAGCAAAGCCATAGAGTAAAAAAGTATTATTAATCGTTGTGCATAAAGTAATGAATTTACGACGATATTACTGTTTACTGTGTATTATCGAAGTGAAATCGAAATCGCAAACTGAAAAAGAGGGAGGAAAAGAGTTCTGGAGATTAAATGGTTGCAGTTTCATTCAGTTTGCCTTTCAATACCGGTTATTTTCTTTAGTACTTTCACTTGCGATTCATACACGATCAAATCGCTTATTTCATGAGCTTTTAAGTGAACACATCCTTTGCCGATATTTTTTTTTTTTAGGTCGGTGTTGTTTTTTATTGTATGCATTTTACGGTAAGAGATTTTTATTCTCGATTATTGCTTCATGTCTACGTTGCTTTGTTTAGTCAGTCTTCACGTAAAGAACTGTGATCAGTTTTTCAAATTTGTTGTTTGAAATTTCTTTTTTTCCGCGATAGAACTTTCAATCGTATAGCGTTATACTTGTACACTTGCAAACGCGAGAATTTTCATGAAGTAGAAAAACGACGTCTCTTTTTTTCTGTCACCCGTTTTTTTTTTATCGCACATGTTTCGAAGAATAAAAGCGATAGTCTTCAACGATCTTGTATCGTTCGATGAATCTACGACAGAAACTCAACAGCATTGGAATGTAACATTAATTAAGCACAGCCAATATTATCTGTGGATTGAGATAAAAAGCACGAAGTCGCACAAAATCTTATCTTCTGATATCAGTAGCCGTAATACCTAAAGTTGTATTAGCAGCAGTTTTTTTTTTATAGCGGATTAATAAACGAATACGAGTCATGCTATATGCTACAGAAAGATATCTAACTTGATGTGTTACAGTTGCAGTAAATCTCAATCAAGTATTGTGGCGCTTGCAAGTATAGAACTGCCTGGGTATGCGCCTAAAAATATTTTATCATAAAATGTAATTTTAGTAGCGATGAAACTATTATACGACTGTCCGTTGTTTTGCTAAAGTTATCGGTAATAGTATGTACTTCGCAATATCGAAGGCAATGTACACACACTCACACAACACACACATACGTGTATATATGCATATACAAGTCGTTACGAAATAAAATACACTTTGTAAATGTTATATTTAGTCCGATTCGATTATCGCAGATCGATAGCTCAGTTACTTCAAAATATATCTATGGAAAATAATACGATCCATTAGACGATATTATCTACATGAGATACATATCTTTGATACTCGTCACAACACTCGAGTCGGCAACTTACTATCGTGCCTTTCATTTCACTAAAGAATATTCAGATGCATCGTTCTTTCGAAGATGGGCACCGGCAGATCCCAACGTAATATCATTTGTCGAAAGGATTTTGCATGAATCGTAAGTCTCTGGTTTTGTTTTGTGTCGTAAATTTATTTGGTTTAACGAAAGTTGAATGTAATCCATTGAGCAATTTGTACTGTATTATGAGAAAGGAGAATGTGCACTGTGTTACGTAAGACAATATCTTTAAACGATATCTAATACTTTTATATACAATATACATATATATGTATATGTATATAAAATACATGTATAATTTGTTAGCCGATCATAATATAACGACTAATCACTCTAACGATTAATATATTCATCTAGTCTTGATACTTCGTATAATTTTATATATTTTACTGTTTAATCGCGCGCGCGCCGGGACTATGGATGCGATAGATTGAAAGGAGGAAGGGGTCCATCCACTGCTGTATATTTGTTGTAAGATTTTAGGTTTTGAAAATGCAATCGGTTTCTGCGTGATTGTTAATCGTATAAGATAATATGTTAGAAACCCGCTTTAACCAACGAATCTTCGTTGGAATCTTAAACGCGGCAGTGTCTCTAATCTGTGTGTGTGTGTGTGTGTGCGCGCGCATGCGCGTACATATACATACATTATATATATATATATACTAGAGATCACATTTCATTTATATATGTATGTATATGTGTGTGTATGTATGTATGTGTGTATATATCTATATATATATAAAAGAATTACATCCATCCGTTAGCATGCGTCCTCGTGTGTGGCAACGACAAATCCTTGTTCACATTCAAATAAATTGAGATTAATCGATATGCAAAGTCGTTTGTGTAGCTTTATTACATGTATAAAACAACGTATTCTTTTCTCTCTTTCTATTTCAATTCATCATCTCAATTATATATACAGAGTCTGTCTTCCAGCTTATATGTATATTACGATGAATACTTCGGAATTAATTAGGTATTATTTTACAATACTTAAGAACAAGAGAACAATAAATTATTATTGTTTCTGATAAATGGAATATTTAACCTTTTATTTAAAAAAAAAAAAAAAAACTGCGCGAATTCCGAAGTATTTATACGAAAAATAAGAAACTAAAGTAATATTCAAATCTGTGTTAAATAAATAACAAGAAATAAGAAAAGACTATCACCTCTGTATCTTACAAACTTAACTTAGAACTTACAGGTATTTTGATAATCTACACAAAATTTATGTATTTACCCGATTATTTTAGAATTTTATCCATTACGTTTTATATGTTTCAAGCATTCTATATCATTGGATACAATCTGCGGCCCTTCACAAATCGGCAGTTCATAAGCCTGCAACGTGCAACGATATAATAAAGTCTCCAAAATAACGCTATGATAAATCTTACTTTATATAATTTGGTCTCTAGTTCATCGTCCGCGTCTCGTTCCTGTGAAAGATGGCAGTATCTAGAAGATTTGACCATAACATCTTTTGGATTTGATAATTTTGGGATGATTCGCTTATGAGATTGTGTTCGTGGTTGTAAAATTGTACCGGTCGGAACTATCCTGGCAGGACGATGATCTATCCATCTATCTGCATTTTGCACTTGCTGGTATTGCGAGTTCGCTACCAGGATCTCATCCTGAATGCAATGTAAAAATCAGATGATATATATATATATACGAAGAATGGTCAAAGAAATGCAGCATTGTCGAAGCATACAAATTAATGTCTAAATCTATACAATCCTCTTCTTTACCTTTTTATTACAATTAACTTTAGTAATAATTGTAGTATCAGGCGAAGTAATTATAGATGATGATGGCGAATCAACGAGTATCTTTGAGTTCGGTTTTTCTACGATCTCGGTCTTCAAATCCGAAGGCATGGACGATTCTGCGATTGTCATTAGAATTGTTTCGTTTGTGATCTTTCCTTGGACATTATCAGAATCAGTTCTTGTGTGACAGGATTTCTGGCGAATCTGATCACAAGAGCTGGAAATCGGAGAATTCGTAAATGTCATTGAGGAATTTTTTTCTTTGGATGACGATAGACATGGTCCTTCTATGATTTTTTCATGGGTGTCATTATTGGAAATTGTTCTTGCACGAGAAGACAATGTTTGGCAGATATGTTCACGAGAAGTTTTGGAAGCTTGAAGATCAATTGGCATCATCAAGGAAGGTTTTTTCTTGGATATTATCAAAGTTGATTTTTCTTTGGTTTCTATTCTCGAACTCGAAGCTATTGGTGGCGTCAAGGTGACATTATCGCATGTATCCTCACGAGTTGAAGTTAATATTTGTCTCACTAATTTCAATTTGTCATTCTTCTTTTTAATACAGCTCTAAAAGCGATTCAGATTTCAATGTATGACTCATCAAAAGTTATTTCAGGAAAGAGAGAGATAATCTAAAATATATATTCTAAAAAAATTGATAACTGAACTATACACTCTAAAATATACCATCAGCTGTTCACGCTGTTCCTGCAATTTCATCTGCATTTCATCGGTCACTCTGTCAGTTTCCGCTTGCATTATAATGTTGTACCTCTGTATTAATTTTTGCTTGTCCAGTGTATATTGTTGGAGTTGCTTGTCTCTATCCCTCAACTATACAGAAATTGCATTAACGTACAAGAAGAAATTATAATGCACAAATCATTACATTGCAAAAAAATGCTTACTTCTTGCTGTAGATTCCTCACAGCATCGCATGCATTATTCAATTTACATAACAAGCTATCGATGTGGTTTTGTAATTTACAGACACGACCTTTTAACGTGAAGATCTGAAAGATATCACAGAGATATTACTAAAAAGATATTAAGAAATTAAAATATATGACATGAATATCATTGAAAGTCTTGAAGTGTTACAATTTTTATTGCCTTTTCACCATATTCGAATGTTTTTTTAAATAGTTTTTAGAATTGTCTATGTTGCTTTACAGCTGTTAATTCTGTTTCTGTTACTAAAAAAAGAAACACACAAAGGTATGTTTGATAACATTAACTTGAAATTTCTGATAAAAGAACACTAAGCTTTACAAAAATTGGTCATTTTTATATTAACAAAAAAACAGTATTAAAAAAGTTATAAAAAACCTAATATCATTACTCTGTGTATTCTTTTTTTTCTGAAAAGTAACTTGTTACTGTTACTTGTTTCCAATTTAAAAAAGTAGCTTAATTGTTATTACCATTATACTTAAAAACTAATGAATGGTTATAATTTCTATTATTTTTTCATCATATTTTGATGATCTTTTTATAGTTTTTAAAATTGTGTTGCTTTACAGCTGTTGGTTCTGTTTTGTTATAAAAAAAATAGAACGTTTACTTCATTCAAAATTTTTGATAAAAAGAAAAAAAATAATGATTTTTACACCAAGCCCTTCAATTCCATCTATTGTTATCAAAAACTCACTATTTTTTTCTGTTCGGTATTATCTTGTTTTAAACATGCATTTTCATGTTCCAGTTTCACCAACATGTTCCTGAAATGATTTTCTGAAAAATTTTAACTTTGAGAAATTACACAATGAAAAAAAATTACATAATACAATTGCATGTTGAACGATATATTACATAATATAATTGCATATTGAAGGACATATTACAAATCATTTATACCTTTCTTGATCACATCTTCTTGCAACAGATCTCTTCTTTGGATACGCAATTCCAGGAATCGCAATAGATCCACAATCGCTTGCTCATCATGTAAATCTGTCACATCTATTATGGGAAATGAATCATCCAGTCTGCAACCCAAACAGCGAAGTCAAAATAGAATCAAATTTTGTAGCAGAGTATGTTACAAATTTTGATAGTAGAAAGGCAACATTTTCACACAGAATCTATATCTGACAATAACGACAAATTCTGTCAGAAATATGACAAAGCTTACTGACATGCCATGCCAATATATTGGCAACAGAAATCAGATAAAATTTACAATTATTGACAGGTTAATTGCTATAAATTTACAATGGGAATCTGATCGAATTTGCTACCAATATGCGCTAACATATTACTAGTACTTTATTATCATCTAGGAAACAAGAAAATTGCGATGTAAAAAACGTAAAATTAAACGTTCACGTGAAAATTTGTTTTCAAGTTAACTAACGCAGCCATGTTATTCCGTGAGAAACACAAGAATCGACGATTGTGGTGTGAATCCTCGAAAAAATCGTAAACACTTTGCAACTCGTCGAATCATGACAAAGAAAACGAAAAAGTATATGTTATCTTCTGTATCGTTATCTTCGTACCAATTGGACGCAATGTCGCAAAACATTTGAAATTTAGCGCACGTCGCGCCAATTGGACGCAACAGGTATAGGGCGAGTGAGTATTACCGACAATCGGTAAGGGTCGCCAATACCGACTAAAATATATTATATTCGCAGATGAGAATACGCGCTGGAGCCGCCTGTGTTACCGATAAAACTAGCGTTTCTGACGTTTTCGTTCCTGTCTTTTCTTCATAATAATTTCACAGAATAAAAATTTCTCTCTCTCTCTCTCTCTCTCTCTTCTCCACGATTTAAATATTCAGGCTGCCTCTGGTGTATTTTGTGTCCAAAGCTGGAAAAAGTATGAAATCATAGATTTCTTTATCCATTTAAAAATAACCTAAAGTATGGCAACTAACGCTGAAGATAAAAATGGATAAAGTAATCTGTAATTTCATATTTTTTCCATCTTTGGACACATAGATCAGAGGCAGATACATTAGCATGAATATTTAAATCGTGGAAAAGGAATTTTTATTCTGTAAAACTATTATGAAGAAATTAAAGACAGGAACGAAAACGTCAAAAACTCTAGTTTTAACGATAATATACAGGCGGGTCCAGCATCACTTTAAAATTCATATTCAACTAATAAAAAAAATTTTTTTTACTGTTTAAACATAACATAGATAATGTTACATACATAATGTTTGAACTACGAACACGGCAAGAAAATCGATCAAAAAAGAATTGTTATTATGAATACTATTATTATTAAAATATTAGCAAAAAAACAATTAATTTAATAGTATTTAAAATAATCAAAGTAATATTAATAAAATAAATGAAAGATAAAAAAGGTGCGCGCGTAGCGCGCGCTGCATGCTAGTATATAATAAATTTTCTTTAAAAACTTCATAAAACTGAGCTAATTTAATTTATGGCAAAGGTGACCCTCCTTAATAAAATCTTAATAAAAATGTACTCATTCAACATGAAACTGAACTAGCAATACAGTCAGCAACACTGCCAGCACTGCTACTGCTAGCACGACAGCAAAAACGCAAATCCAGCTAGCAATTCAGCAAGAAAACAAGCATTGTGTACCGCCAGCTTAACATTTAACTCTTTATAACTGGATTTACGATGAGATCTATCGTTTTTCTTTTTGACAGATTCTTTCGTTTTGCGTGAAAACGCGTCGAATGAGTATATTTTTATTAAGATTTTATGTGGAGCGGGGGAGTTATTATACATATAAGATATCATAAAAACGTCCTAAAATTTATGAAATGTTTTTTGAAATATTAGAATATATGTCACGTCTATTATTAGAATGTATATATGACGTCTTAAACACATTATCCTTAAAACGTCTTAGGACGTCTCTCTAACCATTTGCAAAATGTTTTATTTTGGATAAAGTCTGATGGCTCCAGCACACTGGACGCGGAAACGCTTGCCGCGCGGCAAAATGTGACACGGTAGCCAATGAATATGTTAGGAGCTGTAAGCTCATTGGCCACCGCGTATCACATTTTGCCGCGCGATAACCGTTTCCGCGTCCAGTGTGCGGGAGCCATGAAAGACATTTCTTTCTAATGCGGCCCACTTGCTTCTTCCAAATGCACTGAACACTATAATACGCTCTAAACGCTATGGTTGGATTGGTCCATTATTGTTCCGAATTCTACAATCACTACGTAAACGCTGCAGCCAACTCACCTCCCAAGGTGAAGCAATGGGAGCAAAAACGATGACGTATTGATGACGTATCAGAGTTGCTGGAAGCGTTTCGAAGCGTCAAATGGACCAGTCATGTTAGTGCTACAAATGCTCTGTAGCATTTGGAGCGCTAAGTGGACTGCAGCTATAGTTGGAAATCTTAAGCCCATTCTATAGTCGCGTAAACGTAGTAAGTGACTGTAGTTGTAAGAATTGACTAATCACAGTCGAACATTTTCTTCTTATTTGATTGTGATTGGTTAACTATTCGTACAACTACAACCATTTACAACTACGTTTACGCAATTGTAGAATGGGCTTAAGCTCAAGGGCTGTTTTACGGGTTATTACAAACAGTCGGTGAATGTTTTGCTCTAATTAGTTGAAAAGTAATCCTCAATCATCAATCACAACCACGCAATCGCTAGTGTGATTACGGCTTAAGACGTATAAATTGGGACATAAGACATCTTTACATCTTAAAGACCGTCATATAGATATCTTACTGACAGTTCCAAAAAAAAAATGTCTTATTAATTTTAAGACGTCTTTATGACTTATGGCTTATAAGATATCTCAATGTGTTCTGGGATATTATATAAATGTAATACGGAACGTGCATTTTTGTGTTTGAGTGTCGTCAATATGATATATGATAAATTACGAATCGAGTTATTTCCTTTGAATTCTGAGATGGTGGTATTACGTCATAGAGATCGTCAAATATAAAAGGCCACAGCACATAAAAAAACTTAAGACGTAAGACTTAAGAAAACTGACCAATCACGTAAGACCATAATGTAAACAGTAGCGAATCCAACATATTGATTTCCTTATTGCTTAAGCCTTAAGTTTTTTTATATGCCAAAGTCTTAAGAGATTGGAAATCATACGTTTGGTCCGCCATATATTTTTCAGAACCTGCTTAAAGATAGATTAAGATAGATTAGGCAGGATAGAATGAGATATCCTCGCAATTTCTATCTTAAGCAGGTCTTGAAAAATATGGCATACCAATCAGAAGTTATCGCTAAACTTCCAATCTTTAAAACCTCAGACATAATGCGAGAGAATAGCGATAGTGATAGGAATAAAGCCCAAGACACAATGCAACTTATCAAAAATCGAGTACACCGGAATACACATTTTTGATAGGTTGAAACTTATCGCTATCGCTATTCCCTCGCATTGTGTCTTGGGCTTAACACAATTTCAAAGACTGTGTTATACCGCTGTATCCGATTTCTGATAAGTTGAAACCGTGTTATTCCTATTCGCTATTGCTATTTCCTCGCATTGTGTCCGTGGTTTCACTTGAGGATCTCTATTCACGTCGGCGCGCGGCGTTGAGACATTTGAAGGGTTATCATTTTGCATGATTCTGTATCCAGTGTAGACTAAAAAAAGAAATATAATTCTACGGAATTTCATCTTTTTATGGAATCTCTCATATACGTGCGCCTATTTTAAACTTATTATCTCAAAAGGTTTATTTATACTTTAAACTCCGAGACGATTTAACCGAATTGCGTGTTATAGACGTTATAATGTATCGTATGTGTACATACACCGTTTTTATATCTCTGTTGCATTCAATTTTTTTCTCTCTCGGCACTACGGATTGTTTAATCCCGTAATAATCGGTTTCCGCAATCACGTTATAAAACATTGTTTGAGATATTCATCTGTCCGCCATAACAACTGTTATCTTATTGATATTACTTCGCTATTTTACGTAATCCCCCTTATTCTGTCGTTTATGACTGACAAGAGTGAGTCTCTTTCTCTCTCTCTCTCTCTTTCTGTGTGTTCTCTTGACAAATTGCACTTATTAATACGTGAACTACATATTTACAAAAAAAAAAAAAATGGAAAAACATCACGATGCTTAAAACTCTTAAATGACCTAGCTATAGCATTCCGATTTCACAATTTTAGTTGTGTACTAATGTACTTGAATGTATGTGTGTCCTATAAAACAGAGTGTTCAGCGAATTGGTAGGAGAATATTTAAAGAGTGATCTGGATAATAAAATACGACAAAAATCAAGACTAAAGCGGGGAGCACAGACTCTTGCATAACGCATAACAATAAAGGCATAAGAAATTCAACCAATAGGAGTTCTTTATTTCATGGAAAGTAAGAAAACGGAGGACTTTAATTAATACATTTTCTTATGCGCATTATGCGTTATGCGTTATGCAAGAGTCTGTGCTCCCCGTCTAACAAAATAGTAGCAGCCATTTAATTTTTTAATATAAATATTTAAATATTTATGTGCGCTTAATCTGGGCATTTATATTTTGACATCAGTATTTAAACAATCAGAATTACAAAATCAATAACATACTTTCGGTGGAAGGTTTGTTTTCTTAACTATACAATGTCTAAATATTCTGCATGTACTTCAGAAATATTATTAGGTTGTTCGGAAAGTTTGTTTCAATTTTCTAGCTCAAAATTGTATATACAACATCTTCGTAAAAAATAAACAAAATTTAAATTAAAAAAAATTTTTAAAGCTTGAAATCTCTACTTTCGAAAAGTTATTATATTTTTTGTAAATTTTGGTGACTTTTATTTACATAAAAAACTATGAGCTGAAAAAGATGAAAAATTTTCTTTTTATTTTGTGAGCTTTACGTGCCCAAAAAGAATTTGCAAAAATTTTAAACTACCTATTGTAAAAGCTTGAAGCTTTCCCTACAAAATCATTTTTTTTTTTAATGTTCCTACAAGTTTTTATTCTTAAACTATTCGCGCGAGTTAAGTAAAGTCACATTTTGATTTTAATTGCTCACAACTCGAGTCATTAAAAATCGTATCGCAAAAGAAATCAAATTCTTAAAGCTGAAACTTTGTTCTATCAAATAGTATAATCGCTAACTTTTTAAATATACAATATACTATTTTGAGCTAGAAAATTTAAAACAAACTTTTCGATCTAATAGATATATTTATCATTAATAATAATGTAATCTTCACTAAAATTTTATCATTTTTGTAATTCTGAATGTTTAAATTTTCACGTAAGAAATGCTTGAAGCATATAAGTATTTAAACATTTGTAATTAATGAAACATTCATTGTACTTTTGATTTCTATCTTGACTTTTATTATCTATAATTATTCTTTTTTTCCCATCAATTACCGCGAACATTCTGTATATTCTAATTTTCCTGTATTATTCATACATTCTGATTCTTCAATATATAATATAATACACATATATTACATAAAAAATATATAAATGAAATTCTATCCTAAAAATTTTACACGCAGATCGTTTGTGCTTTAAAAGATTTATAAATCACGTCGAATTTTTAGAATACCTGAATTCTGTTTGCAATCTTAATGTTTTGTGTATTTTAACGTATGCGCAAATTTAACATATTTTTTATACCCCGCGTATATTTTGATTTCCTAAACTAAATGTTTTTTATTTTGACATAAAATCACAACTGGAATTCCATCCTGAAAGTGGGTATGTTATACTGCATTCATATCTGAATCAGAACATCAATCTTATATAATCAAAAAATAATTTCAGCGTCCGTATTAATACTCATGCATTTAATCGATCTTGCGAACATTCCCCGCGCTCAAGCGTAAAATTATGATAATAGTCTAATCTCGAATTCATTATTTTCACAGCTGGATTATGATCCCGATTATGATCCCGATCGATCGGCGCGAATTCCCGACGAATAAATCGTGATCTGTGAAGCCGGCGAGCGAAATCTTATTTTACTTAGTAGGTATATATGTTTCTTCTTCTGTCTGCTTTTCTTTTTCAGTTAAATCGCATAGGAGGAAACATATGTGTTTCGAAATTTTATATCCTTGTTGCCGTTCACTTAATAGCTTCGTCGCGCTGTCATTATCTCACGGCAATATGAATTTTCATGATACAAACTTACGTCAGCTTTTCCGACTAACTCGTGCTCCGGCGGAGTGCCTTTTCATCTCTGAGGTATACATTTGTCCGCGTACAGTCTGCGAGTGATTGATTGAACTGATAACGCTTGGATCTTGCAGAACGAACCAGCGTTTCGTCGCTGCCTCTTCGTTTTATTACGCGAAATTAACGAGAAGGTAAGAGCCGCAGATCGTACGTATGAAGACGAGTTTTGAGCGACCGAAGACAGATCCTGAGATTGGCGATATAAATGGGACGAAAGGTATGCGAAAGGAGATCAAAAATTAAAAGAAAAATGAATAACGAAAGCGTTTAATTTTATTTGTTCGTCTCTCTTCGAAAAACCGCAGGTTTTTTTTAGTAATGAACAGAATTAGTTACGAAAAGACATGTATACAATTTTTTAAGAGAGGGCTTGTGGTTTTTTGTAGAAAAAAAATTGTATTTAAAAAACGTAGAAGATAGTTTTATTTTTTATTTAAATGTAATTCTTTTAGCAACTGTACATTTTAAATATTTATAAACATAAAGGATTTATGAGATAGTTAATATTTTATGTCAGCATATCATATGTCAGAATAAAATATAAAATATCTCGTAAACTATTGGTTTTTAATATCTTCATACTTTTTCATGCAGCATTATTTAAAAAAATCACAAATCATATTATGTATAAAGTCACGTAATTCCATGCATTTAAAAAAGTGATCTTTAATTTTGGTGCCTCTATCTAGACAAAAAACAAGATGACCAAAATACGCCCCCCTCGAAACCATTCTACTTTCATCTAAAACATTTTTTCGTATCATCAAAAATAAACGAGTTATTTAGGTGACACCTATTTTAGATGCCTCTCCCTGTATATACATATACCCGCATATAAAATTTTCAATTAAGTATAAATATAATAATTATAATAAAATATATATTGATTATTTCTTTTTCTGTGTGTGTATTTCTTTCTATTTGTATCACAAATTACATTTCAAATTAAATTTAGTAATAATAAAAGAATTATTTTTAATAATATTGTAGCTGTAAATACGTTGCAACGTTGCTACGACGCGACGTTACAGCGCAATCTTACTGAAGACGAATATTTTTATGATAGTATGACATTGCATCAATGTTGCAAATATATTGTGCAATCTATTTGATAGTATTACAATATTACAACAAGATATTTCTGCAATCATTTTGCAATAATCTTTATGCGCTGTAATCTTTATGAGCTTTTCAAGTATTTATCAAAGATGTTTTACATCATATATTTAAATAAAAAATAAAACTGTACTCTTATTTGTTTTTGAAATAGAATTTCTTCCCCAAAAAATTCTCTTAAAACATTATAGGTATATGTGTCTTTTTATAACTATAGTTTTGTTTATTACTAAAAAATACAATTTTTGAGGAAACACCACTTCTGAACATTTACCAATTCATTATCGTACAAGAGAAAATGAATCAACTCACCCGCAGTTATGACTAAATGTGAGGAGAATCCAAAAAAAATACATATATAGCAAATGTATTATAATTGCAAAATCAAATAGCTTACAACAGTTATAAGACTAGACTCAATGACGTGCTCACAAGGCTAAACTTAATGTTAAACTGGCTTACTTTAGTTAGTAAGATCTTATGCAAAAATTGCAATACATATATCTTATGTGACAAACGGGGAAGCAATTTAAAATTAAGATTTGAGAATATCGAAATAATATAAACAGAACAACAATCCCTCTGTCATAGATTGCAGTTCAATCATAAATTCGATTGGGAGAATATTGCAATTCTTGACAAAGAAAGATAAGAGATTTATTTCTGAAATTTTAAACATATAGAAGGTTCAGGAAAACGGTCTAAAGGACCCCGCAAATTTCTTATGGAAAATGGGTCCCGATGGATTTGGCTGAAACTTTGGTAATTTATAGATTAGGTGATCCGCATTTGTAATAGGCGTCGATAATTATAATTTACATTTGCAGTGTCTTTTGTTTTTATTATTTGACGTATCAAGTACCGACATTGTTTATCCCGTTGAGGCGTGTTCAGATTCTCACCCGAGTGCTCCCTGAGTATCATATTATCCTTGTTTAACATTTGGTAAATAATAAGGATAGAAGGATACCTTGGGTGAGAATCTGAACGTAGCCTTGAAAATCTGTTTGCCAGCATGTTGTTGAGTTTATAATAATAATCTTGTATAACAATTGTTTAATATTGCAATTATAGTACATCTACTATGTGTTTTTTGTATTGTCTGACGGGTCTTCACAATCAGTCGTAACTGTAGCGAGTGTTGATTAATTTTTTTTAAATATAATCAATTTAATTTGTACTAATTTGCTATTTCACTCTCAGCGTATTTTCTTTGCTATTTTACTTAGCTAAAAAATTAATGAATATTTTCATTAACTATTATTATACATATATGCAGATAAGTAAGAGCTTTTGTCAGCTTTATACTCATCGCTGGAAAAGAAAAATGCCCAGCAAACATAATGTATGTTATATTATTGGGAAATTACAACTAACGTGTATATTATATGTAATTCGGTGTTTGCTGAGTGGAGACTATATAGCAGACTATATCGGATCAGTTATTGTAATAATGATATTTCAGGTATCGTACACGATTTCGAGCGGCATAACGAATCATGCCTTTGTCATAGACGATTCAGTAAATCAGAATGGCATCGAAGTCAATGGGCCCACTGAAATTAATGTGGTAATTATCCTTCATAAAAACAATAAAAGACACCGCATTAATTCTATGAAAAAAATAGATTTAGTCAAAACTGGCTGTGATATTTTGTAAATTATGAGATGCTGATGAAAAGTTTTCTTAGGCAACACATTATACTACGTTACTTGTTGAAATAAAAGTAATAATTAACGCCGTGAACCAATGAGAAACAAGCCGTAACGGTATCAAGCTGAATTTTGAGTGCTTCTACAATTGCGTGTGAATTGAGTTGGAGCGAAACGGATGTATATTTGTTTCACTTCGATTTATTGCATTGTGTGCATCAGATACAGACAGTGCAGCGAAAAAGAACAAACCCTATATACTACGTATGTAGATTTTTAACTGCGCGCCAAATTTGTTTCAGATTTGAATTAAACGCAAGCTCTATACTAAACTTCCGCAGTATTATCAATTGACTAACAATTTAACAATTTTTGATGCTCTCTTTACGCATCTTAGATCGATCTTAATAATATTAAAATAATCTGTAAATAATTAATTCTCATTGCGAAAATAACGAAGCTTGAGAGAAGTGTATCAATAAATAAAGATATTTTTCAATACAGTAGACTCAAAATAGCAACTTTCAAATAGCGCTAGAGCAAAATCTGTCTATTTTTTACGGATTTTTCCTAAGGAATTTTTTAATTAGCATCTTCTTCATAATTATGATATACATATATAAGTAAAAAGAGAGATTTGCACAGTCTATCTGCTTTGGGATATTTTTGCATAAAGTGGAAAAATATTAATTCCGACTTTGAAACAATTTAAAAAATTGTCCCAGTAGATCAGTTGTGTACATACATTTTTTTTTCTTCTGCTCATTGCACGGATATGTTTTTTCATATAGCAACAGCCGGAGCGCCAGCAATGGGGGAATGACAGGGAATTTCTGTTATCCTGCATCGCCATGTCGGTCGGTCTCGGTAATATATGGCGATTTCCATTCACGGCATACGAGAACGGCGGCGGTGCCTTTTTAATACCGTACATCATCATCTTGATCGTCGTAGGAAAGCCGTTTTACCTCCTGGAGATGATCCTAGGACAATTCTCCAGCCAGTCAGCCTTGAAGATTTGGGATCTTGCGCCGGCATTCAGAGGTGCGACTACATTCGATAACCAGGTGTATCCTAGCGCGTTTCTCGCAGTTCTGACAACTGCGCATTAATTTGATTCATACAGTATTCATAAGACGTATAGAAAATTGTAAAATATAATATTATAGATCAAGGGATAAAATTAAATAATCGTAGGCGTTGGCGTCGCGCAATGTATAACACTGCTGGCACTGGCGTCCTATTACTGCTCTCTGATGGCGTTGACTTTGTTCTACTTCATCGCTAGCTTCCAAACGGAATTACCATGGGGAAGATGCTGGGAGGAATGGGGCGAATTCTGCGTAGACTCTTTTCGCAGCAACTACTCTAGAATTGAGAACATCAGTTACTCTAGCTCTGCTGAGCTGTACTTCTAGTAAATTATTTACAAGGGACCTGTTACAATTATCCAAAACCGATTCGATTTTCCATTGAAATAAACACAAAAATTGGAAAACATAAAAATCTAAAGATGCCTCCAAATGATATGGCCAATGTATTAGTAAATATTGTACATACACATAACATACATAATTATATCTATATTGAAAGTAGGCCAATATATGCAAATGTATGCAAAATTGGCGTATACATATATTGGCGATATCATCTGGAGATATCTTTAGGGATACATTTTTTTTATATTGGTCTAATCTCAGATTTAAGGAGTGAAAAACTCCTAAAAAATAAATAGGTATGAGAATATTTTCAAAATATCAAATTTTTGAAAAATCTTAATACATAGTTATAAAATATATATAAATCCATAAAAGTTTTGTTTAAAACATTTTTCTGTACATCTCACTGTTTTGTTGATAGTGGATATATAATGATGAATCAAATATAAGCGTTAACTTTGAGAGATTGTTTCATCCCTTAAATCTGAGATTAGGACAATATAGAAAAATACATGTCTTTTAGATTTTTGTGTTTAACAACATATTTCAAGGAGAATCGAACTGATTTCGAACAGTTTGTGACATGTCTCTTGTTAGATACAATAGCAAAATGAGCTATTTCCATTTTTTTATTTAAAGTGTCCCGAAATTGATTAGATTTCCGTGGATAAAATTTTAAAAAATCAAATACACAACAAAACTGTGCTCATTTTAGAGAATTTTCTTTAATAAAAATTTAAGTTGAAACTGAGTCATGAAAATATATTATTATATGTATATACTGCAATTATTTATTACTTATATATGATATGTAATTATTTATATAGGTATATATATATAGTGTATATATATAATTATTAATACATATACAATAATATATATATATATACACACACACATTATAGGTGTCTCGTAAACATCGTAATAACATTTAAGAATAAACTCCTGAGATCATTTTAAAACAAAAATTTAAAATAATGAAATACTAATGTCGATATTATAACTATTTTTTAATTATAAGCATTTAAAATTAGCAAATCATAATTATACTACCTAAAGTTCGTCTGTTTCAGTATGGCTAGCATTTTTTATTATACCACGCCTGCAGATGCAAACTTTAGGCGGTATGTAAGATTCCCTGTAACTTTAAATGCATATAATTCAAAAGCTATTTTTAGTCTCGACATTTTGGTATTCGAATTTTTGTCGTAAAATAATTTCAGGAATCTGCCCTTATGCATTGTTATGATCTTTATAGGATATCCTAATATGTACGTATTGTTTGATATTAGGCCTGTATTTCAATATTGTCAGTATTGAAAATCCATATTGCAGCATATGACAACGTATACTACACATTTTTAATACTGGCAATGAATATTGGAGCATGCCATGGACACAGCCCATGTGAAACACCGTTCATGGATAGGTAAAAGCGGATTGAACTAAATCGAGAAAAGTCCTAATATCTGCATTTTGTAACTTTTGTAATATTTCAGGAAATTTCAATTCCTAAAAATTGTTGAATAGCATCCCTATAAATACACAATGTTTTTAGAATGTTATACTATAAATATTATTTATTTTTTTTATTTATATAACATTCTATTAGATGCTTGAATTAATTCTCGCTGTTGACCGGGAGAGGTTAGTATTTGTGCTGTTTCAATATGACCGAAAGTGACTGCTTATATGAAAGTACAATATAGGCTTTAATAATCAGTGTGAATAAAATATCAGATACCTTTTTGATAAAATAAGTACGAGTCTTTCTTAGCAAAAAAAAACAGCGAGAATTAATTTAAGCACCTAAAGAAACCTTGTCTTATAGGGACGCCCTACTGCCAAACTCAAATACGCGAGTAGAATCGCTCACCGTCGTAGGTTTTGCTAGGCGCGCAAAAAAGGTTGTTTACAAGTGATTTTGGTAATGGAAATGTATGTATTTAACCGGGACTGTCTCTCTTTAAAATAACAAAAAAAAACATTCAAGGCTAATGAGAGTCAGAGCGAGAGTGTGAATGCATAAATTGTTAAAATATAAAATAATCTTTATCAGTAACAACACATTTTTAAGGATGTTAAATCTTTGGTCCAAGGACAAAATTGAGTGGATACAGTACTATCAAGGCAGTTCTTACACAGAACAGATCTCTGCAATATTGCAGCAAAAAGTTCATATAAATGTTTCGGAGCTACCGAGGTTCTGCGAGAGTTAAAGAATTCCAAGACTTGCGGGGGTTCGCGATCGCGAGGCCCATCGGTGCATCGCACCGGTTGTACCGACGTTAAAAATGCCTCTGATTTTTATTCCATTTGATATGCAGGTGTCTTTTTAATTTAAATTTTTAAACGTTAGCCCTGCGGTAACGTACGCGGAAAGTCTCTCCTCATGCTGAATGACCATGCTATGCGCTTACATTTGGCGATAGATCGGACTGACACATACTTATTTAGTAATCTTTACAAATTAATAGCCCGTTAACTGTTGCGAAAAGTCCAAAATGGTACAGAACTTTTCAATTCAATTTAGTCTGTTCTACTTATCCGTGAAGGATGTTTTATCTAATACAAACACCCTGTATAAGTGACAACTAGTATAGCAATGTAACTATAAAGTAGTTTATTTAACTATGTACCTATGTATATATTTAACTATATATGTATACATTAATTTTACATAAAAATTTGTATATAATGTTAATTCTACATATAAAAATTGTCTTGACTAAAAAAAAAAATCTTCGAAATTAGCCAAAGAATTCAGAATATCTGATAGTTTTGGGACTGTACATTTGCCTACTAAAAACTGAACACAATAACGAGATGACAAAGACATTGTGTTTGTCTAGCAAGGAAGTACTACGAGAAAAGGACAGCATTGACGACGGCATCGGTACACCGGACTGGCGTCTGTCGATTACGCTCTTCCTTAGCTGGTTGACAGTTTTCCTCGTGGTGATACGCGGCGTACGGAGCTCCGGCAAGGCAGCATATTTTCTGGCGATATTTCCCTATGTGGTCCTTATCGTGCTGCTTATAAGGGCAGTCACGTTGGATGGATCTGTCAATGGTATCTTCTACTTCATCACACCGACGTGGGAAAAGCTGTTGACGCCGATGATTTGGTACCATGCTGTTGCCCAATGCTTCTTCTCGTTAACTGTTTGTTTTGGTGCTGTCGTCATGTTTGCCTCGCACAACAAGTTCCACCATGACCTGTATCGGTTAGTTAAAAACATCGCTGTTTCTATTATTCATTCATTCCTTATACATACACACACAGATGGTGTTTAAAATAAAGTCGTTACAAATTTTTAACTCGGAAACACGACGTTATTGAGAAAAATAAAATCTCTTTTTTTTAAAGAGAACTCTTTAAAAAATAGAACTTTTTCACGAAAAACACTAAAAGAACGTGTTATGTGTATGTGTTAACTGCTCCCATAACGCATGAAGATATGATGGATAGAATATACGTCAAGCCTATATGCACAAGTAACACCACAGATATTAGCTAATATTCGAAGGTGTTTTCGTGAAAGAATTCTAAAATGTATTGAAGTGAAAGGACATTATTTCGAACATGTAATTAGACATTGATTATTTAAATATTTAATAAATTGCTTGTTTTGCTGTATTGAAACATGAAACGTTAAAAATGTTATTGATTTTATTTACTTGATAAAGTTTGTGAAAATAAATTTTGTTAAGAATATTTATTTATTATTTATACTTTACATGAGCATTTACTATTCCAAATATGCAGTAAAAATATCTTTGCAGCTGAGTAAAAGTTACGTAATAAATTCATTGGCTCAACAACAACATTTTTCATCTCTTGCACTTTTCTTTAAAAGCTGCTAATGGTTATCGATATTTTTTTAATTCCAAAAATATTCTGTTAGGTGTTTTGGAAAATTGAAAGTGGATGGAAAAATGTTTCAAATAAAAGTTACCTGGTTTTTTTACGTATATAATGCCATTATGAAAGACGTAGATTTTCCTATTAAAAAAAAAAACAATGTTATAAATCTTGAAATGACCTTGAAACCTTCCATTAAATAAAGAACAATAAACGTCATAATACATATTTTCCCCTTGAAATCAGATAACTTTTGTCTGAACAATTTTTCTCAATAATGCCGTGTTTCTTTGATAAAAAATTGTAATGCTTTGTTTTTAACATTCGGTATATATATATATATATAGCATTTATCTAATTAAAGAATTTGCAACCATGCATTTTCATCTTTGTCAATTTTTGGAAATTTTTACATGAAATCATTTGGATAGTTCTGCTTCAGTATTTTACGATGACTCATTTTTACCTGACATTTACCTTCAAATCGGAAAGACCTCTCTACTCTGATAAAGAGCAACTCGTTATTGTGCCTTTTATTAATATATAAAAAATATGTCTGAGTAAATATTTATAGACGATATCGATATGTTAATTAAATACGAAATGAATCTGATTGTTATATGGCAACTTGTAAATAGATTTCACATTCATCAGGGACGCAATGATCGTGACGACTCTGGACACCTTTACCAGTCTACTGGCCGGTTGCACAATCTTCGCCATTCTAGGTAATCTTAGTCGCGAATTGGAAATCGAGGATATCGGCACAGTGGTCCGAGGCGGCACTGGATTGGCATTTATTTCCTATCCGGAAACGATCGCCAAGTTTACGATCGCACCGCAGTTCTTCAGCGTTGTGTTTTTCGCGATGCTATTCGTCCTGGGTATTGGCAGCGAGGTCGGTCTTGCCTCCGCCATAATTTCCATCATACATGATCAGTTCCCGAAGGTCAAGTACTGGCACATAGCGGCCGGCACTTGCCTCTGCGAATTCTTAATCGGTCTTATATACGTCACGCCGGTAATTAGGTGCCATTAACAATCATTTTCGTAAATCATTACTGTTATCTTAATTGAATAAGTGTTCACAGGGCGGTCAGTTCATGATAACCTTCGTCGATTATTACGTGACCTCATTTATCGCTTTTCTACCGGCTGCTTTCGAAATGATTGCTGTTGCTTGGTCATATGGTACGTTTTCCTCCGAAATAATAATTTTCCTACAAATTTATATTCATCAATTAATTATTCAATCATTATTATTTAAAACAAACGATTTTAGGATTGAGTAACTTCTTGAACGATATCGAATTTATGCTGAAGAAACGGCTGTCTATGTTCTGGCGAATCTGTTGGAGCATCCTTACTCCTGGAATTCTTCTTGTAATTTTCTTCTATACACTCGCTAATCTCGAGTTACTAAAGTACAACAAGAAGTTCTATCCTTATTCAGTTTACGGTAAGTTATCAAAATCATATAAACTTCTGATGCTTATAGACAATTTTCCAATGCCTTTTCTTTTTATTGGGAGTACAAATTAGTTCGGTCCGTTTTCCAAAAGATGATCGCCTCTAAAGACGAGTCATTTTTTCGAGATGGAATTCGAAAATTGCCTGAGAGATGGAAAAAAGTAATAGCCAGCAATACTTTAATTAATCTGTTCATTCATTTTGTTTTGAAATAAATGCATTTTTGAACACAAAAAACGGACCGAACTAATTTAAAAATTTGTTGACTATTATTTAGTAAATCTCTGTTTTTTTATCATACAATATCATCTATATTATTATATATATTATACGTATTAATTGTGCACACACACATTTAGATAACAATATACACTGAAAAAAATTTTATTCGTAGTGTCACAATGCGTGAAGTTTATCAACTTGAAATTCATTGATACAATGAACTTTTAATATTATCTATGATGATATATAATATTATACTTATTATATATTTTTTCATTAGCTAATAACTGAATTTATAATATATAACTACATCATTTATATAATACAACAAATCACTATGCATTAATTTGCTGTGCTTAAGAAAATGTATCATGACATAATATAATATTTAACTAAATCATTGAAAAAATTCGTTCTTTTAATGAATTCATAGATTCAATAAACTCATAAGATGTGTATAATAAAATTTCATAGATGTGATAAAATATTGTACATTCATCATATTAACGTATTGCTTCATTAGTTAATAAAGTCTGCACATTAGCTCAATAATCGAATTCGTAATAAGATACATATATTAAAGAAACTGTTTTTTTGTTATTATAATAAATCTATGGCTAAATAGATTGTGTCAATGTACACATTCATTGTTATAATGAATTCTAATAATTTTATAATTCATATTCATCTTTTTATAGAACCTAAATTATTATATAAGAATAATAGTGTTCATTGGACCATTTTTTATGAATTTTTTTATTAATACAATGAACATTTTTGTTGTATTTACATTCATTTTTGGTTCAGATGTAGTGGTAGCAATTACATAAAAGTGATAGGAATTATATAAAAGTGACAACTATTAAGTTGTGTAATAAATAACTAGTCACAAGTTATAAATTAATGTATAGTTGAATGCACTATTTTATAGTCGCAATAATTAAAATAGTTTAATCAATTATACATTAATTTAATCAAATATACATTAATTTTATGTATAAAATGCAATATATTTGTACAGTTTTCATCTTCATATATATTCTTAAAAAATGTTTTTCATATACTTAGAAAAAAAATAACTGAAATCGTTGAAACAAACAATAAAATCGTGAAAATAAAAATTACTGAAATATTGTTCTATCTATAGGTATATATATAAGACTTCATCTTTTTGGATTAACGCTAGATAGTATCGTTTCTCGCATGTAAAATTTAGTCAAACTCTATAGAAAGATATACAGAGTGTTCCACAACTATCGTACAATACTTTCACAGCCTATTCTATATATATATATAAATGTATATAAAGGTAGAGTAAAAATTCTAATAGGTACATGAAAATGTCGAGGCTACAATTATAATTATACATTCGAACGAGAAAATACCGAGATTTATTCTCGACTAAAGCAAATGATTGATAACATTTTTTCGTGTTGATGAAGTGACATTCTCGTTTCTCAAGATTTCTGACAATTTTATTCCGGTTATTCGAGGTTATATACACATACGAGGTTTTACATATATACGAGGGGGACGTGTTTTGGTCATGTTGTTTTTGGTCTAGGTGGCACCAAACATATATAAAGGTCGAACGTGAATAATTCTGGCTAGAATTTGGTACAGCAGAGTTTGAAGAGTGATACTTTCCAAATGTACGTCACTTCATCAGATGGATATTGTGGTACTATCTCATAAAGATTTACTAGATTTATCGAACCACTCACATATATTGACATAAAATATTAAATATAACATAAGGGTGCTCAAAATTAGTTGCTCATTTCGGGCCGACTCTCCCAGCCGAAGCGACGCCCACCATTCCCTCACTATCGCTCGCCGCTCAACGGTCAAATCGCCGATCACGCGACTGATGTTATGCCTCATTGTCAGGACAGAAGTGTTCCTTTAGGGGATGGTCGGAACTGTCCCTCACCGATTTTGATATAAAAGTCTGAACAGAAATTAAGAATGGTCATATCAACGCTGCAATACTAACGTGAAAATGACATTTCACCACTTGCTTTTTACATTTTGCCGATTACGTCTGATTGGCTAAACCTCTACTATTTTACTATTGCGGAATGCTTAACCTTTTTGATTCTACTATGGCTGTGGCATAAACCGATGCAACGCTATTTCATTGTTATTCAAAAATGACATAGTTCAAAAAATAAATTTCTTAGAAAAGAGAAAAACTATTTTTTAATTTGACATCAGAAAATTATTTGTAATAGATTAATCGAATAATATAAGCAAAAATATGCTTATAACATGATCAAATATCACTTGTCGTTATTTTTATTTCAAATAAATTTTAATGTAAATGAAGGGCGTAAGAGTCGAAAAATTAAAATAATTTTACATGTCAAATTTTTAAGGTATACTATAACAGAGAATTTTAATAGATGTACGTTTAAACAAAATAGAAGTAATAACTTTGAATATTAGACACACTTTAAAAATTTTTTTTATATACGATTTCTTTGTTGAATTAATAAAGAAAAAGGGCTACATCCAGTCTGCCAGCTGCATGAGAACAATCGATTTTTCAATCTGTAATTCATCGGAGAACATCTAACCTGATTATCCGCTGCGAACCTATTTTTTTGTATGAAGTAATATCTGAAGATGGCTCGATATAGAAGCCGAAACATGTAATATGTCAATATTGTTAACAACATCTATTAAAATTCTCTGTTATCTTAAAAATTTGACATGTAAAATTATTTTAATTTTTTGACTCTTATGCCCTTTATTTACATTAAAATTTATTTATTAATAAGAGTCCTTATACATATATTTTTATTTTATTTCAAAGCCTTCAAAAAATCATCTTTCTTGAGTTACAATAATTTTAACTAATTAATTGTTTTTAAGTTAGGTTGGTTTACTTTCGATAATTGATGAATATTTATTTGTCATCTTGATATTCCTCCAATTTTTTCGAGACGAGACGAGACGAAGAAAAAAAATGACGTATGATAATTTCGAAAATGTTATTTTTAATGAGATGAGAAGTTCTGAGATGATATTCCTAGAGTCTTATATCGAAATGCATTTCACTAGCTACAATAATTTTTTTTAATTATAAGCTTTAAATGCTTATAAGTTGAAAATTATTGTTATTTTTGTAGTCTTTATTATTATTTCTGAATTCTTTGGAATATTTTAAGACGGAAATTCTAATATGAAAATATCGACATTATATTATAATAATTTATTTAAATTACATACTATCTTTTTAATCAATTATAATTGAAAAATACATGAATATACGCTGGCTGAAAGATGCGTTTGTTACTTTCAAATTATTATTTAAATTAAGTACTTTGTGAAGAATATCATTACGTCGACTTGCCAATAGAGGTCTATAGTTAATCTTGTCAATTCTCGCAAGTGCTGAATTACATGATTATTTGTTTATATAGAACTTCTTTCTAACATCTCTCCCAGGCGTCTAAGGTAGGCTCCCACTACGTTACCTTACTGATGAGTCTAGTAGTGGAAGCCGGGACGAAACGCCAACTCGTGATATTCTTCACAAATTCTTATTTTTCTCAGTTTTAAATTTATTTCTTTCTTTAATATTTAATTTAAAGACTTTAATATGTCTTTCAACATATTATTAAGACCTTATTAGATGCTATAGCATCAAAAAATTTGTGATATTACTACGGTAGTTAATTAGATTTGCGTTTTAAGTTCGACGAAATGTTCAGCGCGCAAGGGGGGGAACTACTTACGTGGTATATAATATTCACACTCTAACATATCTTATATATGATCGCACCAATAACCGCTGAATAGGTCTCATTAGCCTGATTATTCTTGTTATTTATAATTGAAAAACTATTATAGCCTCGACATATTTGTATTAGGATTTTTTATTTTGTTTTATTTTTAGATTCTAAAATACACTACGAAAATACTGTATGGCGATTATGAGATACCCTGCATATAGTATAATATTTTTCTCTTTAATTATACTTACAAAAAATTTAATTCTACATAAAAATATTACATGTATATTCCGTTATAATAATTTTAAAATAATAATTTTTAAACTAGTAATTTTATAAAGAATTAAATATTCAATTTACATGTTTTCTGCTAACAGTTGTAGGTTGGATTCTATTTTCCATTGCTGTTCTCCAAATACCTTTATGGATCATCATTGCGATTTTTAAGAAGAGATCTCTTCCTTTCCGAAAAGTAAGCGACCTCTGATGGAAAAATTTGTCAGAGTTTGTCTGAAAAATATAAAAAATAACAAATTTTGACAAATTTAGACGCTATTGTCGAAATTTGATGGAAAATATCTCATTTTGTTTGCAACTGTCCGAATTTGTACATCTCGACAATTTTCGGAGACATTTAAAATTAATTCGGACACATTTTGACAACATTTCGAACAATTTTGGACACTTTCGGATAAATTTTTCGATCAGGGATAGTCTCGGTAAATTATAAAACATTTTACTCTTTAACATCATCCTATTATAATAGAGTAAGAAAGAGAGAGATAGAGAGAGGGAAACAGAGAAGAGAGAGAGAGAGAGAGAGAGAGAGAAAGTATTTGTCTCTTTTAGATGATCAAACAGGCCTTTCAGCCATCAAAATCATGGGGTCCAAGAAACGCAGAAGATCGCAGAAAGTGGTTGGCCTTCCGACATGAGTGCAACGCGGAAGCAAAATGATATGTAGAACATGGCAGTTTACTCAAAGGTTTATTCCGTGTAATTTTCAAAAAATGATGTTTCGACGATTCGACGATGAGGTCAATAAGATGACTTCATGGTAGAACTGCATGCGTCACGTTCGTTGTCACATTTGCAAACGACAAAACTTATTATTAGTGTTACAATTACTGACATGTATGTTTTTACAATGTCATGATAAATAACTATATATACAGGATGTTCAAAATAAAACGTTATAAATTTTTATCTCGGAAACACGATATTATTGAGAAAAATTGTTCAGACAAAAGTTATCTGATTTCAAGAAGAAAATATTACGATGTTTATTATTTCTTATTTGGCGAAAGTTTCAAGGTCATTTCAAGATTAACTTCGGTTTTTTTTAAGAACTTACGTTTTTATAATAGCATATTCTACGTAAAGAAACAAGTATATAAACTTTAGTTTGAAAAATTTTTTCATCCACCTTCAATTTTCTGAAATATTTAACAAAATATTTTTGGAATTAAAAAAATGTTGATAACCAGCAGCTTCCGAGGAAAAGTGCAAAAAATGAAAAATGTTTGTTTTGAACTAATGAATTTATTATGTAACTTTTACTTGAACTATTTTGTTTGATTTTTTAAAAAATGAGTATTTAAGAATTAAGGAGCGTAATCAGTTGCAAAGGTTATACTTTTACCGTGTGCTTGGAATAATAAATATTCATGCAAAGTATAAATAATAAATAAACATCCTTTAAAAAATTTATTTTCACAAACTTTGTCAAGTAAATAAAATCAATAACATTTTTAACATTCCATGTGTCAATATAAAAAACAAACGATTTATTAGAAAAACAAATAAACTTTTGAAATTGTTATAAACGAACGTACGAAATGTTACTAAATAGTTAATAAATTTATTAGCTAAAAACAAAAATTTTTTATTTCTTGCACTTTTCCTCAAAAGCTGCTAGTTATCGACATTTTTTAATTTCAAAAATATTTTATTAAATATCTCAGAAAATTAAAAATGGGTGAAAAAATATTTGAGACAAAATAAGTTACCTGTTTCTTTACATAGAATATGATACTATTATAAAAAAAAAGTTACAAATCTTGAAATAACCTTGAAACTTTCCACCGAATAAAAAACAATAAACGTCATATTTTCCCTTTGAAATCAGATAACTTTTATCTAAACAATTTTTCTCAATAATGTTGTGTTTCCGAGATAAAATATTTGTAACGCTTTCTTTTTAACACCCGATGTGTGTATGTGTGTGTATATGTGTGTGTGTTTGTGTGTGTGTTTGTGTGTGGGTGTGTGTGTGTGTGTAATAATGATAATAAGTGTGTTTATTCCTTGTGTTTCGTGCAAACCGTAACTTGTCGTTCTTGTTACATAACTGTATGTTTTCAAACTTCGTGGAAAATGGAATTGTGAGAACTTTACGATATGTCATCATGGTCTAGTGAATGTAGCACTTGAGATAAGCGCGTTAAGCAATATTGTTCCTTAAAATTAAGTTTTAAGAAATAGGATTGAAATGCATGTATAATATTTTACAAGCATGATTTCCTGTGAAAGAACTGCGAGAACAATATTAAAATTAAAAACAGTATTGCTTCTAAATATATGTTACCAAGAATTGATTCCAAAATTTATATCACGATTTGTACTGACAAGATTTTATATTTATATTTTAAATTTGCAAATATTTAGAATGTGGTTGGTTATACAAGAGTATGCGCGCAAAATAAATGCTATCTATATTTGTGTCTCCTTCTCTCGACGTTGAGAAAACTCACCGATTCTCCTTTCGTTTAGAAAGGACTCCGACTTATTGTATCCGAAGCGTGACATATGGTGACATCACGAAACTGTGATGTACGTTCCCTAAAGGCACATAATATTTAATATATTATCATACATAATATTACCATATATTTAATAAAAATCTTGTTGGACCGTACATTTAAAAACTCAATGAATAGTAAATAGGATATATACTGGCCATAATAATTGAAGCTAGATTTTTTACAGCTTTAAATGTTTAAATAATTCAATATGAATAATGTATATATACCTTATTTGTACTGGCATATATACTATATTTATAATCATTTGACCTGCACGTCGAAACTTTTTTGGACTTAAAAATGGAGCTAAACTAATGAAATAATATCAATTAAGTTTTGATACTCAATAGGCATTTATTAAGAGATTGTAATATAATAGAAGTCTGTAAATAAATTTATTTATTGCGAATAAATATTATTTCTGCCGGGAGTTGAACCCGGATCTCTTGCATTCCATGCGAGAGTCCTAAAAGCCTTTAGACTTATCGAGGCAATATTTTTCGTAATAAATAAATTTATTTACAGATTTCTATCGTATTATAATCTCTTTAATAGATGCCTATTAAACATTAAAATTTAATTGTGATATTATTTCTGTAATTTAGTTACACGTTTTTAAGTCTGGAAAAATTTTGGCGTACAGTTAAAATAACTACAAATATGGTATATATGCAAATACAAATATAAAATATACATCATTTATATTGAATTATTTAAGGTATTTAAAGATCCAGCTTCAACCGTTATGGCCAGTATATATTCTATTTCCTATTTGTTGAATTTATATTATAAATAATATAGGCATGTTCCCAGAACATATTAAATGTAACATTATAAGAATATTTTAGTAAAATTATATAATATTAAATAATATTCTTGAAATATATATTACTGGATGGTTATGTGTTCACTCCTGATAATATTATATAAACATTAAAAGTATTATAACCACATTTACTTTAATTTGTAAAATTGTTACACTGGTTTAGTTTAAGTATACGTTTAAAGACTGAAAATGGTTTTGGCGCATAGTTGTAGAATTGAATAAAATCACACTAAAACGTTATTAAGTACAAGACATAAACTTGTAAGATCTTTTCGTTAATGGATTATGAATTCAAATTGCACTAATATAAAAATAATTAATATTAATAAATATTTTAATAATGTTTCGGGAATATTAAAAGAAATATAGATACTAAAGGTATTATATAAGCGGACATACAACATCGATAGAATACTTTCATAATATTAAAAAATTTATAATATTCTCATTATAATATAACTTATAATAACTTATTTTAATTTTTTAATAATACTTATATAACATTCTAGGAATATTTTACGCCTATAAGGTTATTACTGCAAATACAGAAAGAAAAAATTTTTTAATCGTAGCGTACACGATCTCAGAAGAAATTTCCAATCTCTTTCTAAATTGTTTCGTGTGCTGCAAATCGACCGGGAGGGAATCCCTATCTTTCATCGCTTCGTTTTTCTTTTGCAAATTTATCTCTTCCTGCGGATTGTACCTCTTTTTCTTCTCTAGTCATTAGACGGGATTTCCGTCTCTCTACCTAAGTACATTCTCTTCCTTATCTTCCTTATATATATAAAACTTCCATTTTTGATTGCGTGAAGGGAATGTCCCTCTTTCATCTCGTTTTATCATGGTTTTTTCGGAGATTCCTTTTACTGGAACACAAGTCTATCTGTCTTACTATATAGAGTATCGTTGGGTTCAGAGTACGCGTAATTATCCAATTATCCCTTCATGCGAATCGTTACGTATGATTCACTGTCGCTCCTACCTAGCTATCACCTGGCCGTCTACCTAGATGATCGGCTCGTCGTGTTTCACTCAGTATTCTGCCACCTACCGCCGCGGGGATATATAGTAATGGTTATCGTTTTATCAAATAAGCTTCCGAGACATTCGTGCGGGAGAGAGAGCAGACCTCGTCGTCTGGTCCGACGACCAGTTTACGTCGGTAGCGTCAACGTTCGTAGATATCCCTTCGGAACCAAGTAGTGATCGCGTCTCAGTTTCCTGCCTTGAGTAGGTCGTTTCCAATTCTCATTCGTATCTCTCAACCTGGTGATCACCGTACGCTATGTACAAGGCAGTAAGTGAACGATTTGTTTGAGACGTTAAATGGTATAAATATGCACGGTTGGACTAAAAAATAAGGAAGTGTCAAGCGAAGTAAAATGTGTGATATATGATATCGTGGTAACGGTAAAATTAACGTCCATAATGAGAGTAATAGTTTTATTTATAATATTTGCGCGAGATGGACGTAACAGCGTGGAATCGGGTGCCTCTCACTTCTATCTTGAATCTCTTTGTCGCGTCAGGCACCTTTCGTTTCTTTTCTATCATTATGTATCTCACGGCTCACGAACGATAAGTGAAAGTTACCTTAAATATATCATAATAAGTACTGTAGCCACGCAATGTCGGGCTGAAACTGGAATTAAAAAAAAAAAAAAAAGAGATATATGTGATGACTCTTGTGCAAGTGAATAATAATCTTGAAATAAGATAAAAATAATCGCATTGCTAACAACGCTAATAGCACAAGTGCAACAATTTGTAATTTTTAGATGCAATAGCTTTAATGTTTGCCGAGTGATTTACGAAGGATTTCCAGCCAAGGGTATTTACGATGATAAAACCATCGTTCGATATCTTTATAGTATCCCGTTTTTCTTTGACATCCTTTTGTCGCAGACAATTATTATCGCGTATAGGTATTATATTACACAGAATGCAATTATTATCGTGTATAGATATTATATGATACTTTAATCTGACCTATGAATCCTATGATTGTTCGATTGCTGACAGAAAAACACGTTTTGCGAATATACGTTTTCTTTCAAACTCATACCTGTTGGCACTGACCTATATTTTTATCGCATACATTGGAACTAAATAGCGGACTCTCATTTTTGTCATGAGTCCATGTGAGATGTATTTGTATGAAACAAATAAGACCATTAAATGGACAATAAGGATAATATATTAAATGGACAATAATGCATAATAATTAAATTAGACCACGTAATGTTAATAATAAATAAGAAACGCCAAATACAGAAGATATACAAAATTGGATCTTAATACCTTATAATATTTCTATGCAATTTTTAATTTTTAAATGATTTTTTAATGAGTAAATTGTTCATCGATTATTGTTGGACTTGAAACGCGATCTCATCAGACTGAAACCAATAATAATAAAATAATAATAATAATAGTAATAATAATGTTATCTAATAATAACAACATACAAATATAATAACATTAATACGACGTGCTTTAATAGTAATAATATTACAAATAAAGTTGATCATCAATTTAATGTTATATATAATTTAATTATTTCTTACTCGTTTCAATACATTCTACATAGACATGTAACAGAAATATAAGTTCGATATCTTTAAAATTTTAATACATGCAATAAAAATATATATTAGGCAGTGCTACGAGTTTGAGTCGTGTCGTTTGAAAGGTCGTCAATTTTAATTAATGCTAATAACATTTTAAATATCTTGAAATATTGCAAAAAAAACTTATAATTAAAAAAAATCTATTAAATTGAATTGTCCAATTATAAACACTACGTTTTTACACATAATTGCAGAAGGACAAAAAGGAACTAGGTTTCGATAACGTCGTCTTTCAAATAGATGAGTCCCATGTTCGAAATGGCGAGACAAGGTATTACCCTGAAAACACAACGACCGTTTTGGACGAGCAGGTCATTGATTCGGGTAAAGAGCGCGCAACATGGAACAACAGCGTGGAATTCCTTATGTCGTGTATCGCTGTGTCGGTCGGTTTCGGTAATATCTGGCGGTTCCCGTTTACGGCTTATGAAAATGGCGGTGGTGCCTTCCTCATTCCGTATGTAATTCTGCTCTTTCTGGTGGGTAAACCATTTTACTTTTTGGAGATGATCATCGGACAGTTCTCCAGCAGCTCATCTGTCAAAGTCTGGAGCATGTCGCCGAGTTTCGTCGGTAATCATTTTTCGATCTGATAGCTTTCTCGCGAGAGATAGACGAACTGAAAAACATGTAGGTGAAGTCATTTCATTTTTAAATAAAAGAAACGTTTGACAAGTAATACGTAGATATGTGCAATTTTGCAATATATTGCAAACACCGTAAGATTTTCTTTTCTTATAAATTGCAGTGCGATATCACGATATGTAACTAGTTTTTTAATCGTAAAATTACATGCGATTTAAAATTACGCCCACAATTAATATTCTACATTTGTTTTTTTTTTATTATTTATTTTATTTTAATCCGCATACAAATATGATTATCCCGCAATGAAATCAATATAATGCTTTATTTCATGAAGGATTTCTTCTTTAAGAATGTATTTCGAATTTTATTAGAAATTTTTCAATGCTGTTACATTAAAAAAACAAATGCTTTCGTATTTATTGCGTTCTAACAGATAATGTTTTTTTTTTATTTTCAGCTTTTATTGCTATAAACTTATCAAAGATTTTTAATGTGACAAAAATGGGCAATTGATAAATGTATAATATGAAAATTGCAATGTGATATCGCGTTTATTGCGACATTTAAAGAAGATTGTGATGCACAATTTTAAAAATCGCACGTCTAGAGAAAATGTATTATTAATACATTCTGTGCGTGAGTTACCGGTGACGTAAAATTGACACAGAATGCAAGAGAAAAAAAGAATTCTAGATGATAAAATAATGATGGAAGTCAAGAATAAAAAAATGGCGCTGAATGTCCTGTTTTTTAATTACAAATGTGTTCATATATTCGCGTGCATTTAAGATTGTTATATTAAAATTTTCAGAACTAGAACTTACAGGTCAAAAACCCTGGATATTTCGCTTGAACTTCAGACGTATATAAAAATGTATACGCGTAGGTTAATAAAATTCAGAACAATAAACGAATAATTATTTCACACTTAATTATTCACAATTTAATGTAAGAAATTGACCAATCATATACAGTTGATTTTTCTCCTTACATTCAACTGTTCAATTAGTCAAATTTTTTACAACTATATTAAGGGAAACCAGAGTTCGTTGGCATAAGACGCAAGTTGGCATTATGTTGATTTCTGTTTATATTATATTTTGGCACATTATATAATGTTTAATAATATCAAGTCTTCAATTAGTGATGGGCGATATTGTATTAATATTCCTGATATTGAAGAATTCAGCGTCTCTATACGGCAATAATTTGTAAAAATAAGATTACCCTTGATTTTTCGAATACCATGTATGTCGTAACATATTTAATTTTAATAACACGTATTATGTTTATACAGGTGTATTTTATATATAAACTTACCTTTCTATAATAAAGCGCGCTAAAAGTGTGTGCTCCTTGAAAAAAATATAATTAAATTTAAATATCATGTTAAATTCTTCCGAATTAAAAAGTAAAACACAAGTTGATTTATACTTTATACTGTACCCTTTATACTGTTAAATTGTTTAATGCGGACTAATTTGATACGTCCCTGTTTACATTGATTTATCTGAAAATAGGTTAAGTTAGGTTTTTAATCCAGATAAAATCTCAACTCGGCAATTTGAATTAAAAATGACGAAAAATTGTGAGTGACTGTCGGTTTATGATCACTGATTTAGATTCAATTTCGGTTCTTGTTTATAGTATTAGAAATATACCCAAAAGAAGAAAAAAATAAGCTAAACAAGTCACGATAAAACGTAGAATGGAAATGAGATTTATAAGAAAATTTTTTCTTTTCTTTTTTCTTTTTTTTCCAATTTACATCCTTTTTACACGACATTTTTACTGTCAGGATAAATAATGCAATTTTTTTATCATAACTATGTCTAATAACCTTAACAGCAAATAGCGAATTCAATAGTCTAAAACAAATCGTTTACAGCGCAATAGAATCTTTTGATAGTATGCGTATTAACTTGATCTAATACGATTCGAGAGCACCAAATCAAAGCGCACTAAAATAATTCCTTAGCGTTTATACCGAACGTATCAAGTAATTTGGTATGGATATGATACTTGATCCGCGTATCAAGTGTCTGGTGTAAACTAAGTCACTATCTTAAAAAATGCAGTGTGGTATTATTTTTATTAATTATTTAATTCTAATAACACGTATCATTTGTATAAAAGATTTGATATCAACAACTGAGCCAAGTTAAATTCTACCATATTAATTATTTATTTAACTCTAATGATATCTATTGCTCGAAAAAACAATTCATATGGTAAAACTTAGATAACACCTTGAAAAATCTATTTATATAATAAAATCTAAATGTCAAGTTATTATAAATTTTATTAAATTAAAAGTAAAACTCAAGTGGTACTATCCTTATTATTTACTTAATATTATTATATCACAAAATTGCATTATTTTACTCAATTCAAGTATTACCGCAAAGAATTAAAGAAGTAACAATACAAAATGAAAAAAATTAATTTAAATAGAAAAATTTTTATGTACAAAAGCTCGCTAACAATCTTGAATGTAGGATATATATATATATCTTATATTCTATTTGTATATATTCATTATGCATTATACATATTTAACCTCTCTAATTTTTTTCATCTTTCTAATATTTAATATTTATTCCTATTTATTGTACGCGCGTAGAGCATTACTCATTTTTATTTATAAATTTGTAATTTTTTAAATTAATATTTATAGAATTAAATGTAAAAAATAAACAGATTATGTAATCAATTTACAAATAAAAAAATGTTATATAAAAAGTATACGTGTATTCTTTGTTTAAAAAATGTTATTTATATAATTTACATTCATAGGATGTATGCAGCATTTTTAATCTAATATTTTTTATGTAATTGAAGCAGTGATATTAACGATATACAATGTCAACACAAAACCCTAGATATTTTTTGTATATCAATACAACTATCCACGTTTGATACCTTACATCGATGCATTGGTCCGTATCACCCATCACTATACTAAATTAATTTTTACACAAAACTAAATAAAATTGCATGACTGTCAATATAGAGGAAAAGCTCCTATTATGAGATACCGAGTCCAATTTGAGTAAATGCTGGAAGTCTATGGACAGAATTTAAAGAAATTATAGGTTATTTCCAAGGGAATTTAATGAACTTTAAAATAGTGTGTTATGTAAAATTTAAGTAAAATTTCATTTTTTTTAAATTAAAAAAATGTAAAAAGTGAGCACAGATCGCAAGATCAAAAAATTGTGTTCCTAATACTTATGAGATGCTTCAAGAAATAGATAATGAAGTGCAAAGTACATCGGTATTGCAATTAAAAAACTGTATAATATTTAATATTTCTAAGATCCAAAATTACAGTCAGTGTATACGCAAAATGAGCATGCGATGCATTGTACTCAGGACTCATTTTCAGATAGTTGGAACCAAACACAGAAACAGATATTTATTCCGGTTATTATTTATTACAGTACTTTTTATTACCAGTAATATTTAACTTTAGCAACGATTTTTATTCGTGTATAGTAAGAAATATTTTATTACTGTTTATATATACAGATACAATTACTTTTAATGCTGCATCTTTTATTCTATCTTGTATGGTTTTCAAACGTGAAAAACTGAACTCCATCGCGTCAGTCTGGTGACGATCTTGCATACTGCTCGCGGGTGAGTAATGAAAAGTATTAAAATAACGGATAGGTATTTTTCTTTATGTTAATTTTTCGGTAATATGAGAAGATATCTTTTAATCAACTTTTCACTTTGCCAAAAAGACTGTAACCATAGAATAATAATAGAAAGATATCTTTTTCAAGTATTATCTTTTTGACAAAACTAAAAAACGTCTTATATAGACATATTTTTGTCTTACCAAATTGAATACCAACTTTATTCTTGGAACAAAAAAAAATTTAAATACATCCATTTTTCACGAAGCTACACTTACTTAGCTATGTAAAATTTTGATATAAAATGTTACAATAATTTTATTAACGAATATATGAAAGAGTTGTATTAACATCTTAAAATATTACATAAGTGTTGAAATAAGAATGTAATACTGGCCTAAGTCGTTTTTAAGAATGAGTATTGGCCTAAGTCAGACTATAAATACTGGCCTAAGTCGCCTTTATAAAACATCATAAAATTCTTTCAGACTGAAAAAAAATTACTGAAAGGTGTGTTTAAGATATCTTTACGATGATTTATGTCTGTCTTTTTTAAATGTCTAACTCGTCTTTTACTATAAGACTTTCGTTACAAGACAGTTTGTAAACATCTGTTTTACATAAAACTTATATTTAATAGTGAATTCGTTTAAGGCGCATTTAGTGCGCACTGTCAAATTTTTCATATATACATTACTAAGATGTTTGTTCAATATATAAATATAGACACAGATTAAATCACGAAACCTTTAATACACTTATTACGCAATTAAATATAAAATATATATTTCGTAATTCAAAATATTTATATTTTTCCTTTTTATAATCAGCTTAAATCAGTTTACAACGACTTTAATATGCACTAGTTTGTTAATATTGTTAATATATTCGCTAATCAGTGATCTATATGTACAATATAATGTATATCCAACAAATACAAAGTTACATAATACACTTGTTAATTGTAATTTCCCACTCAACAATTAACTGTATTATAACTACACGTGTAGTATATCAGTTATAGTGTTGAATGATTAAATTACTAACAGGTACGTTACATGTAATGTGCTTACTATGAATATGGCATTATATTTTAAACGTCTTTTTTAGACAATAATTTTGGACAAATAATTGTACAATTTTAGTTTATATTGACTGTGTTTTGATACACATATTGCCACTACCTTGGCAAATTTACTAATCAATATTAAAATATTAATTAAATTATAAATTAAATATTAAAATAATTTTTTGAGGCAAATAATTTTTTTTTAATTTTCTCGAAATTTATCCAAAACTGAATTTCGGACAAATTCAAACAAATTTGGATTTTTTATCAAATTTTTTTAAGAATATAGGAATTTATCATATTGTTAATAAAATGAATTTACCAGAAATTGTTCGATTTTATATTTTGTTTGTAAAAGATTATTTCCGTTTTTTGGAGAAATTGGTACTTTGTGTAAAAATTTATTCGATTTTTAATGGAAATTAGACGGGTTTGTTAGCAAAATGAACAAAACAAGTTCCCTTTTCCAATAAATGCAATTTTTCGATTTTTTCAGTGCTTGGTTGTCAAAATTAATGCCATTTTTATGGAAACGCACGTTTATTCGAAATATTTCGATTTCTTTTTCTCAACAAATAAATATGGTTTTCCGTGTGTGTCAAATAAAATCGATGTTTTTTGTCAAAATTTATCTGATTTTAAACCGAGTTTGTTCAACAAATCTTAATTTCCCTTAAATCGAGAATAAAAATTGTTTTAAAGATGTCTTTTAAATAAATAAAAAATCTCTTTTTTAAGACGCTTTTGCGTATTCTTTAGATTTCTATGTGATTATTTTATTTTTCGTTAAAAAATAAAGTCTTATTGGTGATTTTATTATTCTTGATTTCCATCTTATCGTATCATTTAAAATCATTGGAGAAAGATCCAATTAATTGGATACATTGCTAATTAATCAATTTAACACATATATTTTTAATAAAATATTCTTATTAAACTTTAGACTGCCGACATTTTTTCATTAAAATAATGGTTCTTTTTTCTCAAAAATGTTTCTATATAAATTAACATACACATGACGCAAAATTTTGAAATTTTTGCAAAGCCACAAAAGTAGCTTTTCCGGCAAGAAACGTACGATCAAATATGAAAAATGTTTATTTTCTCAAAAATAGTGTATTTGGGGATTTTTGATGTCGCTGATTCCAATTCTGAGCATAGATTTATATTTATAAAATTTTGAGCCCTAAGCGCAATATTGACAACATAAATGAACATAAATGAATAAAAACTTAGAATTTTCCTTTAGCATTACCCAAAGCTGTAACTACGTGGACGTAGAAAATTTGTAGCTTCTTTTTGACTTTCTTTTTTTTTTTTTGGTTAACATATGTTTGAGAGAGAGATATGTTTAATACATTTCGTATTTAAAATACCACTAAAAGGTGGTATTTTAATCCAAACTTAAGATTATATATATATATATATATATATATATATGTATATACATGACAAAATAAATAGCAATACCTACATTGCAAAGCTACAAAATAGAGATACACTTCATTATCATATCAAGATAAACGCAAATGCTAAATATCAAATGATTAATAATCTTTATGCAAATTAAATTCTGAACTTTGGAATATTATGTAGACAAATTCTTGCAAGTCGTAAATTAATTTCCTATAAAAATTGTTAACTTACGAGAAAATGTAATTTTTTTATGAATTCTTATAAATGTCCTCGTTGAATGAAAACTCTTCTTACATCGACAGGAGTCGGATGGGCGCAATTTTGTTCGACCGTCGCATTGGCGACTTACTATAGTTCATTGATGGCATTGACACTTTATTATCTGATCGCATCCTTTTCTGCTGAATTGCCTTGGGCTACCTGTCTGAAGGAATGGGGTGACGCATGCGTCGATTCGAGTACCAAAAGAAATCACAGCGCGGATAACACAACAGAAGGAAGCATTGACATTTTAAATAATTTCGTAAACAGCAGTAATAAGCTTCAAAGTTCGGCCGAACTATATTTTTCGTAAGTATAAATTGTATTATTTTATCCTATTCTCAAAAGAATAACGTGTGTGTTCTATAATTAACTCGCATTCTTAATTTTCACAATAAAGCAATTTTTTTTCAAAGAAACAAGTCTCATGTCGGAAATGACCTCAATCAAACCTAATATTAGAAATTAGAAATTTGTAATAAACGATGATCCCATTTGATATCTTCGTTAAGGAAAAGTAGACAGCAAATTAATCGGAAAATCGTTAAAATAAAGCTCGCGAATTGTAAGCTAATTTATATTATATTCAGTATAACAGTAATTGTACTGTTGACATAAAAGGTACTTATTCCTAAAGATCAAATGATTTGCAGACGAGTGGTGTTACACGAGAAGGAGAACATTGATGACGGAATCGGATGGCCAGACTGGAAGCTAACGTTATGCCTGTTTGGCAGCTGGGCGGCGGTCTGCGTGGTGCTCTTTCAGGGTGTAAAGAGCTCAGGGAAATTCTCTTATTTCCTAGCCATTTTCCCATACATCGTGCTGCTCGCACTACTGGTTCGCGCTGTTACTCTGGACGGCTCGATGGACGGGATCTTGTATTTTATCACTCCGAAATGGTCTAAACTTCTGGAGCCGACCGTCTGGTACGCCGCCGTTACCCAATGCTTCTTCTCACTCTCCGTCTGTTTCGGCAGTATCATTACGTACTCCTCGCATAATAGTTTCAAGCACAACATTTACAGGTGAGATGAAAAGTACAGATGAAAAGAAGTTACTCGCGAAATTTTGTATATATATGCGTTTACGTGTGAGCATTTTAAAGGCTTCACAAAACTATTCATCACAACGTATGACCTTAGAGACGTCATAATAATTACCTCATTGGACACGATTACGAGTTTGTTGGCCGGCTGCACGATATTCGGAATCCTTGGTAATTTGGCGTACGAATTAGGGGTGCAAGATATATCCAAAGTGGTCAAAGGCGGAGCTGGTTTAGCATTTGTGTCTTATCCCGATGCGATAGCGAAATTTAACTTTTTACCGCAGGTACTGATATTTATTTTGTCACATAGAGATGTCGCTTAATGCCATCGTTAGTTAAAATGTCAAAAGCTTTTTTCTAAATATAACATCTTATATTTCTCTGTTTCTGCTTAAACTATTATTTATATGTATAATAAATATTATTACTTGAAAATATTAATATTAATTAAAATATAAAAAAATGTTTTTTGCAGCTATTCGCAGTGCTCTTTTTTTTCATGATGTTTGTCCTTGGTGTCGGTAGCGCGGTAGGAATGACCACAGGCATCATCACAGTGATAAACGAGCAATTTCCAAGGTTAAAAACGTGGCAAATCGTAGTTCCAACTTGTTTGCTTGGTTTCTTAATCGGCACGGTCTATACAACACCGGTTAGTGTAAAATTATGCTAATCTTAGATATATTTATGCTATTCTATGCTATTCTATACATACATTACATACATACACTGGGGAAATCTAGAAATCCCAGTGCAATTTGCTAAATCGAAATTTTTTCACGTTTTTAAACTTTTCTTTTTTTTTTTTAAATCTACATATCTCGAAACTCTTTAATTTTATCGACTTTTACACATTATGGATTTATTCCTTAATTGATTCTCCATCCATTTTTACGGAAGTATGGTAATAAATATGGATGGAGTCTCAAGGATCAGACTCAAGAGTATGTATCAAATGTACAAAAAACAATGTATATAGTTAGGGTTACTGTCCGTTATATACAATCTTAGCAGTGAGAGAATTTTGCAGGGCGGCCAATTTATATTAACTTTAGTAGACTATTACGGTACGTCATTCGTCGTTTTCATCCTGGCGTCATTCGAAATGACTGGAGTGGTATGGTTTTATGGTAAGAATTATTTTTAAGAAAAGAGAGTTTGTATGGTAAGAATCGTATTTAATTGTATCACATATTTTAGTTCTACTTGTACTTTTATAATTATCATTGCTCAATTCAGGTCTAGAGAACTTTTTGGAGGACTTGGAATTTATGCTGGACCGAAAGCCAAGTATCTATTGGAGGATATGCTGGTTTATAGTTACGCCGTTTATACTGATAACAATCTTTATATATACCATAGCCACTTTGTCACCTTTGACTTACGGTGGGACATCATTGCCAGGATACGCGCATGCCATTGGATGGACGATACTCTGCATCGGTGTTGTTCAAATACCGCTGTGGATGTTTATTGCAGTATTGAAGAATCGAGAATTGCCGTTTATACAGGTATTACCATGAAAAGAAAGTCACGTTACAAGCCGTGTTACCAGCATATTTTACGTAAACAATTTTATGAAAAAAAGAACTTAAGTATGATTAAGTTCATGGTTTGTTGCGTTGTTTAAGATGCTAAAAAGAGCTTTCGCACCCAAGAGCGGATGGGGTCCACGGGAGGTACAGCAACGTAAGGATTGGAGGATCTTTAAAGAGGAGAGAGCGAGAGACCGGGAGAAGAGGATCCAACCAATCTGGAAGCAAATACTCTACGTTCTTTTAAACAAGGAACCAATATAGAGAAATTTTAACCTGGCTCAAAATACTTTAAAGTTCTTCTTTAAAGTTTTTACAGTCGTTTCTGCCGCGGCGGGATCTGAGGCAAAACCACGACAGAGATTAACGAATATAAAAAAATTATTTGTGTTCTTTAATTCTTTAACTGCATGCGGATTTCTTAGAAAACCATTTTGTTCTTTCATTATTTAATGTTACAAGTAATTGAGAAGAATAGCTAGAGATGGTTCAATTATAATTTTTTATAATTAACATATTCCATTCTAATTGTTTTATGAGATATTATCAATCTGCATATATATTGTGTACTTATTTAATAGCAGTTAAAGGATTTATATTTTGTGCTTTAGTTCTTACTAGTTCCCATAAGTCGTTACGTAATGTTGCACTATGTGTAATATGATATGTGACAAAGAGCTGCCAATATTATTACCCTTTTACTGATCGCTATGCGATGATCGCCACATAAATAATCCGAATAATCAGCAAACATAATAATTATATAATTTTTATATTATGTATTTTAGTAATTATTAATCTTTGCCAAATAGCGCTGCTATAATTTTCGATTTCTTTGTGCACGCTCGCGATATTCTCTTCGAGTGTTTAAAATCCCTCCATTCATTGTATTTCTTTAGGTCTTTTGGACCCCAATCGGCGCTCGGCTTGAATATCTAAAAGTAAAATGCGATTATAAGTCACAATTTCATAATTTTCGACGACGCATAGATTTATATGCTAGAACTGTATTTAAATAAAATGCAAATATATATTACATTCGTGTACGTCTTGTCTTTATTCCGAAATCCAACAATGATTATGCCTAAAGGAAACGGAAGAATTCCTAAAGCCAAAAGCGTCCAACCAGCAGCTACAAAAATATAAAGATATTTTATGAAATAATTCTATATAAAATTGTTTTTTATCTATAATTAAATTTTTAATTTTTATACTTAATATACATATGACTTCAATAATTGTAACTAATTTTTTACTTACTTCATGTGTTATAACTTATCTTCATCTTCGATTAAAATAAAATTTAATTACGTATACATATTATTATAATTTTGATATTTTTGATTATGCAATTTAATTACTTTTATGACTATAAAAAGAAAAAGTAATTAATACCGTATGCGGAGATTGGATAATATTCGTCGTTATAAGTAAGCGGTTTTATATCAATCAGAAAATAAATCAAGATGGTAAATAGGAACAAGGGAGTTAAATAACACCAACAGAATCTCCAGTAAAAGAATGGCCGTCGTCCTACCATGAACTCGACATCGTCCATGAAATTATCAACGCCTGGAAAATCAACGAGTTATATCTTCCCAAATAATTTCATGCAAGAATAAAACATATTAGATTATTACCATATACCCAAGAAATAGCGATCATTTCGAAGAAAGCTAAAAACACGATAATGAATGTCCCACCGAAGTAATCTACCAAGTTAAGAATGTGCTGGCCGCCCTAATAAAATAAATGGCCGATAAAATAAATGTTATTTTATTATAATTATGTATTATTTTAAAATAATTTTATTATATTTCTTAATAATAGAAGTGTTGATTGTAAAAATCGTTCTTTTCTTTACAAAAAAAAAAAATAGGTTATTTATTGTTACACATTTATTAGTTTCATTACGTTTAATTTTATTACCATTTATAATAGAAGTGTTCACTCTTTTATTCACAAGGAATCCACATTGATATTATAAGTTTTTATTTAATAAAATATTTTATGTGTTCTTATCGCTTTATAAGTAAATGTACAAACAACTGAATCCAGAGATGACCCGTTTTAATCAATCCACTAAAATATCTCAAAATTCTTAAACGTAAAATAAAAAAATTTTAGACAAAAGTTACTAACAATAAGAGGAAAAAGATGGAATAACTTAACTGATCTTAAGATATCTTTGAAGTTAGATCAAGACCAGCTCAACAATTTTTTAATTAATTTCTATTTTTAATATATATTTTTGTAGCCGATATTGAGATATTATTGAAACATTGGTTACAAATTCAATTTCGATGAGTACTCTTTTGAGTTATAAATCCTAAAGTTTGAGTATAGTCGACATTAGCGATTTTTTATCTAATTTAGTTGTTACATTTATTTATTTATAAAGCAGCAAAAATTGGAAAGTTATGTGTTATCAAATAAAAACAAAAAAACTTACAATGTATAGATGTGCAATATGTTCGCAAAAAGTGGTCTTTTGTTAGCTAGCGTTAAAGAAGATTAATTTCTTTCACAAAACTTACGGGCGTGCAATAAACAATGCCGATCGAGAAACCAAGGATCGCAACACCAGCAGCGATCTTCCACTGATTAAGATGTGGAAGTTGGTCCTTGATGATGCTGATGATTACGTTGCAGAAGGCAACGGTAGTTCCTATGCCCAACACAAAGAGCATCAGAAAAAAGAGTACGGCGAAAAATTGTGGTATCACTACGTATTTTGCCAAGGCATCTGGATAAGATACGAAGGCCAGGCCTGTCCCCGCACGTACGATGCTGCTAATATCATCGCTGCCGATTTCATGGGCAAGATTGCCCAAAATTCCGAAGATAGTCGCACCCGCCATTAAACTCGTGCAAAGATCCAGACTTGTCACAATTGTGCAATCCCTGCAAGTCGTCTGCTGATTTTCTAACGAACTTATACGATTAAATTTCATAGAACTTTTTAACACAACTAATATCCAGTCTTATTTTTATGAAAAAAATTATATTATAATAATACTTTATACTTTTAAGAATATTTTATATTTTAAATATATGAAAATTTCTGAAACAATATTTTAAACTTTTCAAATTTTATAGATTTAAAAAAACAATGTTTTTTTTAATTTTTTAAAAAAATTATGGAACGAGAAATTTTAGAGATTTTGAAATATTTCAGAATTTAATTACTTTTAAATAATAAACCTTGAGTAATATTATTTTTAATTTTTCTTAAAAAAATATTTAAATGTAAAAATTTTTTATGTAAAAAACTTGACGCCACTAACATTTTTGGCTTAGCTCCAGCGGCGCCAAGTTTTTTCTATTAAAAATGTTTACATACACTACTCAATGAAAAATAGGAACATTTTCAAACACGTTAAAAATTAGACAATATTTAGAACACCGTAACTCGGTTGAAAAATTATCGCAAACAAAAAATTAAAAAGGCATTTTAAAGATTGAAATCTCTACTTACGAAATCTGTAATTGAAATTTCAATATGACTGATCCTTTACGAAGTTATACGGACACAAATGAATATCCGTCAAATCTGAAAATTTTTCACAAACTTTACAAAGGTCTATGACATGAGGTAAAAATTACATAAAAATGTGTTTACAAGAATTGAAAGAATGAATCTTTACTTTCAATTTGCTTTTTTAATGAATGTTGTACGATTTTTTTTTCACCGAGTTATCGAACGTTGAAGAAAAATGATCACTGAAAAAATGTCATCTCCATTATATGTGCTAAAAAGGACCCGTAGTCCGAAACGTTCATTTTTCTATTAGTTATATAATAAATACATAAAAACATTATTTATAATTTCTTTATTAAGCTCGGTCATTGACCGTTATATTATGTACTCATAATTGCTTTACATTACGAGTGAACTGTAATTGAAAAAGTATGCATGCTTTTGAGCGATTTTATCTTAAATAAATTTCTCAGGTTATATATAAATTATCTTCAGAAAATTTTTTTTTTGATATATGTAAAAACTTTTTACATGTATAAAAAAATATAGAAAAGTATTCCAATTGTATACTTTCTCAGCATTTCAGAAAAGTATTCCAATTTGTATAAAAAGTCTGAGAATAAAATCATATGGAAATTCTGAAAGATTGTATGTACTAAAAAAACTCTAATAAAAATGTGCAGGATAAGGTAGAATGATTCGAGGAGTATTCACGCACCTTGCAACATTATGTTCGAAATTATTGTAGGAGGAATACATGGTCACCGCACCGAAGCACACGCCAAGGGAGAAGAATGATTGTGTGACGGCGGCGTACCAAACCGCCGGTTCTAGGATCTTGTGCCATGTGGGCTTGAAGAGGAAGATGATACCGTCCACCGCTCCATCCAAGGTAACCGCTCTCACTAAAAGGCTGATCATAATGACGTATGGAAAAAGGGCTAGGAAATAGGCTGCTTTACCAGTACTCTTCACGCCTTTGCAGACCACTACGTAGACGAATATCCAACTGACTAGCAATGTGAGGACTAATTTCCATGAGGGTAGCCCGAGCCCGTTTTCGATCCCCATTTCATTAAGGACGTATTTTCTGACAAATAGACAGTTAGAAATGTTTAGACTATTTGGACAATTGAAATCCTGATTTTTCTAACGTTTTCCGCGTAGGTATTATAAAAATAACATAGACTTAAAAATAACACAAAGAAAAGAACAGAAAAAAAAACTTAATAACATGAAAGAAAATATTCTACAATAAAGATAAAAAGTAAGAGACGCTTAAATGATAATGCGGGCGATTTATACATTATACGTGCAATTTAGTGGATTATTGTTATTATTGCATAGCTTCAAGAGATACGAACATTTTTATTTCGAATCTCGTGATCGCGAAACAACAAGTCTCCACATATACAAGTGATATGGTAACTACAAAAGGCTCCTACTAATAATTTATGACTGATGTCATATGACAATAGCAAACGCGCAAACGGATGCAATAATAACGTCACATTTAAATAGAAGGCTAGTCCCAGAAATCTTGTGATGACATCGTAAAAAGCAAAAGGAAGATTAATGCACCTAAAATAGAAATCAGCGGAACTTCTGCTTCCGTTTTTCGCTTGCTCGCCGGTCGATGAGCTATTGAAACAGGTGTCGCCCCATTCCTCCCAACAATAAGACCACGGAAGCACCGACTGACAGCTGGCTATCATGTAGTAGAGCGTCAATGCCATAAGAGCACAATAATAGGTAATCACAGAGAATACCGATACCACTACGCCGTAGCCAATGCCTAAACGATCAACAAATTAATCGATTGTAATTAAATCCATCGACTTTTCACAATATTTGAAATTAATTTTAATCTCTAAAAATTAAACAAATTTGTTTATATACTTTTAGCGCAAAATATAAAAAAAAAAGTATAAAAACTGTCTCTCGTCTTTTTAAAGTAAAGTCACATGAAATGAAAAAATATAATGTATGTATTTTACTTGCAAATCTCCTGAAAAATTTCTTTATAATATAAAGGTATCAGTTTTTAAAAGTATTCTATAAAAAGGAAATATTAAATTATTATGTCAAAAGTGTATATTTTTGTAAAAACGTTTAATTAATTTTTTCATAAATATATAATAAAATATGTAATAAATTTAAAAGTTTTTTTTAAATTTCGCATTTTTTGTATTCATAATTTGATATTTTTTTATTTTAATTTATAATAAACAGATTTTCTTTAATTTTTCTACCAACAGATGGTTACAAGCATGATGTTTTAAAGCAATTTTATGGTTTTTATTTTTTAAAAGGAGAAAATTTTTGGATAATCAGCTATTTAAGATTTAAATTTATTGTATATGCAGCTTTCAGTTTACTTCGGATATTTCACTTTTAAAAGATCACTTTTAAAAGATCAACAATTTATAATCGATAGAATAGATTTGTAAACTGAAAATCCTCTTTGTGTTTCGGTAATGAATAAATAACCATGCATGTATGTATTTGAATTTGAATTATGCTTAATCAAAAAACGGAGTTACATATAACAATTGTAGAATTGAAAAAGACAAATATAATTTTACTCCATTCTAAAATAAAAGAAGAATTTTTATTATATAACATATTTTACAAATATATTCTATTGAATGGAAATATTGTTTTATTAAAAAATATTTATTTTAATGTAGTTTGAGAAAATTTATTTTCTCATTTTTGAACTTATCGATTTGAAGATTTGTGATGAAGGTAGAATTTATTTAGTTATCTGAATATATATGCTATTATAAATTTATGCGTTTTAAGTGACAATTTCCGGTATTTTTTCATAAAATTGAGGACTGTCTTCACAAAAAGTACCTTGAAACGCAGGTAACACCGACCAAATTTGCACACAGGATCTACTGGTAAACTGCCCGAGAATCATCTCCATGTAATAGAAAGGCTTGCCTATTATGAAGAGCACCACTATGTAGGGGATAAGGAAGGCTCCGCCGCCGTTCTCGTAGGCCGTGTATGGAAATCGCCAAACGTTCCCAAGTCCGACCGAAAACGCCACGCAGGACATGAGAAATTCCAACCCATTTCCCCATTGCGCCCTCGTCTCCTCGTCCATTTTGATCGACAACGAAATCTGCAAAGCAATTTTTGAAAAGTTTCGGAAGCTCTTGTAAAGAAAATCTTAATTAATGTTGTGTACCGCTTTCTGCTGAACTTACTCTGCTTTTGAATTCATTTCCGCCGGATGACGATGGGATGGATAGCGTGAATAAACCGGGAATTTCTCCGGCGTTGGCAACATAATTCTGCGAAATTAATTATGTGTTATCTGATACTTTTTTCTATATCAAAATATAGGAGGTGAATTGTCTAGTCAAGCTGTCCTCCAAACATGACGAACTGCTCACAATGCGACATGACATCATAGAGACATCCATTTAACTTAACATATGTTGCAAGTTATTGGTCCAATGAACACACTTCCTAATTAAATGTATTTTGTAATGTATTTCATATACAGAATGTCCAAAAAAAGATGATATCAAACTTTAAGAAAATACTTATAGTACTCATAAAAACAAATCGAAAAGTTTTAATAAGCTAAACTTAAAAAATCATTTATTTAAAAAAACCTTTTTAACAAAAAGAAAAAATATACACCAAGTGCACAAAAAAGGTAATGAATTCTTCTTTATAAAAACGGACATAAAATAAATGTAATTATCCAAGTATATATATTTCATTACGCATGACACATAAGATGGACCGAAAGTGGCTAAAATTGTCAACTGGATTATAGTGAAGAAAAAACTTGGCGTGGGTCGCATTATTTGTACTTCAGTGAAAACATTATTCCAACATAATATTTGCATTATAATTAAATTAAAATATAAAATGATAGATATATGTATATAAATATAATATATACGTATGTATAATGTATATAAGTGATATAGCTTGTGGAACATGAAAAATACTCACAAATAACAGATGTAATGTAAATTATGTCGTCGTCCGGCGTCTCTCTTTCTCTCTCTCCCTCTCTTTCCCTCTCTCTCCCCCTCCCTCTCTCTCTCTCTCTCAATTTAATTTATTTAATTTATTTATTTAATTAGATTAATTAATTTTTTAATTTAATTTATTTTAATAGTTCGTTTCATGTATCAACTGATGTGGCGTATGTTTTCTTTGAATGTTCTTATAAATAAAAGGCTAACAGATTTAAATCCGGCAATAGACTTAGAAGCTCGTGAGGGAGTATACAGGATCACGAGTATAAAATACGTTTACATCGAAAAAAACGTATTATTACAGCAGAAAATATTTCATAACTTGGAAATAAATGGTTTGGAGTACTACTTATTAAAATTTTTTGGTTTGTTTTTATGAGTACTATAATATTATATATAATATTCTTAAAGTTTGATATTATCTTTTATGAACATCCTATATAATTCTATTATTTATATTTACAGTTAGCCGATTTTAATCTTCTTTTTGTGTACAGAGGTAAGATTAACACTTCAGGCTAATAAAAACGTAAATGAAAAGTGTCAAATAGAAAATTTCCGGTTTTTTTTAAATGTTTCTTAAAATATTTGTATATAAGGAAAAGGTATATAACAGAAGAGATATATAACTTCAATAAATATTAACTTTAGTAGAAGTTTCTTCAATGATAACTCAATTCCTCATTAATGTATTATTTTACATCTGCTTTGAGTAATAATGAAAAAAATTAGCATGCATGGATTGATTTAATCGGTATTTGTAATCTGTCGGTGACAATTTAATTGAGAATTAATGTTAAAAATAGTATTAAATCTTCAGTGATTATCTTCATATCAGTGTATTATTTAATAGATTTACATATTTTATTGCCGTTAAATCATTTATTCCTAATGGATATTATCATCTTTATCTTATCATGTTTAAAAATACTTAGAATGATAATGTTAACATAGCTTTTATAACAAATTTATTAATTCATGATAACACAAGTTGAACAACAAGGAAATGATATTATTAAAGAAATTATATTTTTTTATTGGATCTAATAATAAATAATAAATAACTTGAAATGATTAAACCAGAAAGTTAAATAGGAAGTAATAAATAGGAACATAAAAGTCTGGATCTCTAATGAATAATGTTTATATGACAAATGTCAATAATACAATAAAACATTTCGACCATAATTAGGCCATCCTCAGTGTTATATAAATGAATTTTTCAGGTTGTCTCAAATGACTGCCAAATTTCGTGTACTGGTAGAATAAACTAAACTGAATAAAAAAAAACTTCTGTTATTTTACAATTTTTGTACTAGTTAACAAGATATTAATTACTAAAAATTATTGAATATTGATTTTCAATATAATTTTTCTCAAGTATTATTAACTTTACAAAAATACAGCAAGTGACAAAAATTGTTTATTTTTTTTTAAGAGTTCTAAGAGTGTTTTTAGAATTTTTTAGTACCGCATTTTCTCATATTGGTAAAAATAGTTGCCAATAAGAAAATATAGAACTGAAAAATTGATTAAAAATTCTGAAAAAATTCTTAGAGCTTTATAAGAAAAAATAAACAATTTTCGTTTCTTGCTGTTTTACTATAAAAATGATAATAATTGAGTAAATTAACAGAGTGTAATATCCTTCTTTTTGTTTGTTTATATTAAAATAATTAAGCTTGATTTAAATGTAGATATAGATTACGTGTAAACATTAATATTTTAATGTCATTAATATACCATATATAACATTTATTCTAAAATTAAATTCATAAAATAATAATTCTGTTTATAATAAATCGTGTAAAACGTACAAGTGAATTAATAATCTAAGATGTAAGATGTAAAATTTTACATTTGTAAAATATTAATTTCTAGTCAATTACTACTATCACTAGACAAATTTCCAAATATAAAAGAATCTATCTATTGACTGATGCCTATAGAGTAATTAAAATATACAGATGAGATTTCATTTGTGTGTTTTTGTCGTACAAATTTGTTAAGTCTGTTGATTGGCTATAAATTATTGTAGAAAGATCCGAGGACCTTTGTGTACGATAAAAACGAACAAATGAAATAGAACCCTAGCTTACATTTCAATTTCTAGGCAATCACTAGACAGATTTCTTAAAGCTGCGTTCGAATTTCCTACCTGGCCATCTATCGTAGAACAAATCGAAATAGATTTCGATCAGAATTATTCAACTATTCCTTAAATTTCTATTGTATTTTCTAGGGAAAATAATTCCGATTAGAATTCATTCCGACACGTTCCATGATAGGTATCCTCTAACAGATATAAAAAAAATTGATCAGGTATAAAGGTGGCTGCTTTGACGAAAAAATGTCTAATATTCTTCAATAGTTTTTTTGTGAAAAATTTTGTAAAAAGTGTTTTTATAAATCTTTCAATATTTTATACAACATTGTTTTCCATAAATAAAACAAAAAATAAGATATGTATAATAAAAACATATTAAATTGTATATATAAGTTAGATTTTATTTCATATAACATTTTTAGTTAATCTCAAATGTGTAAACAACGGACGTATAAGCATCAGATAAAGTGTGGTAGCTTATAAATTAATTTCTGACATTTTTTGGCCAAACAACTATGACAACAATGATGATTAATGGCTGTTTGGAGAAACGAAGGTAGAACAAGGCTAGTAATCGCGATAAACGCAATCATATCACCGCAAACTACAACGACATATTATTTGATTTGCTGGAGGTAAGTTTGCAAATAAAAATATTACATCTTCGAGAGAAATGTGCATTTAACATAATAATATATGATAAGAATTAAAAATACAGAAGATATATTATAGTAACTAAAATTATATATATATTGAAGACTTTCTCAGAAAAAAATCGTTTTTTCTTCCTTATGTTAAACTTTTCTTTTTACACTTTTTACACTTTTTGCAAATGCTAAATTTATTGCTTACGACGACTCTACAGCACAAAATATTGCAACATACATGATTTTTCATATGATTCATGTTGACGTTGGTCCGGCACTGTGGTTCCTTTTTTTCGAAATTCTGCACACGTCTTAGCTAGTCGGCAGTCTTTGACGGACTGCTTAAAGAATGCGCGCGACGTTTGACGTATCCGTATACATACAGATCTGTACGCGCAATTCTTTCTGCTAGATTAAAGCGCGCACATAAGTAGTCATGGTAATCACACTCAATCAAATTTTCGCTTTTCTTTCTTTCCCTCACTTCTCCTTTATCTCCTCTTTATTCTCTTCTGTTTTGTCAAATCTTACACCTTCGAGAGAAATGTGCATTAACATAATAATACATGATGAAAATTAAAAATACAGAAGATATATTTACTAAAACATTTATTAAGTTTACTTTTTATAAATTTTCATCACATTTATGATATATGTATATAATAGTAGCAGGCGATTGCGTAGTAAAAAATTTTTTTCTAAAAATTAAAAATCCAGATAAAAAGGCTTATTTAATTTAAAAATAAAATAAGAAAAGATAAGGCTATGAGGACAAAACAAGGTACTAAATTGCAATAATAAAAAAATATAAAATTTGATTTAAAGGCAACAAATATTTCAACCTTAATTGGATAATTTTCAATATTAAATAAACGTTAAATAAATTTAAATTTATTAGAATCTGTACATAATAAATAAAAGAATGCTGTAATAGTTGTAACAAAATTTAAAAAATTGGATTCATTCTTTTTTTTTAAACATTTTTAAACAAGAATGTTTAAGAGTAAGTACTATTCTTTACTTTTTTAATTTCCGTTTGTGTTTTGATTTCACTTTCGATACAAAAAGAATGTAGATATTCTTTAATGTAGATAAGTATATTCTTTAAGACTTTTTTCGTACAAAAAGGAGAGAAATCGACAATCGAGATTTACATCCAAATAGAAAATCTGTATGAAATGCATTTCGTTTTTTTCTTTTCGAGTATAAAAAGCGAATATCGTGCGAAATTTACATTGAAAAATTTAACGAAACACAGATGCGATAATTCGTTGGAAAATACTGCTGCATTATGAATACAGCAAGAGAAATAATAAATTTCTTGTTCGATTTTATGCTACATGCTGATGTGGTCTGTTTAAGGATTCTTTCTTGTTAAGGTTTAGCAATGAGTAATTTGAATGACATTTTATAACATGATGAATCAAATGTATTGTATGCGGAGATTAACTTCCGTTTATAGTTTTCGTTATTCTGAGTAAAACGAAAGTGATTAATGACGATATCATCGTAGAATATTTTGCGAAGTGAAATAATAAGAATGCTTTGGAGTTTCTTAAACTATTGACATATATATATATACTTATAGATCATTTACATACACATTTCTAGAATATAATATGCTTAAAAAAAGATTAATCAAAACATTTTTGTGATATATAAAAACGTTATTAACTTTAAACATACATTTAATATTAAAATATCATAACTTTAAAATAATTATTTTAAAAAATCTTTGATCAATCATTGTTCATTTTAATATCATTTTGACATTTTTGTAACTTGTCGTTTTGATTGAAATGTCTTGAACAAAAACGATGTTTTTAATTAGTATTGAAAAATATTAAATAGATGTTATAAACATCATAACACGATTCATTAAATCGTTTAAAAACGTATTAAATTTAAATATATGTTTATTTTTCAGTTATATATATTTATGATACAATTTTTAATATTCATTAAATGTATTTTGAACTTAACTGTAATTGCTTTTGAGTTAATACATGATAGATTAATTATGATATTGCGCTAAATTACACGATTACAATTACATAAACAGATAAATTGTAGATAATTTACAAAATGACACTTAATTTGAAAAGAATTCCCGAGTCTTAGACGTTAATCGAATTCAATTCAATCAATCATCCGCGACTTCAAGTAACACATGCATTTTGCTACGAGCGTTAGTTACGTAACATCAATGTAACTTCTTTCATCACAGCACAAACAAATAAAGAAAACTTCCTAGACAATAAAAAGTGTCTAAAATCAGTTCATAAGACGTTTCTTTTGCGTCTAAAAGATGACTTAAAGACGTCTTGTGTCACAAATTTAAACTTTGTGTTGTTTAAGTTATCGACACAAACCGGCGAGCGCAATCAAACGAATTTCTTAATTAAATTATACGGAGAAACAACACAAATAAATAAAGTTGAACTTTTACTTAAAAAACATTGTTATCAAATCACCCTGAGCTCTGAATTTCTTCTCCGTCACAAATGCTTTCCATTCTCTGTGTATCTTTGGATTTTTAGGTCCCCATTTACCTTCCGCAGGCCGAAAAGCTGTTTTGACAGACTGTAATACGTTTTTTAAAGCAAAAATTAGTCAACGACTTTGACTTTAATTATAAATTCAACTAGTTTTATTACTATATACTCATTGTCAGAGAAAATCATAGTGGCAACTATACAAACTTTACATGTAAAATTAATGTACATAATTGAATAAATTATTTTATTACAGCATTATTTTGTTACAATAATTATAAAATAGTTTATTCAGTTATATACATTAATTCTAAATATAAAACTTATATATTATTACCTTTGTAACTACTACTTGAATTTTTCCTTGAGTATATATGTATATGTATATATAGGTACACACATATAGAGTGAATCACTTAAGACTAGCCACCCGAAAAACACGCACAGTTTGGAGATAGAAAGAAAAAAATGCTTGAAATAAAATTTCTCCAAAAAAAGAAAAAGATCCTAAAAAAAAAATAAATTACCAAAATATCCTTCGAAACTGTTCCATTTTCATCTAAAACTTTTTTTCGTATCATTAAAAACAAACAAGTTATTTAGATGACACCTGTTTTAGATGCGTCACTCTGTGTGTGTGTGTGTGTGCGTCTTGTGTTTCGAGATACTTACTTCGGTGAAAGACGATGTTCTATTTGTGATTATTTTTTGGCCAATCCACCACACAATGGGAGAAATACCTATAACTAACACAAACCATCCTATTCCTAAAAAATAAAAATGCAAAAATATTGTTTAGAAATGATGACCCTTAAACAATGTGTGGTTCATGATGAAATTTACGATTTTTTTGTGCTCTATAGAATAGACGTTTAAGAAATTGGAAATATTAAATTATAAAATAAAATAAAATAAATTTTTACTGACCGTAGGCATAATCTGGAAACCGTTCGCCATTATAGGTAGGTGGCTCATAAGTGGCGCACGTGTAAATCAATATGATGATCATAAGCACAGGCGTGATTACGAGCCAACAAATTCGCCAGTAGACACCTAGCCTGTTGCCTAGCATAAATTCCATGTCGTTGACGAAATTTAAAAGACCGTATGTCCAGAAGATGGTCACTATCTCGAGAACGCCAACAATTATTGCCACGAAAGTACCGCCGTAATAATCGATTAACGTTATGAACCATTGACCACCCTGTCAACATTTATTAAACATTAACATGCAGCAAATATTCTATCAATGGTATTTCTACCTTTCTAGATTTTTAAAATTTTTAATTATTTCGAAAATATAAAAATTTATTTTACATATGATTAGAAGCGATAAACGAGATGACTAAATAGTATAATAATTTTTTGTTTCGTATAATGTTCTTTCTGTATACATATAATATATGTGTATATAAATCTCTAAACTTTATTCTTCATTCATCTAACATTCAATGAATTCAGTGTTAACATTTCTCATGGGACTTGGTGTACACCTCTATATCGCTCAAACACGTGCACGATTAGTTATCAAGTATATCGATTAAACGCGTAACATTTGTGACTAATGTTTGCGTCAACTGTGTGTACTTTACAGCAAGACATAGTTAACGCACCGGAGTGATATAGATGAGGCTGACGACGAAGCCGAAGCAGGTAACGCAGAGCACCAACAACCATTGCCTCATATTGGGTAGATGATCGCGGAAAATGCTGAATACCGCGCCGCACAACGCCGCAGAGCTTCCAGTGCCAAGAACGAACATCATGACGAAGAACAGGATGGAGAACAGTTGTGGCACAAAGGTGAAGCGCGACAACGCGTCCGGATAAGAGATGAAAGCCAAACCAATCCCGCCGCGGACTACCTTGTCGATATCCTTCGTATTCATTTCGTGGGCCAGATTACCGAGTATACCGAAAATCGTACAACCAGCTATCAGACTGGTGAATGTGTCTAGCGTGGTCACTATCATCACGTCCCTAATGAAATCAGCAAAATAAAATAGGAAAAATTAATCTTTTATTCCGGATCAGACCCTTTAAGAACTCAAACGAGTTTACAACAACAATGTAAGTTAAAAAATGGTACTTTCGAAAAATTTACAAGCTTATTTTATTTAATATTATAACATTTTTATTTATCTCATTAATATTCTTAATCTATTTATAGCTTATAGATTGTTTTTTGTGATATAATACATATTATATTACCTGTCCACCCTGTGTTCAAAATTGTTATAAGATGAATAGTTGATGATCGGACCGAAGCAGACTGACAAAGAGAAGAAACATTGTGTGATAGCGGCGTACCAGACAGTGGGCTTCCATAGGGCGTCCCATTTCGGGGTTACAAAAAAGAGGATGCCATCGACGGCACCCTCAAGAGTGACGGCTCTGATCAGCAGAGCTGTCATCACGATGTAAGGAAATAATGCAAGGAAATAAGCGGCTTTGCCCGTGCTCTTCACACCGCGGAATAGCACTCCAAAGACGCAGGCCCAACTAAGAAATAAACATATCGACAGTTGCCAGGATGGTACACCGATACCGCCCTCAATGGATGCGTATTCCTGTAACACTATCTTCCTATAAAAATTATATAAAAATAAATCGTCTTAGTTTTTCCGATAGAAAATATTCGATATTAAATAATGATGACTCAATATTACAGTAAAACTTTTATTATAAAAAAAGCTGTTTAACCCATAAAGGACATTTTAAGCGCGTCCCTTTTGAGTATCAATAAAGACTTGCATACGAATTCGCACCAGGCATTTTTAACGTGTTATATCTTCTGAAAGTGAAAAGCCAAATTCAAGTAAAACCTACATTTTTAAAAATGTAAAATTTCCTAATTAGTCGATTAATGACATTGAATTTTCAAAAAACAAAATGTTATTCATTCACAACTGTATGTTAAACGAAACCAATTTTCTCAAATATATACCCATAGGTTGGAAATTTTGCTGGTACAAATTCGCACTCAGATATTATTTACTAGTCAATGTTGTTTCAATCTTGCACCTGAAATACAGTTCCGCAGAACTTTGAATGATAGCGACACGATCTTCGGAGACATTTTTGAACGTAGAACCGTCGATGCAATAATCTTCCCATTCTGGACGACAGAACGACCACGGTAACTCAGATTGAATGCTCGATACCAAATAGTGCAAGGTCAATGCCATCAAGGCGCAGTAGTACGAAACGACGTAGAACGCACCAAAAGCCTGCGAGTATCCCAATCCTGAAAGCGAATCTCGAAAAAGTGCTGCGAATATTCTTGATATCGCAAGATCAAAAAAGTAAAGTCAACAGGAGGTAAGCTGTATGTATATTATTCACGGAAGGTTTATTATAAAATTAATATTTTAATACAAAAAACACAAATCTTTAAAAAAAATCAATGTTTTTGTAATATTCAACATTTTTATAATACGTTTAGTGCCAGTGATAAAATTCTAAGTAATTTGATGTTTAAATAAATAAAAAGTATTTATTATTTAAAAACGACTAGAATAAGTAATTTTTTGAGAAATCTATCTCCATAAATTATTTAATCTAATCACTTTAATAACAGATACCTTTTTTATTTTTATTCATACTGTTTATTACACTGTTGGAAAATTTGTATTGTTAATTGTAATACATTTTACAGATTACAAACAATCTACTCAAATTTTTATATTATATCACATTTAACATAAGATGAATAAAAACAATAAGATATTGTCTAAAAAAAGATAATACTGACACAATTTATAACAAAATGTACAAGTATATATTTTTAAACATAATTAACATTTATGTATAATATGTTAAATTAATATTAACAATAAAGAAAAGTTAAATTTTTGAGACTCCTTTAATTCATATAATAAGACTAGTCACAATAACTATACATTTAATGAGGCTATTAGGAGTCGGCGTTGGAACTGCACAGTATATTAATATACAAAATTCAGTCAAATATACTAAAACAATGTATGTTTTTGCTCAAATTTGAGTCACCTTCAGCAGTACTTCATTTTACCTCATATAATGTTGAATTATGAGTCGCAAATCATAGTCCAGTATATGCATTCTTAGTAGCAGTGTTATGAAATATGAAATCTTTAAATATTATATCTATGTAATTGTTGGACTTAAATTTTTGTATTTAATTCTCATTTAACGTAAGATGAATATGTTACAAAACATAGATATTATATGTAAAGAAAATGATCACAGAAAAGATAATGCTAATACAATTTGTAAATAAACTATGGAACGTGAGTGTATTGCTTCCAACATAAAACACCAAATTTTTTTGTCTATATTGTTTTCATTACATGGAAAGAATTTTCTCTTAAAATTTATCCTGAAAAATATGATAGTTTTGTGGTACAATAAAATATGTATTTTAAAGATTTTTACCATGCACTTTAAGTTAATCAAATTAATCAAAATGTGTATGTATGTACATTATCTTTTCTGAATGCATGGAACAGGTTATATTCACGGTTTAAATTCATCGAAATTTTTGCTTAGTAAAGTAAGTCGCGCACATTCAAGAGTTGAATTAATTTTGTACAAAAAGAAACAGATCGTTTCTATTTTCCTCACCCTTCATAGCCGGTGTCATGTACCACGTTTTGGCACAAGATCTACTGGTGAACTGTCCCAAGAGTCCCTCTAGGAGATAAAACGGTTTCCCGACCAGGATCAGGACTATAATGTAAGGTATTAAGAAGGCACCACCGCCATTCTCGTACGCGGTAAACGGAAATCTCCACACGTTTCCCAGTCCGACGGAAGTGGCTATACAGGCCATCAGAAATTCCAGCCCACCTTCCCATTCCGCTTCTTTAGTAATCGTCTAATAATTGAAGATTTATTTTGTATAATCGATGTTGTATTTCCATTGATTTGTCGCATTAATATAATACGTACTGAACTTTTAGGCTGCTTCTGCTGTTTATCGAGCTGCGTCACTGTCGCGTAGTCGAGTGGAATATTTTCGTGAGAATCCGTTTTCGAAGAGTCGAAACCATCCAGCTGGAAGGCCTCATTAGTATAGCCATTTTGTCTCTAAAACGAACAGTTCGCGAATAAAATTAACAATAAGTTGCCAGAATTTTATGTATTTTACACTAATTTTAGAAAATCTTACGTAAATACCGTCTCCTATCCTCTCTGTTTTAGCCATTGTGTCGCACAGGAAACGTTCGCGAAAAAGTAAAAAAAATCTTCAGAATTTTCGTTTTCGACGTAACGTTAATTGCCACGTGCGATAAATTGCACAGGACTTTTTTAAGAATAAATATCGAAGCAAAGACTCTATCAACCACTCTCGCAGGGGAGCAACATCTTTATCTTATCCTCATCGCGCAGATATAATTTGCGATAAAATATTAAATCAAGGTAGTACTCTCGCGATACTTCGAATGATGATCACGATCCTCTTCTTTACACTTTTAATATTTTCTTGAGATTTTATTTAAAAAAAAATTAGATATTCTATAAATTGGTAAGTAAAATATTAACATTTCACATGTAGCAGTCACTCGGGAATTTTAATTTAGCGCGTAGAAATTTTTCCTTTAGAATATCGCTAATTTAAAGATTTCACTCAACGGAGAAAACCGAACGGAGTCTGCGAAGATACGATTGAATAACTGAAAGTTTCTTCGCCCCGCGGCGAAGATAACGTCTCACCCGGAAGCGTTCGGGATAATTTTACCGAGGGTACCGCGTTTGCAAATACCCGACAGACGAAAGAGCAGAGATACTGGTACACTCCTTGTATCCGCATCGCTCGAGGACAAGACTCCGCTCGCGATCTCGAGATCTATGCCGCTCGTTAGCCATTGATTGGTCAACAAATCCATGTAAAGTCAGATATATAAATCTGTCCTTCGATTAGATTACCAGTTTCCCAAGTTGCACATATGATATTGCACATATGCATCACGTGCTCCATATCTCTTTCATCTTTTCTACCTGATGTAACGATCGCGGTAAACCAGCGTATTCTTTTTTTAAGTTCTTAGATATATACTACAGTAAGGATACATGAATTTGACATCTAAATATCAATAAGATCTTACTGTACCCGAAAGCAATTCCAATGTAGTTATGTTTTAATTAAATTCTCCTACTCTTGAAACTCATAAATAAGAATTCCGACATTTTTAAAAAAGTGTAATATAATATAATTACAATTATAACACACAATACGTATGTATATACACATATAATGCATGTATGTACATAATATGTGAATTTATAATTAGATTTAGATTCTTCGAAGATTTCTCGAGAATGGAAAAATTTCTATATCAGTACTATTTCACAACTCTCTTTAATTTCTTGTCTAATTATTTTTTAGAAAAATACTTGATATCAATACACACTATTAGAAAAATTGTGTCGAATTTAATATAAAACACGTGTCTCAAACGGTCTACTCAAATTTTTCTCACATAAACGACTATGACGTTTATAAAAAATTGTGAAAATCATGATGCTTATCATATAAGATGCATTTTTTATTAGAAACTAGTTATTCTCCATGAATAAATTTGATGGATAAATTGACTCGCTGATAACAAAACAAAGTTAGAAAGAATTAGATGGCAACACATGCTTTGTATTATTTCATTACGTTTTCATTAAATTATTATTAATTAGCATTTATGCATAAATTATTATAAATAATTACATAGATTTTTAAATAGAATTAAGTGAAAAACGGGCAAATAGACTAATTGATTAATTAGCCATAATAAGCCATCTCTACTTTATTAAAAATAACCTCAATATTGAAAAATCACAGAAGAAAGTTAACAAATTATGACTAAAAAATTATCAGTAATAAATTATGAAAAGATATAAAGAATTTAAATCACATTAAAGAAAGAAATCTCACTACTTATCATATCAATCATATTGCAAACAATTAAACAACAAATTGTTTAGTCAAAAACTAGTTCTTGATCTATCGACCAGTCAGGGTCAAATTTATCTTAAAATGTAGAATACTTTTTTAAATTTAATTATAATTTTAACTTTTAACAAACTGTAAAGTTACATCGTTTATGATGAAAAAGAAAATAAAAAAGCAACTATAAAAGTCAAAAGATAGAAAGATTTTGAATTTCAATAAAAGAACGATACTGATTTATTGTGTATATTTAATAATATTAATTAAGAAAATATATATGATAAAACTAATGAATCTCCCTCTATTGTGTGACTGTTGATTCTATAATATCTGTATTAACTCGTACATAAAAAAAACATTCATATTCTTTGTGCTGCTTTGTACTTGAAGTACCGCACCTATATGCATAATAACGGTGCAAGGTATTCATTTACATACAAGACATAAATAGATTAAACATAGAATTATATGTATGTATATAGACAGAACTAGATAGAACTAATTCCAACCAGTATTAAACAAGCATTTAACCAGTAACACAAACGCGTGTAAATGCCTTACTATTTCTTTTGTACCAGTTATCTAAATTTAAGATTTTGTGGCGAGTTTCACGTTAATATTCCATGTATATGTATTTGTGTCGGAAAGCTTGAATTCGGTTGAACGAACTAGTACATGTTATTATGTAAAGTCGTATATTGATTAAATCTGAATGTAAAAGTAAAATGTAAGTATTTTGAATTATAAAATTTATAAAGTACATATTTTACTTAACCAAATAATAAAATGTATTGAGAATTTCGCATATATTTATATTGAACACTCATCTTTAGATCAATTTGCATACATCGGTTTTAATATTTACATACTAAGTGTGCATTAAGTGCGTCTTTGATAGAAAAGTTTCGCTTAAATTAATCCACGTTTTGAAACATTTTTCAGCAAAATTTCAACGTTTCAGAAAAATTTTAGTTTAATCTCAGCAATTTTTAGCTGAAAAATTCATTTTTAACCAAATTTTAGTATGTTAGCTGACAAACTTACTTCTAGTGAAATTTCAACAATTTTCAGCAAATGTAGATGTTCATCTACGTTTATTATATCATTTTTCGTTTGAAGAAAGAAAATTGCACATAGAGCATCTAAAATTGCTAATTATGATGCAGAACTTTATGTGATAGTTTTCTTTCATTTTACAACCTGACTAAAAAGAGAACATTTTAGACTGATTGACCTACAGATTTCTTGTTTTAATGTTATATTTTTAATTATTATATTATTTATGTAAATTATTGAGACTGAAGAGGACTTCTGTCGAAACGTTTCGCTTTTGAATTCGTGAGATTATTGTAATTTTCAGCAATATATTTCGCTGAAACGTTTTAACATTATATGCATATATAATAATTTCAGTCGCTATTCATCTCGCTATTAGAAAAATTAGATCAAGAATACGATTCGTTAAAGCTGTTCGTATACGGACAAAAATGACTGTCAATTCGATGTCGCGATGCCTTTGTCAGGCGTTTCATTGAAAGATTAAACGATCTTCTTTCTAGACGAAAATGACACAACACGACGGCGCGACAAAATCGTATATTCCAGAAAATTATTCTTAAAATCGACCCAAGGACGATAGTGAATGATATTTTATTATGGATAATCTGATCGACGTGTATTATCTGATCCAATTGATTGTTAGGCAGATTTTAATATTTTTGCGAGTATGTATTTTATACCTAACCCGTTTGCAAAAGAAACTGACAGTAATGTTCCTATCATTAACATTTTTATGTCATCATTATGATATATTCGTTGTCGCTTCGATAACTATTAATTTATGCAATATTATTTTTATTTTTCTCGTTACATTATATGCATGTAACATGTCCGGCTTGCGATTACAATTTTATAACATTACAGAACTTCGTCTTCCACGAGTTTACGTGGTTCGCCCCCACAGAGGAAGATCTAGATACTACGAGTTCAAAAATACACGCCGTTGCGCCGCAACATCCCGCCGCTGATCTTTTCGTATTCCTTGTCGTTTGTGGACTCCTTTTTGCATTTATGATGTTGTCCATGAATTCTCCCAAGAGCGAAGAATCGCGCTACGACATAAGTAACATTGAGACGTGAGTTCATCATCGTCTAATAAGGGAATATTGAAAAATTTTGATTTATAATTCAATGTTATATTTATATAACATAATGTTATTAATAATAACTATATTTTGTATAATATAGTTATTGTTACTATAAAATAGTTGCTATAAATTATAGTAATTTCGACCACTTTTATGATAATAACTATATAATCGTAGTGCACATTTTCGATATATTTGTTACTATACATGTAGTTATTATTACTAATAATATTATAACAGTAAGAAATGTAATAAGAATAATTAGTAGTGATATACATATATATAATTATATAGTAAATATGCCGAATAGGGGAGATAGCACAATGACCCTGGAGAATGATTCATTGTGAGCGGGAAGGATATCGGAGGGCGACAGAGACAGGCTGAAAAGAAAACGACAATTAAATAATAAAAATATAATAAATGTATTCTGTAGACTTGATAACAAAGATACTGTGAATTACGTTACATATGATCTTGTATGAAAAATAGAATTATCGAGCCTAGTTTCTGGACTCGGTATCTGCAACGGAAATAACAGAATTCAATTACGCGTCAATTCGATAACCGTATACTAATTTTGACAATAATCTGTGCTATCGAAATACTAACAATAAGTAATAAGGTGATTAACGCTATATAATCGTGCTCGACAAAAGAACGTATCACCGGTAGAGAACTGGATCGCAATACGATAAGGAACAAAGTTAACAAAACAGATAGTGAAATGGTAATATAACAGGTGTTTCTGCACTGCAATAGCTATTATAAATTATTTTACGGCAACACTTAGGCCGGAATCAGACTACGAAGATTGAGATTGAAGATTGAAAGATTGAAATTTAGCCAATCAAAATAATAGGAGCTGAAATTCCTCTATCCACATTGGATAAATTTCAATTTTCAATCTTCAATTTCAATCTTCAATGCTTAATCTGATTCCGGCCTTAGACGAATCTCGATATGCAAAAATGTCAAAAAAAGTGAAAGTGACTCGGTTGTGGCAAAGGGCAAACATTATTCGATTAATATCTCACTAAAAGTAGCGTTGAGTGGATGGTATGTGTGGCTCGCAAATCTTTGTGCTTACGCAACAGTCAATATATCGGCCTTTCAAAAGTTCTACAATATTTAACTGCCTCTTCTCCAGCTCTCTTCAGTAGCCTGAATTCTCCAAATCGTCTTCTCAGTCCTTGGTAGCCACTTCTTGAAGATCGTGCGTTCTCTCGCAAAAAGATCTTAACTCGGCCACGAGTGTCGGACGTTTTCCACGAATCCACGTAAACCCATAGATTTATAAAATAGACTCAGCATGTCTTAACGACAGAAAGTGAAGCCAGCAGGGTGATAAAAAATCCCACAAATTTTTGAACTTAAAATATGAGACAGATATATATTTATCATACGTGTTAGAGAGAGAGAGAGAAGAGGCTGAGTGCAAAAGTCTATATAAAACAACCCGAATAGACCTTATCTTATAAGTCATGCGTAGATCGCTGGGACCGTCGAAGATATCACCCGAGTATCCCCGTGTATCGTCTTATCCTTATTTAACGTTGAATGAACAACAAAGATGAAATGATACTCGAGGAAACCTGGGTATTTCGTATATGGAAAGTCGTATGCCCGTCTTTAGTATACAGCAGAATTAAAGTATATAAAAGAAATAAGACATTATTTTTTAAACTTTATTGGTAATAACTTTTAAACAAACAGTGACTGCCACCTAAAACTTTTCGAAGATTACTCCAGGTCATGATCTTGACAACATTATGTCAAGATCAAGATTATCGCGGTGTTCGTTACTGAATAATTATTATATTTATAATAACTATTAATAAAAATTTAAAGATTTATAACCAATATTCTTTTTCATAACTAATTTCATGGAAAATAGGATTTCCATGACTCTCGAAGAGGACCCGTCATCCTTCTGGTATTCGACAGCGGAATTAACGAATTGTTTCCACGCTTGCGGCGATTCGATTGGTCCATCGTGCGACACCGTTCCGAAGATGCAAAATATTTCGCGTTCGGTTATCTCGAACACCAGGATGTTACAACGTACAGGTCTTTAAAAGAGAAACTCAGATCAATTAATATTATTAATGTTAAATTCTCTGTTACTGTTTGTTTCGAAAAGAGATTGCAAATGAAGCCATCTATCAGCATGCGATTCTTTGTCAAGATAAGAGAAACTGCTCAATCGACATAAACCAAACATAACATAATATTAAAATTATAATTTTGTTAATAAGAGATAAGTGCCTTTCAACAATATAAATATAATAAAACACATATGGTATTAACGATTACATTGTAAATACAAAATTATAATATTGATATTTACTGTTACTTGGTAATCGACTGAGTGCAGTGCTTCTCGATTTTCTGAAGTTTCTAAATTTTCTTCAATGATGCTAATTATAACTTCAACATTTTGTCGCGCGATATCGTAAATATACAATGCATGAGATAACGCAAGTGTTTTACAGACTCGGTCTAGATCTATTTCATGAAGTTAATCCTCTCTTATTTCTCTTTATTCTTTAGAATCTAGAATCTCACATTGTAACACCCACTCTAACCATATTAAGCACTCTCAGAAGACACGAGCGAATCGTCCTGTTTCTCAGACGATGCCCCGAGAATGGTTGATAAGACGGACTAGGAGCGGTCAAGTCTATGGAAAATATCCGATTTAAAGAAACAAGTGATCGACGTCGCAGTCAATCAATAAGGGGATCTATTCGTAACAGCTCGTCGTTTAATTCTAAATGAAAATATCTTCTTCGTCTGAAAAGGATCGCAATTGCTTCCTGCGAGCGTTATCTAACAATTTTTAATAACTATTTTTTGTTATAACTGTTTTCCTTGTTATGGTTTATATTGTCTTTTTACTGCATGAAGAGCAATTCTCTTGAGACTTTCGGTTTTTATTATATATTTTTATCAACGTTTATACGTTGCACATATTAACGAATATAATCTCTGAAAATGGGATTACGCAATATGTTTGTAATCATCTTAAGATCTGTGTTAATAAAAAAAATGCTTTATGACAGCTTGCAAATTCTTACTGATTCAACATCTTTAATAGCGATTAACCCATTTGCAGGATATGTTATCGGTTGATAACGAGGCTCACGAGCTACAACATTAGCAATTTATTGCAGTTGTCTGTATTGCCTGTTATAAAACGAAAGCCATCTTTATCTTTGCGGACAGTGTCTTTCACTTTTGGATTAGGTACGTACTACTTATTAAAGCTAAGCTCGAGCAAAGTCGCTTATGATAAAGAACACGTGATAGAAAAATTTTATTGAATCTTACCTTTTTTTTTATATTGTAAAATTTAAGAATAATAATTATTATTATTAAATCTATTTAGCTCGATTTAGACCGTTTAATTATTTAAAAAAATTTAAATTTGTTGAAATTCACTAATATATACATTGTTGTAAAATATATATTATACAAATAGAAGTAAGAAAAACACAAAATGAAAAATACATGAAACTATGATGCAACTTATTTAAATACGAATATATTATTGCGATATAATTAAGCAACAAAATTATTGCGGCTGCAGAGTCCGATTAATTTACGTTTACGAAACATGATTAGATTCATTTACATCGCGAGGTCGGGAATTCCTATTGATAAAAGAGCATCACACATTGTCAGAAGCGATAAAAGGGAGTTACCCATTTAGTTATTCTGCAGAAAAACTCATTATATAAATAATGAGCTAAGACATATTATTAATAAATCTACAACTTAATTCTCGAGGCCTATATTCAATCGACTACAGCACTTATTCAAATTTGAATTTTTTTCCCGCCATACAGTCGTTTTAAAGCGTCATCCTTAAGTTTTAAAATAAGGTATAACGTGTGTTGAATTTTAAAATCAATTTCAATTAAAAAATCCACCTTTCAATGCTTATAGGTTGTGTCCACTAATTTGATGTTCACGTTCTATGTTCATAGTACTCTTGAAATTATTTCATCCTTGTCGAAAACAAGGATCAAATCAAATGTTAAAGTAGAACATCAAAAAACTTATCAAATGTAAATGATAAGTTAACTTATATATCAAGGCCCGTATATTCAGAATGCACTTTTATCGATAAAAGCGCCCTTTTGTCTCTGAAATTCTATAGTATACGTGACGTAAACTATAGCATGTTAGCGCGCTAACATCGTCGTTATGAACCCAATGCCCAAATGTTAAACAAGGACAAATTAAAGATCTATAATAGGTCTTTAGGGGACAAATAATGCTCACAGCTGTGAGCGTCCACTGGAACGCAGCCCGCAGCCTATGCTTATTTTTTTCAGCAGCTTATTCCAATCGATGAAACTATGGTAACGTTAACGAAACAAACTGTTGTCATCGTTTAATGTAAGGGTAGCCGCGATAGCCGATAGCATCGACAGCAAAACGAACGATATTATTCCATTTTCTTCTTGTCATAAATTTCCTTGCTGTAATGTTGTATCAGTTATAAATCTACTTATAGATAATTCGTAATAAAAGCCATTGAATAATTCACTCTCTGGTCTACCTACACTCATCGTCATACGGACCCTGAGGGCGATCGTCGAAGGACGTGCCAATGGACACTCCTCGGCGCCGACCATGGATATCAAGGACAGTAGCGACGAAGAAGACGAGAGAACACGCGACATCACAACGTTTAGTAAATTCGACGAGGCGATCGTGGTGCGTAATGCCGAAGAAATCAAAAGCCCGATGAGTCGTGGACACTCGAGTTCCAGAAAGACCAGGAAAAGCATGACAAGCGACAACACGAACACGTTGGCGTCCAACTCACCACGTGGCAACAGGCACGAATTCAGAAGGTATAATTGCCACGCGATTTATGCACATAAATCCCGTCTTATTTATTATCGCTAGTTTATAAAAATGCGCACCTAGTGACATCAGAATTTCGTTGAATTTTCCTGTAACATATTTCTTTATTAAATGAGTGTTATTATATTTAAAAATGTGAAATATAATATATGAACGTAGTATATACAGTCTATTACCACTCTTACTATATACTTATTTCGCAAACCGTTTAAAATTATAAAAAACCGCTAAATTTATGTTTGATAATTTCAAGGGGCTACTCTTTCAAAGCAAGGTTTCTTCTACCACGGGAATACAAGAGGAACTTTATTTGAAATTTTTTAATTGAGGCCACCCTGAGGCAGCTTCATGAGGGAGAACTTCCCTCATCCTTTTAAAATAGTGGTCCCTCGAAATTATCATATATGTGTATTTCGAGATTTTTCATAATTTTGAACCATTTTCAAAATATATGGGTGGTAACAGCCTTAATAGACACCCTGGTACGTTTATGTATGTATATGTTTTAATTTGGTAGATACTCGAGCAATGATGTCGGCTTCGAGAAATCGATGGAAATTGGCAGTGATCCCTCGGATAGTGAGGAGAGCGACGACGATGATATACAGGGTACCAGCATTGCGAAGCCGATCAATTTGTATAATCCTAAGGAATTCGAGAATCTAGAGGCATCGACGGAGGTCAAGGAGTTATTTCAAAATATAATGAGGTAAGTAAATATTTAGTGTTCCTATTAAAATGTATGGATTTATACTTGCTAACTCAGAACAACAATAGTTAATTACAGAAATATATTAATAAAATTAGATATGCTCAGATATGACTTTTCATCAAATCTGGTTATATATGTTCATATATATAATCGTATCTATACTGGAATATGCGACCTAAAATAAGTGCGCTTTTATAATATGCGGTCTCTTCATGATTACCTCGGACGGAAATCGATTCCGGATCTTTTGCTTGCCAGGCGGGTTAATGATTAATCAAATGAACATTTTTTACTAAGAGATCAAATCTGGTTATATTATACTACTTAACTAGTCAGATAGAGATAATTTGCTGATTTATGCCCGTTTCCACCAATGTAGATTAACTTTATAATCTCGGTTAAATTTACTGTTCATCTTTTTCTAATTTTTATAACTAGAAAAAGACGAAGAGCAAATTGAACCGAGATTAAAGTTAATCTACATTGATGGAAATGGGCATTAGTCAGATCTGCTGAACCAAGTCGTATCTCGGCAGATCTAATTTTTGTCCCTAGGTAACTTTAATTATATATATATTATAATTAATTAAATTAATTAAATAAAAAATTATCAAACACACATTAGTAAATTAATTAATTAGACTTTAATTTTTTAATAAACTTAATTATGCTCGTGTAAAAAATTATCAAGCTTTCAAAGACTTGACTTATTATCATCAAACTCAGAATCAAACGATTGATCTTGATCGTCAATTAATCCAGGTACACGCCACAGAAGATCGAGCTCAACTACAAGCTGATACCATTCGTTCCTGACTACATACCTGCAGTCGGTGATATAGATGCCTTCATAAAGGTACCGAGGCCTGACGGAGTCGAGGATAAAATTGGCCTAACTGTATTAGACGAGCCCTGCACTGATCAATCGGATCCGGCAGTGCTGCACTTACAACTACGTAATCATTCTAGGAGTGCCGGCGCTGCTGCCAGACAGGCGGTTGTCAAAAGAATAGAGGATGCCGAGAGAAACAGCAAGTCGATTGACAAATGGATTGACGATATGAATCAGTTACACAGAAGTAAACATCCGCCGGGTGTGCAACTAAATAATGCAATGCCAGACATCGACGGACTGATGCAGCAGTGGCCGCTGCAGGTGGAAGAAAAACTGAATGAGCTGCAGTTGGATCTATCACAGCTCGATTGTGATCTGCCGCAACTGGTCGACGTGGTCTGCAACCTTTTGGACATTCCCACGCGAGAGGACACTCGACTGGAGGCTCTTCACACGCTGTTTACGTTGTACTTAGAGATCAGAAATGTCGACAGCCGGCACTTCAATTAGCATTAAGCGCAATTATTATTAATTAGATATTATATTTAAATTGTAAAAAAATTAAGACATTACTTAAGACGGTCTGGAAATAAAAACTGACTATGAATATTGGCCAAAAATCCGAATTCATTTCAATCCATTTCAATCCATATTCTCTCTCGTTTATTGGAAAAGATAACTCTCACTAAATAAAGTTTGCAACATTTCGGGAGTGTTCAGACTCCCAAACAGTCGAACCTTGATCTTCGCTTGTTATCGCATTGTAATTTCCCGACTTCCCCGAGACGTACGCGACCTCGACCTCTGGGTGGAGCATATATTCACAGTCAACTGCTCTTCCTTATTATTACTCCATATCTCTCTTTCTCTTTTCCTTCCTCTTTCTCTTAGATTATTTAAGATTATTATTATTTGTATTATATAAATTGTACGTTTTCTTAAATAGATGAGAAAGCTCTATCACAGTTTCATTCATTCGTTCATTCATTTCTCGATCAATTCACTCGCTGAAATTGAATTAACACATGCGTGTTAGTGTGTATTACAATGTGTTCGTACAGTCGTCGGATCGATCGGACGTCGGTCAGTCGGACAATCAGTAGTTCTTCGCTACGCTTCCGTATAATTACGTCAAGTTGCTAGCAATGAGTCACCTCACTAGTCCCATTATCGCTGCTGATTCATTACATATATACATATATATTGTATATTACAAATAAATCATTTGTTTGCCGCGTGATTTATAGGAGAAGTCTCGAGAAAGCACTCGAACGAGTCGGACGTGTTTTATCTCGACTCGTGTAGTCGAGTGTTGCATCGCCTCGATTATTTATTGGATAGTATTGTCGACTTCGCAACTGAGCAATTGTATTTCTTTTATTTCTGTAACCCCTCATTTAAGTCGCAGACGCTCAGGCTTGAAGTGTAGTATATATATATATATTATCGTTTCTGGCTGCATTGCATCATTTATTTATAAAATTTGCCTGGTTCAGGTGATCGGTGCATTGCATATATTTATATTGCTATAAGTTAATCTATTTTTTTATATTTGAACGTCTCAGCCGATTTATCCACTGCGAGACCATTCAAGAAGGAAAAATATTAATTTTCTTATGTATATATGCCATACATTGCCATAGTGTCGTACACGCGCCACTCGTGCAAGTCTACGTCAACATTACGACATGGTGTGTGACTAACAACCTGAACTCGATCACTTGTCTCCGAGAGAGATGTGACTAAGAACCGATTATTCGACGAATTCGGTGAATTCAGAAACGATGAATTCGTCAACGCAAAACAGTGTCGAAAATGATAGAGGAGACAATGACAGCATTGATGTTTATGATGTTGAGAACGATGTAGAAAGACTGATTAAGCCAAGAAATAATTTCGCATCATATTCGAACGAAAATATTGACGTGCGATTCCGGGTATGTCGAATTCTCATGCTTTCATGCATCCCTCTATGATAGGTTTTTAGATGCGAATGTTTTAAGATGATTCTAGCGAGTGTCGATCTTTTTCCACAGTTCATCTTTTCTCTTTCTTTTCATGTTGAACAAAGAAAGAAAAAAGATGAACTGTGCAAGACATTAAATTAAAAGGAACAGATCAGAAATACCACCTGAGTGATTTCATGCATGGTAGAAGAATATCATTTTTCATTCTTCCACTGTGGTTCCATGTCTTATTTTATCCTTGCTATTTATAAAATGATAAACAAAGATAAAATAATAGATGGATATACCTGAGCGAAGTTTCTGATAATACTTTATTGTGTCAACACAGAGCATCGCTAATAATGACATAACATGCAGTAATGTAGAGGCTATCTCGGGTCAATCCAGAAGACTACATATCAGGGATATAACCCCTGGAGCAACTAATTTCCTATCAACTAATTATGAGGTAATTGCTTTTTGATGAACTTTTAATCATGAATTGATTGCAACCACCGTCTGATCTTGTTTAAACACATCTGTTTGTATTTTAACACTATATTTGACTTATATGTATCATCTTGTCTTTGCTTGGTAAAATAAGTTAATAAGCATCTTTTTTTCAGAGTCTGGATTATGACCCTTGCGAAAATTATCTTCTGCAAGATGAAGAAAGGAAGAAAGGATACCGGTTTATTGTTAGGAAAAACTTTGCCAGGTGGTTCATTTTTCTCTTAATTGGAATTTGTACTGCCCTCGTAGCGTGCTTTGTAGATATACTGATAGAGGAATTATCCAGCCTAAAATATGGCTGGCTTAAGAAATGTATGTTTTCTAACATATTCTACATAAACATATTATATGATATATAAAGTAATATGCAAATCTTGTGTCGATAGATGTAGACCAGTGTGTGAAGGAAGGTTGCCTTTGGTTACCATACATGATGTGGTTAGTGCTAAATATAGTACCAGTTTTCATAGGTGCTATCTTAGTATCCTACATTGAACCTGTTGCTGCAGGGAGTGGTATTCCACAAGTGAAATGTTATTTAAATGGTGTCAAAATACCACGAGTTGTACGTATTAAAACTCTGGCTGTGAAAACTATTGGCGTTGTATGCACTGTAGTCGGAGGCTTAGCAGGAGGCAAGGTAAACGGTTTCGTCATCGTTCTTTCCTTTTGTCAGCATCGTTCATATCTCGTGTATTTCAGGAAGGTCCTATGATCCATTCTGGTGCTGTCATAGCCGCGGGGATTTCTCAGGGTAAAAGTACTACCTTTAAGAAAGACTTGAAAATATTCGAATACTTTAGAGAGGATCATGAAAAACGAGAGTTTGTGTCCGGAGGTGCCGCATCTGGAGTATCAGCGGCTTTCGGAGCACCTATTGGTAAATAAATTTTTTAATATTAATGATTATATGTGTACAGTCTGTTATTCTTGCACATTTTTAATGGAAAACTTGTTTGTTAATTTAGAATTGATTTATTCTTATTATAAATTATATTGATTACAAAGATTTCTATCTCTCCATACTTGAATGACTTACATATTCTTAACTACCAAACAAGAATATAAAATTTAAAAAATTCCATCATGCACAAATTGAGAAATCAGAAACTTTTTGATAAAATTCTTTTTTAATGAAACTCCATAAGCAAGTAATAATTTTTTTCTTTTACTTTATGGAATAAAATATTATATATAAGAATGATCATTCAAATATATTAACAGAAATCTTATAAAATCAGAATAATTTTTTACATCGAATTGTCAATGTTTATTGTATCACTGAAAATTTTACATAAACAATTAAAAGAAGCTTCTTACTATCACATTTATTTATTCATATATTGTAAAAAATATTTAAATTTCTAGAAAGCAATCTTATATATCCGAAATAAATTTATTTAAAATACTAGACATTAGTCCAATATCTAACTTTGAGGCGTTTCTCTTAATTGATTTAAATTTCTTATTTAGCTGTGTGTATTATGTCACAAATTGCGTAAGATATTCAAAGAAGAATTCCTAAAAATTAAAGAGTGATAGAATTTTTTGAAAAGCCTACTCTTTTTCAGTGTAAAAAGAAATCCTACAAAAAAAAGAACTTATTCTTATATTTAAGAAATAAGATGTTGATAAAAATTTTTGTTATTTAGTGTTATTATATATATTATGATATATTAACATTACAAGAAATTATTACACTTATACAAGTAATTTTTATAATTTTTGCATATTTTTTTATTTTTTAGGTGGTGTCTTGTTTAGTATAGAAGAAGGCACCAGCTTTTTCAATCAAAGCCTCACATGGAGAACGTTCTTCGCCAGCATGATCACTACATTTACTTTAAACGTGATCTTGAGCGCATACCACGGACACCCCGGAGATCTTTCGTACCCTGGCTTATTAAATCTAGGAAAATTTAATTCGATTCCATATAAAATCTACGAGATACCTCTGTTCATGCTAATGGGCACTTTCGGCGGATTACTTGGAGCTTTATGGAATCACGTGAACTATAAGATTACTTGCTTTCGTTTGAAATTTGTAACACAAAAGTGGCAAAAAGTTATTGAAGCTCTCCTGGTGGCAATATTAAGTGCAACAATGGGATCTTTAATGATATACTTTGTAAATGATTGTAAACCATTGGGTAACGATCCCACCAAATTTCCAGTTCAAATGTATTGCGCAGAGGGGGAATACAGTGCGGTCGCCGCTTTATGGTTTCAAACTCCAGAAAGCAGCGTACGATCCTTATTTCACGATCCTAAAGGTATATAACATGCAATAAGCAACAATAATACAATTTTAAAAAAACGCAATATAAATTACGCATTTGTAGGAGCTCATAATGATTTGACGCTAGCTATCTTTGTTGTATTGTATTTCTTTCTCGCTGCCACAACTTTTGGCCTATCGATGTCGAGTGGCCTTTTCATTCCTTCTCTATTAATTGGATCTGCTTGGGGTAGATTAATTGGATCGGGTCTTGCGAAGCTATGTCCACAATGCGTAAGAATCATGAAAAGAGATTTACAACTGATATAGTGTACAAAATAAAATAATTGCTATGTTGCATATATAATTTCATATTGCAGGAAGTTTTAGACCCTGGTAAATATGCTTTACTAGGTGCTGCTGCACAATTAGGAGGAGTAGTTAGAATGACTATAAGTTTAACTGCAATCTTGATAGAAGCAACTCAGGGAATATATTTTGGTTTGCCTGTCATAATAGTCCTTATAATGGCAAAATGGATCGGTGATTTCTTTAATGAGGTAAGTATTACAGGATTGCTACAAGTTAGGGAATTCAGGGAAAAATCAAGAAATTTGAAAATAATCAAGTCATTTGGAAATGTCAGGGATTTAGAGAAAAAAAGAAGAAAAGAATTGTATTTATACATTTGTATTCATACGATCTACAAAATATTTATACAAAAAAAATTTCAAAATATATATTAGTGGAAGTCAGAAAGAATCATAAAATTTTGTCTGGAAATCTCAAAGAGAAGTCAAGGAATTTTAAGATGAAAAATTTATGGCAACCCTGTATTAATCAATTATTGATTGACTTGACATCTGAGATACTACCGTGTCTCTTGATATGTACTGCACTTATAAATATATAATCAATATGTTTTTAATAATAAAATATGCACCTCTCTTAGGGAATTTATGATATTCATATACAAATGGCAGGAATTCCATTGCTTCCGTGGGAGCCGCCTCCCCTCTCGAATAATATTTATGCAACTGAGATAATGAGTCATCCTGTTGTGACTTTGAAAACTGTCGAAAATGTCGGACATATTGTCGAACTTTTAAAATGCGTTACATTTAATGGATTTCCAGTAGTTGACCCACCAAATAGCGATCAGGTAGTAAGCAAATGTTGGATTGTTTCAAATAATTTTGTACATATATTTTGACTGTATCGTCCTTTCAGACTGAGATAAATTCATACGGTCGACTCCGAGGTCTAATACTGCGCTCTCAATTAATAGTGCTTTTAAAAAATAAGGTATTTAACGAGTACGAAGAATTTTGGGAGAAACCTTTAAGTATAAATATGTTTAGAAACGAGTATCCTAGGTATCCAACCATCGAGCAAGTCGCCATCACTGATGAAGAAAAAACTTACACTATTGACTTGAGACATTTCATGAATCCTTCCCCTTATACAGTACAACATGTTAGTAGTTTTTACATTAAGATCTTTTTGATATGTTGAAGTGCATTTTAGGCTCATATAAGTTTTTCTTTAGTCTGCCACACTGCCAAGAACATTCAGACTCTTTAGAGCATTAGGATTACGCCATGTACCGGTAGTAAACGACATCAACGAAGTAAGAGACTAATAATATACATTTTGTAATTTATTATGAGCATTGCACACTCCATTTCTATATATTTATACATATATTTCATCTAGGTAATTGGTATTATCACTCGGAAAGATGTCGCTAGATTCAGGATATGGAAGCATCGTGGAAAAATGGGATTAGACGAACTTTTAATCACTAATAAAATTTAATTTTTTTAGAACTCTTCAGAATTTTTCTAGAATTTTATCACATTTAAGATTTTACTAATGCCTGTTACATTTCAATGTATTTTATCATGTACAAATTTCAGGTATGTATATATACATATTGTTAACGAGACTCGAAAATAACAGATTGTATGTAGAAATAATGCATAATTGTGCATTAAAGAAAGTATATCAAGATTTTTCTATACAATTTGTATGTGTGTTGTGTGTGTGTGTGTGTGTGTATGTGTACATGGGCAATTTCATGTGGCATCACTTGGCTTATATACATTAGTAATGCCAAATCTTAATTATTTACAAATAATTCCCATCCAAGCCATGACCAAAGTGTAAAGAAAAGATATACAGGTAGAATGACTAACAGCAACAGAAAATAATATTCATACAATGATATATGCATGTCGAACGGTGCTATTTAGCTGATATTTTATCCCGCCGATCAATTTTCTGAGATTCTGTTATTTATTTTATACATTTATACGCGCAACCTGAAACAAAAACAAAGTATTTTGTTGTACAATGAAAAATACATTTTATTTATTTTTACAATTTTATCTAGTTTCTATTGAACCTTAACTATGCCAATTACAAACGCTGACTTTTCAAGTAGAAACTGCACTGAATGATTTAAAATCACGTATTGTTACTTTAAGAAGTAAATTTATATTAAATAAATATTATAAAGAGAGATTTAAATTATACATATACATAATTTTTCTAAATTATTAAAAATGTTTTGATGTAAATTATTGACATAATTTGAATTCAATTTAATGTTTATAATTACTGCGTTGCAACTCAGATTCTTGAATTTCTTTTATGATTCAACAATTTGCATAAATTTTTGGAAAAAAATAGCATTTTTTTGCGACCATTCAAAGATAGTTTCATTTTTTATTTCTACATTTTCCTTAAATCTTTTCCTTCGGTTGGATCAATAACTCTAAATTAATTTTTAAATATTTAAAATATAATTGACAGTGATGATATGTGTATGTATGTATGTATGTATGTATATATATATATATACATTAAAATAAAAACATATATATATATATATCTATACATATATGTATGTGAGTAAGTTTTTATTTTAATGTATCAATTTTTTTCCTCGAGTGCAGCATTATTATAATAATTTTTGATTTCTATGAAAAAATCAGGGTTAGGTAGTGCTAAGTTAAAAATTAATTTTAACTTAGTTACATTTTAGACTCTTAACTTTTTAACTTAATTTAGTTGCATTTTATCAGCAACTGTTAACTTTTAATTTGACTTATTTGAAGTCAACTCAGGCAAAAGGGGTAAGTATATAATTTAGTAATTTTATGTCTTTTGTATTATATAATAATTAATTATTAACAAAAATTACCAGCAACTCTTTAATGAATATATTGTGACAAAGAAAAAATAAAAAAAATTATAATATTTAAAACGATCAAATTTTTTCTTATTTGACTCCGTTTGAATTAAATTTAACTTTTCAATTATTTATTTTTTTTTTATTTACTTTCATTTTTTTTAACTTTTAATTTAATTAGTTTTATCATGAATTAACTCGTATCTTAACTAAATTAAATTTTCAAAGCTTCTAACTTCAACTTAGTTTAAAAGAAAGTTAATTTACCCAATTCTCAGAAAAACAAAAATATGTATAGAAATAAAAGAATCAATCGCGAAAAAGTGAAAGTTGCACCCTGTCCTCCGTTATTCTTTAAATATCGACATTTATGAATCACTCCGAGGAATCTCTTTCTTCGCGTTAATTATACGATTTAGACATCTGAGATGCTTACATTTCTTTACATTTTCTAAAGGCAGATGGGGGTATTTTATTCGACCGGTTACGCAAGTTTATCATAAGACGTCATTGTCGTTGCATCTTTCTGCCTTTCTTGAAAATATGCATCCTCCGCTTCCTAGACTATCTAATCTGGACGTCGTGGGGGACCATCGAGAAAAATATGCGTCAGTCGCTCGTTTTCCAACGAAAAACGGGAAAACGTATCAATTTGAGTCTAGTGTTTCGTTCTACCCCTCGATTTCCCTTCATCGGGCCACTGTCGACGCCGTCGACGTCTTGACTCTCTTGACACGTTAATGCACACAATGCGGCGAACGCGGGCTTTAAGACGCGACTAAAGAACCCATGAAGTAAGGTAAGAACCTAAGAAGAACGCGGAATGCGGGCAAGAGGCGCGGTCAATAGTTTCGCGGATCGTACACCTGTCTGTCGCGAGGTTGCGGACGATAGTAGGAAGGGGTTATGGTCAATAAACGCAACCACGTCACACGCAGCCTATCGGCGGCCTCGGCGGCGGCGACGACGACCCCGCTTGGCCCCTTAAAGTGGCTCCTCCGTCTCGAAAATCTTACGTGTCGTACGGCGATACCGTCGCCTTTGTGCGCCCGTTTCACGGAATAAACCGGGGAAGAGCCGCGCGGATCGGCGTGGAACGCGGACCGGCGGACGCGGCGCTCGTCGAGGAATCCGCGGATGGAGGTCGCAGCCTCGTGACCGGCCGGATCTCCCGTCAAGGTGAGTGAACAGTACGTTTCAGCGAATCGGCCGAAACGCGTCCGCCATTGTTGTCGATCAGCCGCGCCGCGTCGCGTCGGCTCGGGTCAGGTAGCATCGGCAGCGGGAGGGGGGTGGTCAGGGGAGACGTGGTGGGGAGAGAAGCGGAGAAGTCGACACTCCGCTCCGCGCGCAAGAAGACGATGTTCTTAGCTCACGGAGCGCGGGCGGCGGGGAGCGCGCATGCGCATCCGACGGCTCCAATGTGCTCAGACGCGAGACGAACGCTCATTTCTTTTCAAACTTTTCCCATCCTGGCTGCGTCGCGCGCGTACGCACTAGCGCACACGCACACCGGGTGACGTTAGCTCGCGGACACGACGTGGAGACGCAGTAGACCGAGACAGCGGCGAGGATCCCGGGATGTCCACGCGATCCATTCCGAACGTAATTCTCCGTAAGTTCAGAAAAACTCGCCGTTCGATATCCTCTGCGCCTTTCTCGAGTGAAATCGCTGATTCCGGATATCGGTTGTCCATACGATGCGTCGGATATTACCGATGTTAACAGTTTCTCGATTCGACGACGTCTTACAAGTTGTGTCGATCTGGTCATTTTATTGTGATACAATTCGTGCTCGGACGTATCTTTCGTTAGCGAGGTTAGGTCTCACGCGTTTTAAAAGCTCATGTCACGTTAGGCCGGAGTCAGACTACGCATTGGTGATTGAGATTGAAGATCGAAATTTGACCAACGAGGATAAAAGAATTTTAACTCCTATTATTTTGATTAGAATTTAAAATTCAATCTCAATCTTCAATGTGTAGTCTGATTCCGGCCTTACACATTTAAAGATTGAGGATTACGAATTGAAGATTTGAATTTGAATTTTAATCCATTTTGTTCTGATTGGATGAATTTTAATTTTCAATCCGCAGTACTCAATACTTGTAATGTGACATGGGATTTGGCCTAAAGCCGTGTCTTAAGCCTTGTGTCCACGATACTAGAAATCGGTCCGAGATCTCGGATGAAGGAAAAATTGACCAATTACATTGGTCATGTGACCAAATTGTTCAAATGTGATTTGTTAATTCTTTCTTTATCCGAGATCTCGGACCGATTTCTAGCATCGTGGACACAAGGCTTAAGACACAAATTGCTGAAAAGCATAGGCAATGGAAACAGAGAAACTAACAGATTTCAACTTGTCAGAAATGATGTATGCTGATCTTAGGATGTGCATATTGGAAGGGCTACTCTGTATCTGACCAATGTAATAAAAGTGTCTCTAACATTTATCTATCCCTATTTGAAAACTATCTGCTGTATACTACTTGAGTATGATAATTACTTTAATGTTAAAAAAAGAACACTACACTTAAAACACATATTTTGTATATTTATATAATTGAAATTTATTCGGTACATAATCTTAAAACTTAGTTTAAAATTATCTACAAAGTAAGTCTACTTAAGCATAAAGAGATATTTTTTGCTCTGTTAATGTTTTGAGACACCCAATGCAATAACATCTTATTTTTTTCAATATTTTTATATTTTTTTTACTTTTATGTGAGAGTATAATACTCTTAGACAAGACTACATAATAATAATAATAATTCTGACAAGGACAGATGTTGAAAACATTAATAGTCATGGCCCTTCCAGTATGTTATAAAATCCTGGTATACATACTTTCTGATAAATTGAAATCTGTTACTTCTATTGCCTGTTTTTCAGTTATGTCTAACCCAGCAAACACAATAGATGCAGTAAACTTTATGCCTTAAGGAATTCACTAATCACATAGTTGATTAGACTTGATGATATGATTGATCAGTTTCTTAAAGCTTAAGGTTTACTGTACCTATACTGTGTTTGCAGACTTAGGCTTTATCTTCGTGAATATTTGGATAATCATATTTATTGTCCTCTGTCTCGTTATTATCCTTGTAACATGATTGCAATTTGTTTCAGATGCCTGATAGACTCGCGTTTCTCAAATTGTGGCACGCATGAATTAAACGAAGAGTACTGTGGGTGTTAAAGTAACGAGGGAATTGGAGAAACAAACTATATTCGATCGAAAAATATTTGTTTTATTTCATTAATTTTAGACAATTTTAAATATTATAATTTTAAATATTATCTGAAAATGACAGAGCGCTTAAGGGACAGAATCGATGTCATTTGTGTTATGTATTAGCTCATGCTGGGAAAGAATCTTGCCTCGAGATAGTGAAGGAAATGCGAAAGTATAGATGTCAGAGACAGGGGAGGAACGTGCTGTTAGACTGTATACGGCTGCGGAGATAATGAAAAACGCCAGAGCCAAGGAAACCGAGGAGCAGGCGGCATTAAGGAGAATGCAGGAAGCTCAACGAATGGCCAGACATCGTGCCAAGAAAAAGCGTTGCCTAGACGAGAATCTCGCGAGGGAGATTTCTAAGATTGCCGAGCTGTCCAAGATGCCCGTTCCCGATTCCGCTACGATAGCCCAGATGTCCGAGATGAATATGAATAAAATATCCGCGGAATTGAAGCAAATGATGGAGAGGGGAAAAGTACCTGAGCATATAGTTCAAATGGCTCAACTGGCGGAGTTCAACAAAATGAATTCTGAATTAAACAAGATGTCGCAGGACATGGCGAAGAGATACGAAATGGAGAAGATGGCGGAATATGCCAAGACTACGGAATACATGAAGATGCAGGAGATCGCCAAGATGAACGAGATGGTGAAACTTTCCGAGATGGCCAAGTATAACGACATCACGAAAATCAATGAGATGGCGAAGATGAACGAGATGATGAAGATATCTCAGATGGCCAAGATCAACGAGGTGCAGAGGATGAACGAGATAGCGAAACTGAACGAGATGGTGAAAATGACCGAGATGGCAAAGTACAATAATGATATCACAAAATTGACCGAGTTCGCGCAAATCAACGAGATGGCGAAAGAGATCGCGAAGATGAACGAAAAGACGAAGATGAATGAGATGATGAAGATAGCGAATATGCAAAACGACATCGTCAAGATGGAAAGACCAGATTACCAGAACGTTAAAATGACAAATGAAATGGTGAAATTGAACGAGCTGGCTAAGATGAATGAGATAACGATCACGAAGCTGAACGATCCGCCGAAGGTACCGGAGATCTCGTCGCTACCACCGCCACCGCGTATCCCCGAGCCTGTGATCACCGTGCCAAACCCGAGGAATCTGCAGAACGTGCAGACCGTACAAGTGGCACAGGCCAGCCCGTCCAGCATGATCAACTACCAGAACGTAGCCGGCCAAAACAATTACGGCAAGCTGTTGAATATCATTGAGGAGCTCGGTAGGGACATCCGTCTGTCCTACGCGGGCAGCCGCAGCGCCGCCGAGAGGCTAAAGAATGGCATTCAACAGGCGAGGATCGCCGTGCGGGATTGCTTGCACGAGACGCAACATAATGCGCAACAATGATCTGCCGACATGAGTTAGATAGCGATTAGATTACTTAGCTTTTTATCATTTCACGAGACGTTGCTTTGTACGAATTGCTTAAATTCGAACTGCGGTATTAACACGACGTGATATATACAGTAGCGAACGTACATGCATAGATCGAGCATTTTGTTTCTTAAAATAAAAAATTTAAAAAAAAAACAACAACCTAGACCGCTGTCCTTTCATTCCACGCGATACGTGTGTGGTCTCCTTTATTCGATCTTTCTCAGCTCGATTCCTGCACGTACGTTGTTTGAACAATGGCTGACAGTTTCCTATTTTTAAGTTACAATCTAGTACATAGAAATGGGAGGGACGGTACCAATTTGTATACACATACTATACTACGTAGAGAATATTAGAGTCTTAGTTTATATTTTATAAAAAAGAAAACAGAAAAAAACGGTTATATCATGGTTTTTGTTAAGACTCGCATATGCTGCAAATTTTTAGTATACGTTCCGAGTGAGAAAAAGGAAAGAATGCAAAGTAAAAAAAGCTTTTCAAATATGTACCTAATGGAAAGTATAATCCCGTAAATATTTCCCGTAATATATCGTTAAATAAATAAAAATTTTGTATACAACACGGATGTCTCCTTCTTATTCCATTCTGCTTTTCTCACTGACTTTTCATCAAAATCATCACATTTCGACCGCTTGTATCTCCAGAACGGCTTGACCAATTTTAATTTTTTTTTACTCAAATTACTCGTGGCGATGCTGCCTTTCAAGATGTAACGTTCGATTCAAAAATTTTTTATATTTTAGTAGTTTACACCCCCGAAAAATGGACTTTGATGGCTCGGGATAAGAGACTTGTAGTGTCTATTATTAATCTTTTAAATTAACTAGTAGTTTTTTGACCGTGACCGGAGACACTATCGCGTCTCCTGATAAAATAAATTTTTATAGGCGATACGATTTTATCAACGTGTCAAAAATAAACCTGGGTTCCCGCAATCTCGCAGCTCTCGAAAATGGATGTTGGTGTCGCTAGTGTACGAGGGTTTGAAGTGATTTTTTTTTTGCTCCAAGTGTCGCACATGCAGAGTAGGAGTAACGGATTCAAGTACCAAGGCGACGAATGTAATCAACCTGCACCTATCGGAAAAAACAAATCGATTGAAAATTGAGACGATACTCCGCCTACTCCACGTGGCCATATTTGACGAAAGACGCTACTACACGCTAGTCGTTAACTGCCGCTTGCGACTTGCGACACGTATCAAGAATATGATATTTGAGAGACGAAGGGAGATAAACTAGGTATTTATAATATACATCTTATAATATTTACATTCATTTCGCTTGTTGTGTTTCGGCGAAGCGATATTTGTGTCAATTTGTCGACGTGAATTTAATGATAATAAAACTTATATATCTCTCTCTCGCATTAAATTAAACTTTAAAGTTTATCGTTCTGCTTACGATCGATCTTTTGCTTCGCTCGCTGACGTTTCACTGGCCTGATTGTCGATTGTTTCTCAAGGTTGTTGTAAAAGATATAAACGGAAAACGCGCAGCCTTTTTCCTCCCTCTCGGAGATGACGAAACAACGCAAAACCGTGGGAGTGACAGCGAAAATTACGGAACCGTTGCTGACGGTGCCGGAGCCGAGAGTTTCTCAACGCATCGCATCAATATCTTCCGTGCCTGCTCAATCGAAATACATCAAGTTGCTGCGAGTCATAGAGCAGCTAGGTCGCGATCTTAAACTTTGTTACGCCGGCAATAACATTAACAAAACGTTGTCCAAGGTTGAACGCGACATCGCGAAGGCGTGCTGTCTAGTCCAACAATGCCGTGCCGAGGCTACGAAAAGTGCCAGAAAAGCGTGCCAATAACACTGCTTTCATTATGCATTACATGACATTATTCATATAGAAAACTCGTATTACAACATAAACATATATTTTTTAAACAGTACTTATTGCATCATGCAGAAGCTTGTATTATCAACAGTATTCGTTCTGTTTTGAAAATGGATTCATATTTTAAATTTACCCAAAATTCTTGATAACATACACTACTAAACCTAAAGTACAAAAATTATAACTTTAATATTCTTTTTTAAGAAAACAAAGCTGTTTAGCTTTAAATATATTTAAATTTTTCATCCTTTGTAAAAGAAATCTTTTAGAGACGTTTATACGAGAAAAAGTAAAAATTGAACCCAGAGGGCCTACTCTGTAACTCTTAACAAATTTTGTTATCGTTATAACGCCACTGTGCAACTTTAACTATGATAAAAAAAGTTGAACAGTGATGTTATAATAACAATAACAAAACTTGTGTTAAGAGTTACAAAAGAACCTGCCAAAGCAAATAATTATAACTATCATTACACAAAATTATATAGTTTCTTTATTATAATTTCTTTTAGTTGAGCTAATGTCCTATCAAAAATTTAAGAAATCTAAATAACCATGTGTTTGTATATTTAAATGAATATTCCATATATTTTCTACAAGTTTTTTAAAGAGCCATTACATGGCTTAATGTAAAACAATCAGTAATCAAATAAACGATTGTTCTACTACCTCTTGTATGTTATAAGGAATTTTGAATGGAAAGTATTATCCCATTGTGATAGAAACAAAAAAATAGTGATTTTGTAATGTAAGTAAAGAATAAGCTCAATGATAATTATAGTAATGGTAACAGATTTTATTGAAATTTAATGAAAGAATATTTTTATCAAATATCTCTCAATTTAGCTAAATTGAATTAAATAACTAGGTAGTTACCAAACAACTTTCCTTTTTTAACAAATAAATAATAATATTGAAACAATTAATTACTGCCAAAAAATAGTTCTGTAATAATGATATTTTTTATTACCTATTTTAAGCTCGTGGTTGTAAACTAGACTTTACATGGATAATTTATGTTCTTCTTTTCTGTAGTTTCTTAATAATATTTATTTATTTATTTAAAAGAAAACAAAATGTATGGAAGTAGTGATATATAATTTAAAGCCTTGACATGTATACAATCCACAATTATAGTACAAATAATACAAATAGTACAAATATAGACACAAAATGTATGTATGGTCCTAAGATAAATATAAGAGAAATACCAAGTAAAAGTATGGTACAAATATGTGTTCCTATATTTAAATTTTGTGTAATGTCTAATAACGAAATAAACATTTTTTTATCAAAAAAGAAAAAAGAGCTGTGTCCATTGCTACTCATATTCTTCTTTCAATTTATGTTTCACATTTATATTGGATGTATTTTTGTTTCTTTCTTTTCATTATATATTGATTTCACAATTAATATACTGCTTTCAATACTTTCTATTACATGCATATATGATTTATTAATTATAGTCAGAAATATAATCGCTATTTTGTGTAAGTTTATTATATATACATATATATATATAATCCTAAAACCACAAATTCAAATAAAGTATTTATTAAATATTATTTGATAATACATAACTCTAAATTATGTCGAAATTCCTTTTGTTCTAGATAATTGACAGAAAAAAAATGGAAGACGAGATACATGTGCGTACTTTGGCTACGTTCGATACAAAATTTCCAGCAGACACTGTTGAGTGGTGCCCTATAGAACCATATCGAAATGTATTAACGTGTGGAACATATGAATTAAATAAAAATGAACCTAAAAATGAATCCACATATAGACAGGGGCAAATCTTATTGTTGCGTATAACAAATGGTGGAGAGCTAGAATTGCTGCAACGAGTATGCACATCAGCTATATTGGATATGAAATGGTTGCATGTCATAGATATTGTAGAAACTCGAATATTACTTGCAGTTGTCGATTCTATGGGATACTTACAAATTTATCAACTAAAAGATGGAAAAAGAATAGAATTTATCACTAAATTAAAAGTCAGTGATGAGGAGAATGTCATGGCGTTATCTCTAGATTGGTCCAGAAGAAACAGCAGTTCTGATCCTATTATTAATACAAATATTCTTGTGAGCGACAGTGCAGGACAAATCTCTCGTTTTACGTGGAATGAAGCGGGTGATCTGACGAAAGATTTTACGTGGCCCGCGCACAAGTTCCATGCATGGATTGTTGCCTTTGATTATTGCAATCCATTAATTTTTTATTCTGGTACGACGATATATAATTTATATAAAAGTAAATCCATATAGATTTTTGACACAGGCAACTTATTTTAGAATACAGCCTGTCTACTTATATATTTAATTTAATTTATAAATAACAATTTTGTTTACGGTTGGACACGATGGTCCATATCTAAATACACGATGGTTGCATATCAAAGCCGTATACACTGATTTAATCTAAATATAAAAGTGATATGCAAATATTTTGAATTATGAAATACACGTTTTATCTAACAGCACAATAAAATGTACTGACGATTTCGCAGTTCGATACGTTTTTATATTTATATTAAGCTAATTGTATTTTATATATTGTTTTTTAAAGAACATGAAAATGTTTTATATTTTATATTTCATTGAAGTATATAAAAGTATTTTGTATTTTGTATCAGTATTTACTATATAACAAAAGATTGAAAGTATTTTGTATCTTGTATTGTATTTCAAATATTCTCTCTCTAAGATTGATAATTAACCTTTTATCATTTAATGTACAAAATGAAACTTTCGATCTTTTAATTTTAAATACAAAGTGTGCGTAATATTTTTACGTGATCTGCTAAAATACAAAATATAAAATACACTCTTGTTGCAAAAACTATGTTTTACAATATAAAAGTATTTCAAATATATGCCCAGTTCTGCAACGCACTTAGTCAAATTTGTTTAGAATATTATAAGTAAGAGAAAACTCAATTTATACGTTTTTCATAAACTAATTTATCATAAATTTCAGGAGGTGATGACAATAGATTCCTATGTTTCGATAGCAGAACTGGATCTCATCCTGTAGTTGAAAACAATAAGTGTACTGCCGGTGTTACTAGCATTCATAGTAAAAAATTCTTAGTCGCAACCGGAAGGTAAAAAAATTCGGTAATCACTTTGCATTCTTTCAAGAAGATAAAAGTTTTGAAAGATCAAAGATTTTTACATTTAATTTTTCGTGAAATTTTATAAATTTTATAACAAATTTCTTTATTTGTGGATTACTAAAAATAAAAAAATTTCAATATATTTATTTTATCTTCTATAGCTGCAAAATTTATTTTGGATAATCTCAATTTGATAAATTATTCTTTTAAACGATCAATATGCGCTTAAATATTTCAGTTACGATCAGAATGTAAGACTGTGGGACAAGAGAAATTTTACACAACCAGTATCGACGATTTGTCTCGATGGTGGAGTCTGGCGTTTAAAATGGGATCCATTTACTCATCAATACCTGCTCGCCGCCTGTATGCACAATGGTTTCAAGATCATTAATCATGATATATTGTCGTCTGTTGTTGTCAATTATAAAGAACATAAAGGTTTATCGTACGGCTGTGATTGGTCATTCTTAAAACAGTTAGATGTTTCAAATTTAAATATACCTAATGGAGACACTTTGATAAGCACTTGTTCCTATGAAGATTGTCTTCTTAAAGTATCTGTAATTAATTTTTGGCCGGACAAACATATTGACGAAAAAGATTAATATGGATAATAATATGGATAACGATGAAGGATATTCCTGAATAAATGATATAGCAATTTTAGAAAAATGATAAATATATGTTTCACAATTTATATATGCTTATTTATAGAAACCAGCAATTCGGTATTTATATTAAAAGTAATTATTAAAAAAATGACAAATGGAAAAGTGACTTGAGAGAAGGCTATAGATTTTTCTTTTAATAAACATCAATAATTTGATATTTATTAAAGGAGGATACCCACGGTATAAGGTTTTTCTATCCTGGAGATGAAACCTTTGAAACCGATAAATTTGTTTAGAGTACGATGAAATCTATCGTCGAATATCATATTCCACTTTCTTATCAGCAAGGAAAGTTGAAAAAAAATCATGTTTGAAGTTTTACGTTCAACCAATTTTGACTATTACTACTAACGATTTATCAACGTTAAAGATTATAGTATTTAAACATAAGGAACCGAGGGG